CCCCCCCCCAAAACGACCAACGCTGCAAAATTAGAATAAGAGAGACCGCCCATTCTTGCACCGCTGCTCTGGCTGCCCTCGATCATCTGCTCTGCATCGACTGTTCGTCTCATTGTTGTGCTTGTGCAGTCCGTCGAAAGGTCCCGCGTCACCCTTGATACAGGTGTCGCAAAGTGTTTGGGACTCGCTGCCTCCTCACTGCCCAGCAAGCCACCGCTTGGCCGCTCTCGACTGCAATCCCGCATCTCTTCTCTCCACCACCTTAGGGGATCCTGTGTCACTCATCACCACCTCGATCTCGCTGCAGTCCACGATCCCTCTGCAACACTGAATGTGCTGGTTGTTCAGGGCTCTACCAACCGATGCTCTATAGTCTTTTCGCTCCTACCAACCGTGACAGCCTCACCCTTCGACGCAGCGAAAAGCGATTCTCTCCAATCGTTCTGTACACCTCAGACTGCGTCGCAAACGAGTGCGCTATTTCCAATAGCAGATTCTCGCGCAGCACAAGATCTAGCTCCATGTGGACATAACAGAGCAGTCATAGGCAGGTTGCAGGCCATTCTACGGCTCGCCGCCTATTGTCAGCAGCTGCTTCCTGTTCCCGCCCTTCCTCCCGCTGGAACAAACGTCTAAAACCGACTTCTAAATCTCCGGATCGATCACGATACCCTTGCGCAATACTGCAACGCCGAAAACTGGACAAGGTCGGGTCACAGGCCTGTACCAGAATCCGAGTCGGACCCTCCCCTTTTGTGTAGGGTTGTTGTGCTGCCGCCACAACGCTTCATAGAATGGCCGCGAACTTTCAACAGCACATGGGCGGTGCGGGCCCAATGATGCCACAACAGCAACCGCAACGACCATCCGGCGCCACTGCTACTGGCCAGATCCAACAACATATCTATCAAACCCTCGCCGCGCAGACAGGGCAACTGACGGGATGGCAAGCGGAGGTGTCGATTCAAGAGCGCATGGCCCTGGTGTTCAACCTGTAAGTGGCTATTTCGTCATCTGTCCAATTCACTCCTGGGGTCTCAACCGTTGCCTTGACTTGACTAACACCTAAGATTAGTATCGGGAATCTACGCCTTGCAAGCCAACACCAAGCGAGTCCGCCCAACCTTCATAAGATGATCGACTTAGGTATTAAATTCGAGAAGGACATCTTCGACAAATGTCCGGACAAAGTACGCGGCTCCACATCTCTTCTCTCCCGGCACAACTTACTAACATGCGCAGGCCCGATATAAACAGGAGGTGCAACAGAAGTTGGAGCAACTTGGGGAGCGACGTTCCCAAAACCAAGCCAATCTTCAACAATCGATCAACCTTCAAGCCCAGGCTCAGGCCCAGGCCCAGGCCCAAGCCCAGGCTCAGGCTCAGGCTCAGGCTCAGGCCCAGGCTCAAGCCCAACAGCAAGCGCAAGCACAGCAAATGATGATGAACCAGAATGGTATGCAAGGCCAGGTACCACGGGCTATGAACCAGCAGCCAGGTCAGCAAGGCTTCCACCATCTCCAGCACCAGATGCAAGCTTCTCCAATTCCAGGCCAACAACCCCAGCAAATGCCTGTAGGAATGTCGAATGAGGGAATGCTGCAGAATATGGCACAGAATCAGCAACAACAATTTCAGTTGTCAATGCAACAGCCACAACCCCCACCCCAACAACCTCAAAATGTTCCTGGTCGGCCGCAACATGGACAGCAACAACTCAGTCCGGCAGACGCCGCCATGGTCCAGGAGCTAACCAACAGATATATGGCCGCTTCTACACCAGAGGAGAAGCAGCAGCAGAGGCTGACTTTGCAGTCGAGGATGGACCCTCAAACATTTCAAAGGTACCAGGCGCAAGGCGTGGACCCTCTTATTCTCTATTACCGCCAGGTCGCTTTGAATCGAATAAGGCAGGAAAGACAAACTCGGATGGCTCAGGCCCAGCAGCAAGCGCAAATGGCGATGTCGCAACAACAGCCTCAAAACGTACCAACTACAGCGCCGCCTATGCAACAGCAAAGATCTATGAACCCTAGCCCATTAAATGGGCAAGCGCAACCACCTGTAACAGTCGGGGGAAACCAGGATTTTGGCTCATTTATGGGAAACATGGGAAATCTTATTGACCAGCAACAACAGGGCGTAATGGCGCAAGAGGCAGGACAGATGGTGGTCCCAGCGAGTAGCGCCCAGCGCAATGCCACTCCGCAGCCGGGTGTAATGCCTGGGCAACAGATAAATATGAATGACCAACGTGCGGTCCCAAACCCTAATGTCAGAGCTCAGCAACAACAGCAGATGTTCAATGCCCAGCAGGCTCAGCAGCAGAGAATGCAGCACGCAGCACAGCAGCAGTCTCAAGCGGCAGCTCGAGCAACTGCACAAGCAAAGGCCCAACAGATGGGTCTCCAGGGACAGCCCGGTGGAATGGGTCCGGGTCCAATGCCTCCGCAGCAGAGTCCAGCAATGGGAACACTGAATACGCCTCTGAGGACACCATCTCAACAAGGGAATAATCCTGAGCAGCCTCAAATAAACCCGAACGCACAGTTTGGGCAACCTCTTGATCCACGTTTCATGCAGGGAGGTCAGAGGCAGCTTGGTCCAGGAAATGGAATGGCAGGGTTGAATCCAATATTTGCTGGTATGCCGCCAGAACATCAACAGCGCTTGGCTGCATTACCACCGGACAAATTAAACGATGTTGTCAGTAAATGGAACGAGCAACGTGGAGCACAAATGAACGCTGCCAATGCTCAGGCTGGACGACCCTCAATGCCAATGCAGGCAAATAATCAGATCCGCCCGGGCCAGCAGGTGCCACAACCCGGCCAGTTCAATCATCACGCTCTCAACCAGTTCATGATAGCAAATCCCGGTCAGCGACCGCCCCCAGCGTTAACAGCTGGTATGAATCCACAGCAACAACAGCTGCTCCAATTGCAATTGCAACGTTTCCAGCAGAATGCATTACAACAACGGAATGCCCCCCTGGGTGGTGCTTCAAATGAACAACGTACCCTCTTGCAAATGGATAACATGGAATTCCCTGCTTCATTATTGAATCACCAACTCATGCCTCGAGGATTTCCTCCCGAGTTCAAGAAATGGGGACCTTTGAAGCAATGGGCACAAGCGAACCTTGCTCCCGAAGCTGTGGAGGGTATTAAAACGCTCCAAAAGATACACTATCAAGGTCTTATTCGTGCAAAGAATCAACAAGCGGGCCAAAGCATGGCTGCAATACCGAACGGCGTGCAAGTGAGTCAGGTTGGAGCACCTCTTGCCGCCCCAGCTGGCATATCTGCCCCAGTCGCGCCTATGGGTCAGAATCCCATGCAGATTCCGAATGGTATCCATATGGGTTCTGCCCAGATACGCCAGCCGACCCAGCAAGAAATCCAGGCTGCACGAAACCACCCCAGTGGTAAGATGGCTACGGCAACTGACGATCAAATCCGGGCTATGCTTATGAGGAACCAATTAAATATGCAACAGCACCAACAAAGACAGAATGCGATACTTCAGATGCAAATGTCGAACCAGATGCCCCAGATGAACGGCCAGCAACCTCGTCCAGGAGTGCAACCGGCACAGCAAGGCGGGAACTTGATGGCAGCCCAAAACTTGCCACAGGCGAAGCAAGCCCCTTCGGGGACCGATCCCGCCATCGCGACTTCTGCTGCCAATAATGCTCGTCCAGCTCGACCATCTACGGCTGGACGTACTACTGCTCAAAACTCGTCGCCAGCGCAGCCCCCAAAGAATTTGAAGCGCGCAAGCAGCGATGATGTAGTTGAAGTATCCAATCCCAATACACAACAAACCCCTCGGCCTACACTTCAGCAAAACCAAGGACAAAAGCCTTCTCCCCACCAACCTCCTCGTTATACCGAGCAACAGCTTGCTGCGCTCAGTCCTGAGGAGAGGAAAAAGTATGAACAGGCCCAGCGCTTGTTCCAAGCTAGTCGAGGACAGGCGAGCGAATTAGAGCAGCTACGGACTATCATGCAAGAGGAGTTACAACGTCGCGAACCACTCCCTGATATCCCCATGGACCAGGAGACTAAGCAAACGATGGTCAATCTCTTGCGTGAAATTCACGGTCCCTTGACCAACGTTGGAAAAGCCGTTCCGAAGTGGTTCCAGATTACACGTGATGTAGCTCGTGCCAGACTTTTCTTCCGTACTGTAAGTAACACACCCCTCGTCCATCTTTACGCATGCTGATGAGATCCAGCGGCATCGATTACAGAAGCAGTTCCGGGATAACGAGATGACGCAACCAAGAGAGAACTTCTCTATCAGGCCGGCAGAAGTAGAACAGGCTCGAGTTATGTTGAGTTCCATGGTCAAGGATCTGAGTGACAGATTCCCAAAGATGAAGAAGCCTGAGGGGGTTCAGGGCCAATCTCAACCCGCGCCTGCATCCCAACCTACCCCACCGGTAGCGACTCCTACCATCCCTTTGAATGCCGCCAACTTACAACAGCAGCAGCAGCAATTGAGCAAAATCCATCAAAGGTCTGGCAGTCGAAGTTCCCAACCCCCAGCAGCTCCGACTTCATCGCAACCTCCGTTCCAATTCGGCGCTACATCTCCCCATGGAGCCCCGAAATACAGCGGTACCCCTGCAGCAATAACGCAGGAAAACCTACATATTCCTGCCCGCAAGAAGCAAAGACAGAATAACAATACACCCGCCCAGAGTACCCCCGGCGCAAACGCATCACCTCGGATTAATAAACCTGTTTCGCCTGAGACCAAGAGACAACAGATTCCCGATTCGAAACCGAAGCCGTCGCTGTGTTGTCCGGAGCCAGAGTGTGACCGACACCAGGTCAGCTTTGATACAGAAGAAGCCCTCAAAAATCATACGGAGCAGGAGCATGTCCGACCTTCGGCGGATCCAGCCAAGTATGCTCAGGAGAACCTTGCCGCAATTCTCGGTATGGATTCCCAGGGCCAGTCAAACAAGCCTGGGGGACCTACACCCACGGATGCTAAGGTGGCCGCGAGTGGGACACCAAATCCCAAGGGTGAGGGTACACCTGCTGGAGCTAATACTCCGACAAATCGTCAAGTATCCATGAGTCGCCAAGGAACCTCTAACACGAAAGCACCCTCAGAACCCGCTAAGAACAATTCAGCCGACTCGAAGAATTCTAGCAAGCAGCCTGCGCAAGAGGCAGACCCATGGGCAAGCTTTACTATCAATCCTCACGAGATATTCCAAGATTTTCAAGGGTTTGAGAGCGGGGCTTCAGGCGCCATCAGTGACATGAATGTTTACCGGTCAATAACACCGAATGATACACCAGAGTCTTCTAAGGACGGGCTTTCGGAGCCAAATTCCGACATCTCCGAGGGCGTAGGCCTAGACATCAACCTTGACATTTTCGATGAGAATTGGCAACCATTTGGCAGCGACGCCGATTTCTTAGCTGATATGAATGGCATCAATGTTAATGGCGAACAAGATTTGGTGATGCTGGAGGAGGATCCGGTAACGGCTCTCGGATCGTGGGACGATATGATCGATCCTACCGCTTTCGATAAGCCCTTTCAGTTCGACAATTCTCTTTACTCGATGAATGCCGCTTAAGTTTTTGTTTGGGCGTTTTGTACGGATGGAAAATACGGAGGTTCAGGTCATGGATTAAAGCGAAGAGATATATACCATTGGAAGATGGCGTTCACGGGCAACTTTTGGTGGTGGGACCTAATTTTTTAGCTCTTATATTTGAATTGGGGCGCGCCTGGCACGGCGTAGCCGTGGTCTATTGTTCATACAGCGGTCAAATTATAACCCACTGTACTATTTCTACTGGAACTTGGTTAAATTATCGCAGAAATCCCAGCATTATTAGTTACCGAGGCATGGTTCTTTGTCGCTTTCGGGTCCATTTTGCCTTCTTATACAAGGCTGCCAATCGGTTCCCAGCCTCGCCAGCCCCCCTTCTTTAGCGTGGTAGCCTTGCAGTGCTAGCCCAGTATATTTCATATCAATAAAACGCGTCTTCGCGACTTTACAGAGCAGCTCCAACTGTTTTCTCAGGAAGTGCAACATCTAGGACATCAAACGGGTGCAGACTTTTCTACATTGTAGTCCTTACTGTGAGATTGTTTTCTGTTCTCACACAGGTCGGTAGACCTACAAAAATTCAGATTCCTTGAGCTCTTCATATACTTACCATCATCAATCAGTCTAGATCAGCACGCGACTTCCTTTGCCATATATACTTGGCTTCCACAATCGCGCTTGCCAGTCCCATAACTCGAATTACTCCCGAAGATCATATATTATCGCGATTAACAATGGCGTCCGAATCAACAATCTCGCCGACGCGACGCATCGCGCTCCAGGACATCAGCACTCATGCCATTAACAAGGCCCCTTCCGGAAACCCTCTTTTGCTGGGACACAAGTCCATCAGTGCTGAGAAGTCGTCAGGCGTGGCTAAACAATCATCTCTTAAGACGTCGTCTCAGGATAGGGTCCTCAGCCCGGTTCGTGAGAACACTCAATTGGGCGGCCAGAAACGAGGCTTTGAGCTGGATGAAAATACTGGCGAATCAGGAATCAAGCGATTTAAAGGCGAACACTCTGTCAAGACAGACAGGAATCCGTGCAAGCAAATCAGCAGTTTGGATAAGATCAAAGAACATCGCGTTAAGTCTGATGGAGACGTGCGATCAGACTGTCCTGGTGTAAGTTATGCTTTGTTACCTATCTCGACTAAGTTGAAAGACGGTCCTTTATAGATCACTAGAGTCTAGTAAGGAATATATGCTGATATACTTAACTACAGAACTCTTTGTCAGTATATGAGGATGATGTCTCAACATCCTTATCACCAGCCTCTTCCTCGGACTCTAGCCAAGGTGCATTGAACGACTCACAAAATACTCTTATCACCGAGCCTGATGATTCCCGTGTTGTCTTGGCTACCAGGGGAGAGGAAATTCGACAAGTTTGTTACCCTGCCGGCTCTTCTTGTACACATCCTAACGCGCAACAGAAAGCTAGAGCATTGAGGCTCCGTCTCAGTCTCGCGAACTACAAAGTCCAAACAGATCAAATCGACATACCAATTTCCCAACTACAGGTCAAGAGCACCTCGAACTCTACACAACTACCCACTTTACCGCCCAGAACAAATACACCTCGACGCCGTACTCTTTCAACCCAGGGCCTGTCGAATATCCCTGATATCCGATTTCCAGAGCCAAGTTCCGAAAGGGCACCAGAAGATACCAACATCACATCCTCACCACCCCCCTGTACTAGATCAACATCCCCTCAAAAGGAATCTGTTGACATTTCACAAGAACCTCTTGCAACCCCAGTTCTACCCCATCAGCGCGAAGGTTTACTCAATCCTCCGGCGTTGGGAGGTGATATGGAAGACAGAGGCTCTGCTGGAGATTTGACCAGCCGTGTTGTCAAAGATCAAGCTGCCGATGGGCTGTTAAGTCTCATGCACCACCAGAGCTGAGGCATTGGTCTTCGCGCGCATCATTAATATCAGTACACGTTTTCTTCTTGTTGGAGCGTTGCGTGCTTTTATATATTGTTTTGCATGGAGAGAATGACAACTGGGTCATTTGACTTTGTATGAATTATTCCCCTTGTCAATTGTCTACACACATCTAGTCTGTGTGTATGCATGGATGGCGGCTTGTTGCATCAGGGCGGAGAATAGGCGATTGGAGTTCCGCTGTATAGCTTGGATATGTTTTAACTATGGAATAGCATTGCATAGCGAGAAGGAGCAAACGAAGTAACGTGCATTACGGACAACTTCATGGGTAAAATAGTTCACTGTATCATAGGAGTAGATGGCAAAACGGGACCACTGTATATCTAGCCGCCTCTTAATTGAGGAATGGCTTGCCAATAAGAAACCAAATGAACTCTTGTAGCTTGGGATCACGCAGTTCAATAAGAGTTATTGAACATGTCTTGGATACCCAAAGCCTTTCCTCGATATAGAACTTGCGGAGTTTCATGCACCCTTACTTGCATAATCAGACTCATTGCATTGTGTCTTTAAAACGAAGTTCCGAGTTATCTTGCTTCAAGGGGTATCCCGCTAGTATACAGACTCGAGCAAAATGCAGCACTTGCTTGCTCTCTTCTTTTTTCCAAACATGGATGACTACTAGTAAACATGGTCGACCTTCTTAAACAGACAAATCACAAAATCATCATCAAGGTCCCAAGACGTCTTGTTCCCCTCCGTTCCCACTATCCCAAAACCCATAGTCTGCCTCGTCAACTAATCGCCGCATCTCCATCTCATCCTGCATCCACTGGTCCTGAACCGGGACACCGTGGTTATCGGCACCGATCCAGAAGGGGCCGTCCTCCAGGGCGTGGCCCTGGAGATCCCAGTCGATATTATATGCTTGGTCGTCGTACATATCATGTAATGCGTTTCCGTCTTGCTGAAGATGGTTCACGTGTTGTGGTTCTCCCGATCCGAATTCAGCTAGAGAGCCTTGGACGGCCTCCCCGGTTGATAGGTTCGGGTTTGGAAGAGAATGTTTGGAGCGTAGGTGGACCTGTAAATCATATTCACGCATGAATTTATAGGGACAATCGGGCACGGTGCAAGGAATGGTTCTACGCTCATCCTCTGCATAGGAAGCTCCGATAAGATCGTCAAGGGCGGATGGCTTTGTTTTCCTCCCCCTCTTCTTTGGCGGCGCGTCTGGATTGAAGTCTTCGTCATCCGAGACAGAAACAGACTTCTTGCGCTTGGAGTTTATTAAGCTTGGGAGGCCTAGATGGGCTGTCCGGACATGGTCCTCCAGGTTGGCTTTTGAGACGAAATCTTTCCCGCAGGCATCTCCACCGGTCCAGGATGACAGATCAGGGACTTTGCTGACGTCGAAAGTACCACAGATGTAGCGCTCCCCGTTATGTACAGTTCGAATGTGAACAGTGAGGTTGGATTTCTTGGTGAAGGTCTTGTTACATCCAAGATACGTACACGGAATGTTTTTACGCTGTGCGAGAGTCGTTCCTGAATGCTGAGTCTCGATATGCTTCTCAAGCTCTCGTTGACTGGCACATCTCCGCTCACAGAATGGGCAATTTGCGTGTTCTTTCTTGATGTGGGCTTGCAGTTGTGCCTCCGTAGTGAAGCCGACGTTCATAGCACTTCCATCTGGAGCAAGAGAACCTGGGATAACACACTCGGGACAGAAGAAACGAAGTATGCCATGGACTCGATCCTCATGCTTCCGTAGGCCACCAGCACCATCGAATCCTGCATTGCAGGGTTCCTGGGTTATAGGATCAATGTATGTACATGGGAACGGTGCGAGTTGCAGATGTTCTGAGCGGATGTGGCGCTGAAGGGTCTGGTGTTTGCGGAAGGTTTGGTTGCATGGCGGGTAGGCGGTACATCTGAATCGTTCATGGCCCTCATGAGCTTGCCTGTGTCTGCGAAGTCGTGTTGCTGTCAGAAAGCTCTTGGTACATCCATCCCAATCGCAATGATATGATCGTTCATGAGTGTGGGAGCCCTTTATATGTTGCTTCAGATGCTTTTCTTCGATGTAAGATTTATCGCAGCCTTCAAAACTGCACACGAACGGCCTCTCATTTGTGTGTGACCGCAGATGGGATGCCAGTCTTGCTGGCCGGTTGAAAGTCTTGGTACATCCTTCGTATGTACATTTGATAGTTTTCAATTCGGATGGAAACTTCTTCGGGCCTGGGGAAAAGGGAGTGATGGGGGTGTCTGCTGTCTGGCCATCATCGTCTCCGGAAAGATTGGCATCGTTTTGCTGATCTTTCTTTTCCTCCTCGTCCTCGTCCTCAGCTTGGAGAGATGGCTCTTCTGTTTAAAGATCAGCAATTGTAACGCAAGGCTGGGAATAAGATGCTGACTTGGTGAAGGAATAGAACTATTTACACGCAAGCCAGCTGCAGAATTCCCTAATGAGAGTGCAGCCTTCCGTTTCCTGGTTGCACTGGCCATTGGGATGAGGCTGCATGGTTGTTTTGTCCCTGTAAAGAAAATAATCCCGATGAACCTCAGTGCGTTGCTATATTCCGTGTGAAATCTTGGCGCGCTTAGGTAATGTATCTATTCTTAAATCCTAGCGCGAAACCTTAAATTTTGCTGGAGAGCTTGAGGCGCAAATTCGCCAAATTTCTTCGGAGAGACGAAACCGCGTATTCACAACCAAAAGCTCAACCTGACTTGGTTCAGTGATCTCTACAACTAAAACCTCAATCTCCTCACGGCCTTAGCGACTCTAATAATCAGACCATCATTATGTCGGACTACGAAGGAGGCAATGACGGGGGGTAAGTCTATAGTCCCTCAGCAGCAATGCAACATATAGATGTTTTTGTTTACAAACCAATGTGCCATTCTGAACGAGGACTGATTGAACTTCGCATAGCTTCTCTCCAGCCTACGACAATGACGAGCCCGATTATGATCCAGAAGAGCCCGCCGAGCCCGATGTTGAGACCGCTCAAGTTGACGACATCGAGATCGGCGAAAACCCAGATCAGCTTCTCACGACTGGCGACTCATCTCGAGGTGTGGTTAGTTCTGGAGAACCAACTGCGGCTGCAAATCGAGGGAAAGGGGGGCCAAAGGACAAGAGAATCCCCAATGACAAGAGGACCACGACACCCTATATGACCAAGTATGAGAGAGCTAGGATCTTAGGTACAAGAGCTTTGCAGATCAGGTAAGTGCTTTTGAGAGCTTTGTTTGAGGCTTTGCTGGAGGACTCTCTGGCATTTGCTTACGTTTTGCCCTTAACAGTATGAACGCGCCTGTGCTCGTTGATTTGGAGGGAGAGACGGACCCGCTGCAAATTGCGATCAAGGAGCTCAGAGAAAAGAAGATACCCCTCATCATCAGGAGATATATGCCAGATGGCTACTACGAGGACTGGACTTGCGAAGAGTTGTTGCAGTAAGCGGGGAGGAGTTATGTGGTAGAAGGTGGTATATTTGCATAGCAAGGGTATTGGATTGGCGTACAAAGAGGCGTTGTTGGCGGTATATCAAATGGAATGGCAAGCAGTTCTTGACCATCTGTCGAACCGTGGTTATTATTCAAGGTACCTCACGATCATATGGAGCAGAACGTCCTTAAAATGATTGGTAAAGATAGTAAGTATCCAAAATGGGGAGGATGTGTTTTGTAAGCCCGATCTCCGAAATGCCGTGATATTTCCGATTACTTGATGCGGGGTCGAATAATTTCTCCATAGTATAATAGCATAAACGTCATCACAGCCAACGCTGGAAACAGCATCACAATTTCATACTACCCTCTTCCTGAACCCTTTTGAGAATCGACTCAAGAATCTCATAATGTCTTTCAAAACCACAGCCACAATCTCCTCTTTCGGAGGCAAGCTCCTCAAACTCACCCACAATGCCTCAACCACTGGCTGCGAAATGGCGTTGAACCTGTACCTCCCACCTCAAGCCACAGCCAATCGAAAAGTACCAGTGCTCTTCTACCTCTCAGGTCTGACCTGCACGGGAGACAACTGCGCCGAGAAGGGATTCTTTCAATATGGGGCAAGCCAGAAGGGAATAGCTGTTGTCTACCCCGATACCTCCCCTCGTATGTTCTCTGCCCCCACTTCTCTAAACCAACACGTTCTAAAAGAGGGATGAAACAGGAGGACTTAAGATCCAAGGCGAGGACGATGCATATGATTTTGGTACCGGCGCCGGCTTCTACATCGATGCCACTGCCGCCCCGTGGTCAACCAACTACAAGATGGAATCCTACATCACCTCCGAGTTACCCAAAGCGCTGTACGCGGCCTTCCCCGAGCTGGACTCGTCGCGCGTTAGCATTACGGGACACAGCATGGGTGGCCATGGTGCCCTGACTCTGTTCCTGAAGAACCCAGGCATGTACAAGAGTGTCAGTGCCTTTGCGCCGATCTCGAACCCGATCAACGCCCCGTGGGGCCAGAAGGCGTTCAAGGGATACCTTGGAGATAACCAGGAGGAGTGGAAGAAGCACGATGCGACAGAGTTGATCAAGAAGTGGAAGGGGAAGTTCAATGCCTTGATTGATGTGGTAGGCCTTTCCTGGAAAATGAAAATGATGACAAGAAGGAAAGGCTTGCTAATTGACAACTAGGGAACCGGTGACAATTTCTACAAGCAAAAACAACTGCTCCCAGAGAACTTCGCCGAGGCTGCGAAATCTTCAGGAAATGACAAAGAGTTGACCTTGAGATATCAAGAGGCATGTCAATGAAATGATAAAAGAGGTTCACTGCTGACTTTATATTAGGGTTATGACCACTCATACTACTTCATTTCAACATTTTCAACGGATCACGTTAACCACGCAGCAAAATACTTATTTGAATAGTATTATTCCTCTCCCTACTACCAAGCCACTAACTCATATCTATAGAAGCGATATGTCGCAGAGACAAAAGCTATAGAGAAAAAGCATACAATAAATTTATGCAATAAAACCCCTGTCCTTAAACCTATACCTAGTGATGTGAATGAATAAATATACTTCTGCCAACCTTGCGGGTATCTCTATATAAGCCTTGTTGGACAGCAAAAACCAAGGTCAACCAGTCATAGCTCGTAATTCGTAGTCAGCCCCAAACCTCCTCAAATCAGCTGATCCTCCTATCATCAAGTCCAATTCCGAAACTATCGTTCTCTCTCTTGATTCTCATCTCTGTTTCGGCTTCTCTCTTAATCCTAACGTATGCCAACCTTTCGAAGTGACTTAAGGCTTTCCACCAATGCCTTCCGGCTTCATGCTCACTGATTCTCTCTAGTAGGTCAACCACCTTAAACCTTACATCCTTGTCTCTGTGGAAGAGGCCTAGTGCTACATAGAAAAGACCTGCGTGGGATTCAGGCGCAACGGTGAGCAATTGGCAGATTTCGTCGTAGGTGTGGGTGTACTTTGAAAGAGCGAGGTAGATCTCTCGACTAGCAACTGGAGTCAGTTTCGTCATCCGCAATCGATCGTGCAAGTGGTGAAGATCAAGGGCCTTCAAAGGTCGGAAATTATACAGCTGGGCAAGGTCCTGCTTTAACGTTAAAATCGCCGCCGTACGTGTAATAAGCTATCAAACGTACCTGCTTGAAACTGTAGTAACTTCGCGTGTTTCTCCAGCCCTCAATTCGCATTACACCACCAGCCAACTCCCGCAGCTTGGAGGGTTCGTCACTCCAGACATACCCATGACCACTGACACTCTCATTACCGGGTTCCGCCTCTTCAACCCCAATATATAAGGCACTTGCTCCATACACGCTTTCTTCAAAAGCCGCAGCAATTCGCGTGAACTTTACAACCCAATCCCGCCATTTTGCTCGGATCGCACCCTCGCCATGGCGGGCAGCAATACTACGAAGGACATCGTTCATAAAAGCTGCATCACCGGTCGGGTCGTGCGTTATTTGAGTCGAAGATGTCACACCTACAGGGTATCCGGGATTCTGCTGTTGGAAATTTGCTAGCCCCTCCGTGAGTGGCGCTCCCTCAATCCGACTACTGATCTTCATGCGACCTGTAGGCAAATCACACAGCAGATCCCACCACTCAGGGTGATTCTCAAAGGTTGGGTTTGTGACCCCTGCAATGAATCCGGGAACTTTCAAGAGGTCATCTATCTTGCTGAGGTCGGTATATGGGAAAGCGTGACGAGTGAAACCTCGAAGAATACCTCCTGAAGCTAGCGCACATGCTGCAAGTACAGCTTCTGCAACCTCACCAGATGGGCGGTTGTAACCGAGGAATATGACACGCTTCTGTGTTAACATAGCATTGGCCAAGACAATGATAGGGTGTGTATATGGTCCTCCGGTAGTAAGATGGGGATGTAGCGGGAATGGCTGGGGCGACTTCGCATGGGGCTCCGCAAAAGTTTGAATGAGCTTAATAAGGGAGAAGTCTCCAACCGTCTCGGGGGATATCGCAACAGGGACTTTGATCGGGATGGCTATTCCGTTGTATACAACCTTGGTCTCGAATTCATGGGTGTCTCGAGGCACAGAATACATTGAATGGGCCTGGACGTGGGCTTTCGTCCCATTTCGAGTCAGATCCACGCGTCTTTCCGGGCTCTCAGCTAAAGCTGCAACACTCTCTGGTGGTTCGCCTCTGTCCTCAGCCATCCGAATTTGAATCATCTGCTCAAACTTTTCAACAAAGAGGTCCTTGTTGTCGCTAGCTTGCAATAGATGCCTTTCGAGGAGAGTTAGCCTCGGCATTAAGGACAAGTCCATGTTGTTGACAGCCTCGTATAGCAACGCCAGCGTTGCCGGATGGGGCGATTTAAAATATTCTTCAAGGGCTAGCAATAATAATGGCTATCTGCACATTAGAATTATGTCAAGACCAGAGATGGACCGGAATGAACAGACCTTATATATATGCAAGAAAGGGTGCCGCGTGCATATAGCCATAGCCTTGACTACCGCCCCTCTTTTCGCAGTTTTGTCTTGCTTTGTGTTGACAAGATTCAATACGTATATCAGCGGCGGTCCCTCTCCCCCTTCGGGTTCACTATCTTCTGAATCTTCGGCTTCCGGCTCGTCTTCTTCGGTTCCATTTTCATCGTCGGATTTTAGGATGCCTGCAGCCTTTTCCTTCCTCTTTTGACGTCTCTTTCGTTTCTCCTCCTTTTCCTCTGTTTCCTCGTCTTCTTGACTTGTATCCTTATGTAGAAAAAATATCGTCCAGTCTTGATTCCGCACATGTGCTTGATCCGGCAACATCAATTCCGCAAGCATATGTTCGTCTCCAGTTATTGCGACAGGATATTGATGTTCCATTACCGGTCCTTTATCGATATCGAATGATGCCACCAGAATATACTCCACATGATTCTCACCTTCCCCACGAGGGTACTGCGACCGCAACTTTCTCCTAGGATGTGCATCTGGATTGTGTTTGCGGGGTGCGGAGAGGGAGGAGTGCTGTGAGGATGGGCCGCTCGACGGCGACTTCGAATTCGAAGTTGGGTCGGATGTACGATCAGTATCAATCATTGGAGCGTTCGGACTTCTCGACGGCTTCGAATTTCGGGACATTGCTGACGGCGATCGAGACCTGGGGAAAGACGATAGGGAGGTTCTTCGAGGGCCTCCAAGGAGACCACCACTACTACTGGAACTTGTCGTTAACGTCAAGTCGGTTGTACCCCTTGTCATCGTGGGACGTTGCATGGCTGCCCTCGTAGCCTCGGTGTCCTGATGAATTGGGGCACTTCCATGGTAAGGGAGACTGGTAGCCATACGTGCCAAAGGACCCCTTACAATACTTTAGCTCCCTCCGCTATACGGAGACGTCGAATGGTATAATCGTGACGGTGCCCACTCTTCGCAGGGTTTCTGGGTTTCGGGGCATAGGAGCGGAGTGGCAGTCCGAGCGAGCCTGGGCCCCAGGGCCTTTCGGATAACAGCAGATGCTCGGAGCACAGAACTGGCACAAGATGGATTCAAGGGAAGAAGAAGGGGATGAAGGACGAACAAGCACCACGCCGGTGGTAATTGTAACGGTTGTTATACTGTGGAAGCGACATGTGTGTAGAAAGCGAGGAGGGCGGGGTGGATATCAAATGCCCTCTGCGCCTGCGAGGGAAACGGAGGTAAGGGCCTCAGGGGTAAAATGTTAAAATCTTCCATTGGATAAGGGTGGGAACTGCCGCTTGGAGACGCTAGTGGCCGGAGAGAAGCCGGCCAATCAGAGTGCGGCTCTGCCCTGCGCCCTGAGGAGTAGCGAGTCGGCTGAAGCAAAGCCTCGTGCTAAGCTGGTGTTTTGTTTACTTCCACCAAGCCATCGTCCCATCATCCATCACCATCACCATCACCGTCACCGTCAACCCCGCAACCCCACGACCCGACCCGTGAGGATTCATGGGGACTGATTGCAAATTACGGTTCCCATTTTCCTCCTATCACGATATCCAGCAACTATAGCTATAGCAAGAACACGCCTCGCTCGCATCCCATCGCAACCTCCTCCAGAACCACGACCCATACCCATACCTATACTCCCCGCCTGCAACGCGATGGCTACATCATACAAACCCTCACCCCTTTCCTACGGGTCCTCTCGTACATCTCCTTTTCGCCGCCCAGAGTCTCCGTTACCTGCATCTCCATTGAGACAGTCAACACCCACCTCTTCACCAACCAAGACAACATCAACGACGACGACAACAACCCCCTCAAGGCTGGCTAATAGCACCACACCAACCGCAGATGCGGATAAACTGACACCCAGAGGTACCCCACCTTTCTCTAGAGAATGGGAGCAGTCACCAACTCGAAGTGCGAGCGTCAGCCCAGGGTTTGGGAGTATGCTCTCCCGCCCACGAACCCCCGGGGACAATAATGCGTTGTCAAAATTACAGCCCGCTCAGGTCCGGGAATTGAGAGAGGGGTTTCAGATTTTGGACAGGGATAGTGACGGGCATGTTGGCAGAGAAGATGTAGCTGATATGTTGGCGCAATTGGGTGAGTGGCTCGGTTCCAATTCCAATATATCTTGCTGACGGCAAGTAAGGAATGTCATCCAACCCATCAGATGTAACGCCCTTCTTCCCACCCTCAACCTCACAGACGGTCACTCTTCCCGCATATCTAAACTCACTCGCCCCGCTACTTGCGTCTCTTTCCCCACCATCTGAGTTACTGTCCGCCTTTTCCGCCTTCGATGAAGACGACAGTGGACAGGTTGACATGGAAGAACTACGAGATGCGCTACTGCACACTGCACCTGATCCCGGTGTGGAAAGCCTGACTGAGCGAGATGTTGATAGAGTGATGAGTGGCTTCACAGGCAAGAGAGCATTTAAGAAATTCGTCGGAGGAAATATGGGGAAGAGGGGAGAAGTGTTCAAATATCAGGAGTTTGTAGCGGGTATTGCCGGTGGCCCCAGTGCTGATGAAAGAGAGCGGGGCGGAGACGAATAGGCGCTCTTAGAGTCTGGTTACTCTGAGATATTGATTTTCGAGCTCTCTATTCATACATTAATTGATAAAACAAAGCTCGGACGCGGATTGCAGCCGTCTTATTCTCTACTAAAAGTTGAAGGTAGGCATCAAGAAGGCCGGGAGAGATGCAAAAAGGGCGTAGAACTTGCCATCTTATGACCAAATTTTACGCATGATGAATACTACATAGGTAGGTAGGATATAGCGCCTAAGCAGTTTGTAGATGCGGTTTCTGTAAGCAATAGAAACGCCTGAATATTATCCAGATACCCAAAAGTTAATCCGGAATAGTATCTATATAGTTTTTATGTATTTGTTCATAAGATCATCCGTCGTCATCATCATCATGAAGTGCTCTCATCAATCATAAGCATCAACATCGTAACCTCGTATAGCTCGTTCCAGCCGCCCCTCCCTTTTCTACTCACTCTTCTTCGTAGCCGTACCCCAAGTACTAGCCTTACTCATTGTCCTCTTCCGCATCATAGCCATGATCTGCCTCTCCATATCCTCGCTCCCCTTCTCGAGGTCCACATCCTCCTTATCGTAGATAGCTTCCCTGCGCTTCTCCCACACGTACCAGAAGCCCACGATGGCCATGGTCAGCGGCACCGTGATGGCCCAGTAGATCCAGAAGTTACTCGAGACCACGGGGCCCGGGTTCTGGAAGTTGAAAAACGTCATGGAGAATACGGATGCGAGATACGCGCCGGGTAGGAAGATGGCGCCGAGGAGCGAGATGGTCTTCATTGCCGTAGAGTCCCGTTTGCTGGCGTGCGCGAGCTTTCGTTGTTCTCCTGCCATTTGGAAGTTGAGCTTGCTCTCCTTTTGCGCGATGATGTTGTACAGCTAGGTAATCCCGAATGTCAGCAGTTTAGACCTTAGGAAGGGAGGGATGAGGTACGTACGGCGCTCCTTTGGATGTCAAGCCTTTGCAGGGTCGTATAGGCATAACTCTCTATCCCCTGCAACTTGACTCTATAAAAGTCCAGGCGGGCCTCCATACTAGCCTGCAACTTCCTCATCTGCTCATCTCTCCTATGCTCTGGTAACTTGTCCCAGAACTTCTTCAGAGCCTTCTCGATCCCCGCCACGATCTCGAGGTAGGCCTTGGGTCTCTTCCAGAGAACCTGCGAGTGACACTCAACGAGATCCCTGTTGATGGCATCCAGATCTACAACACCATCGGTCACGTACCCCTCTTTCTCCACAATCTCGTTCCGCATGCTCACGGCATGCTCGAGGCGCCGTAGCCAATCACGTGCTTCTCGTTGTTTGATGTCAGTCTTGAAGCTCACATCGTGGCTGAATATGATGATTGGGAGGAGCATTGGATGACCGATTTGCAAGACACATGCTTTGAGATGCTTGATGCACTCCACCATATCGGAACTAGCGGTGCCCTTGGCGTACCCGGTCGTGATGGCATTGTTCACATCGTGGGAGAGGGTGAGTTCCCAACCGCGAGTGAAGCCCTTCTTGCGAACATCGCTCTTCCGATTGACAATCTCTGAAGCCCGGGGTTAGACGTGCGACGGGATGGGGTGGCGTGAGAGAGACGTACGGAGATGAGGATTGGCTTCGTTCTGGTCGTATGCGCACCAGAAGAAGGGCCCAACGCAACTCGTGCTCTCAATTGCGCGATAGGGCAGGTTCATTGTTTCTACCATAGCCCGGTACATGCTGTGCTTGATACTGATGTAATGAGGGCTGAAAGTATTGGGATCGGACGCATTCAGTTGCAGGCTTCATGAGGTTAGCTTTCTCCACGATTGAGCAATGCAAATGTACTCACATCAATCGTAGGCAACCTAGTTGAACAACCCCAGGTGGTACTTCTCGGGGAGTATAAACTCCCTGGATATCAAGTCAGTTCTACTTTCGCCAGAAAAGATTGAGCACCAGCATATCCCATACCCTTCGATGGAGGAAGTTCTCAAATTCATCTGGAGTCAATGGATGCTCCTCCACTGTATTCAACGACGGGTCCTTATGTCTGTTAGTGCGGACCTGCGATTGGCATTCCCCAACTGATCACTCACAGAGTACGAGTAGATTTCCAGATAGCTAGTAGCTTCGGGAACAAATACGCAGCGCTCAACATTGGCCTTGAACATATAATCGTCCATGGCAGCGATTCATCTTCTCACCGCCTCTGGAACCAATCCCCCAATAAAACAGGCAAACAAACAAACAAAACAAGCCAGACAACAAAAAGCAAAAGCGCGCGAGAAAAAAAAAAGATCACTGTAGACGATAACAATATTTGACGCTGAAGAACAGCATGAAGGAGGGAAGGGTAGGCGGGTTGATGGCGCATGCAGTTAACTAGTTATACTCGGTGGGCCTCTCTTGGCGGCCGCGCTGCTTAAGTCCCGTAGCGTAGCAGAAACCTCCCGAGTCCCCAACCTCCCCGCATGCCTGTCACAAGTGTGAGGCTGAAGTGGGCAAAGCGAAGAGTTCGCAAGAGAGGGGCCCAGGGCGAGTGATTGGCCCGGATTACGAAAATCGGCAAATAGAGCGGGGGCCAGAACCTCGATTGCGAGATGTCAATGAGACACATGTTGAGATTATGTTAAGAGCACCAGAGAGGTACTGTAGTGTCAAAATGATGGATCTTCGCACAGATATACCTCTGTAGTTAAGTAGGACATGGAATAACAGTCTTGCGTGTGAAGAGAGATCCTACCCCTACGGAACACAATTCAGGCATGTCCCAACATATCATGGGCATGGGCCCGATTAATTTTCTCCAAACGCCGGCTCTGCTTTCTAGTCATAAATATATTGAGATATTCTAATTAAAAAAATCTAGACCCTAAATCTATATTGAAATTCAAGCGAGTACACGCGGTATCATCCAGGACTCATCCACCAACTCCTTCCGCTATGCCATGCCAAGCAAATCATCATAATCTTACCCTCCCATCTTGTCGAGCCCCAAACAAATTGGTGATAGTATTAGCACCTTGTCGACTAGGACCTGGGGAATCATCCCCTCCCATCCACTTGGGCCTCTTGATACCCTCCCCAATATTGGGGAACCATTTCGGAGCTTCGAAAGTATCAATGGTATTTTTGACTCGATGGCTGAATGCCTCGAAAAACCCCTCATCTTCCGGCTCCACGTCTTGTTCTTGTCGGGGAGCAGTCCTAGATCTAGCTGGAGGCGCTCGGCCTGAGGAACGATCTATTGGGGCCGGGATAGTTGCGGCTCTTCGATTGTTGGAATTGTTCGGACCGTAAGAACGTCTATATGCTGGGCCATTTCCTAGTCGACCTAGGGACGAATGACCTTGCAGTTCTCGCTCAATCAAATCTCTTCCTTCGCGCCAAGATCCAGTTCCATAAGCAGTAGTGTTCTCCTCATCCTCATCGTCAATTACTTCACCAAATCCGACGCACCGCTTGACCTTGCCATACAGGTTGAAGAGAGTTGCGCAGACTGGAACCAAAATGAAGATGGGAAATAAAAGGTCAAACCATTTCCCAAGAGGCGTAAATTTGATGAGCCTCCCAAGGAAATGATTGAAAACAGTCGGCTCAGAGACGTCGCGAGATAGGAATGTCAAGAAGTTGAAAGACAGGGGCACAGAGAGCTTTGCCACCTGCATGGCATACCACATTGCGCTTTCACCATGGGTGTTCCTTCTGACCAACGCTCTCCCCCTCCAGACTTTTACTTCGGTCAATGAAGTGAGGGCCGCTGCAAACATATACAAGATCCAGCAAGCCGCGATTACTTGTCCTGCAAATCCAATCTGGCCCCGTTCGCTGTCCGGGTGGTGGATAACCGTGAGAGCAACGATCGAAAATATTGGGTTGACTGACTTGCTGAGTTCTGACCAGATAATACATATCGACGCCAGCGAAAAGAAGCATCCGAGGAAGATCCTCGTATATGGAACAAAGTAGTACTTGTAAAGATATCGTGTGTAGGGGGTGAGAATGGTAAAGCGGTCAAACACCGACGAATACGGAGACGTTTGACCAATCTCGATCTGCTTGGATGCCGCGGAATCGAGAACTGCTTGGGTTGCAACAGCTTCGTACAAGAGGCGATCCCACTCATCGACATATCTTGCACGATTGTGTCTCGCTCTGCTGAGTTGACGGCTTAGATCTGCCAGATACTTTTCGGTAATCACGTTTGGTATAGTGACTTGAGGCGCAGGTACACGCTGGGTCACGGTACGAGGTCGTGACTCAGGAAGATGTATATCTTCAGCAAGCTCCTCGATCCAATCCTGGAAGACCTTCGCTGATCCGGTCTTTCTGCGAGCTAGTTCTTCGACCTGTGCCTCTAAATCATCTAGGTACTGGATCGCATCCTCCATCTTTTCATGAACTTTCGCAGCATTGCCTTGGATTCGCTTCAATCTCCCACTCACGCTCGCATTTCTGAAGAGTCGTCTCGGGATTGCGACAAGTCCGTGGCCCATTAGGTAAATCGCGAGTACCAATCCCCAGCTGTACGCCAGTGCCATAACCAAGCTCTTCAGAGATTCCAGCGATACACCGTAAGATACAAACACATATACTCCTGCTATAATCCCGGCCCCGAATACGAGTGATTGATATCGGACGTTCGCGCGAAGAGAGAACAGCAGTCGACCTTTTGGATCTCGATAGCCGGCATCGGCGTATTCCGCAAGCAAGGGAAGAATAAACCTAGACCATGTCAGCATCCGTACCAGTTAATACATCTGATGGGCAAGCATACCAAGTCAATACGAATGTAAGCCAGTACGAGATTCTCCATGAAACCAATAGCAGCCGGCGGGGGAGCCATATGCCTCTGCTTCCAGCGTCATGGTCACTGGAACTGGATGCGATATCGATTGGAACAAGGAGGATGATGCTCGCTGGTAACCAGAGCGCAAAGAATATAGGAACGAGAAGGTATGCCGGCGTCGTCCGTAATGGAAGATAGTATCGCTCAAGGAGGAGCACAACTAAACTGATAACCAGCAGAGCTATAACAAAGAAAATTTCTGAGCCGATTGGCGGCGACGCCGCTTCGATAGTTGTCATGGCGATAGCAGCGAGAGTGGTTTTCCCATTTGAATCGGGAAAATGGTTGCTTGAGCTATCCAGAAGGAAGGTCGTCGAAGGCTGTCATTGAGATTGTGAGAGACGACGTAAATGCGGAATGCGGAACCACCGTCAGACGATGTAGCCGAGCGCCGTTGGACTATTCCGCGATAGATTGATATGCCCACGCCTGGCCCCGCGCACAAAATTTTCGCGGCATGTCGTATGATTTATCATCCTCGTTCGTGGACCTAGCAGGCTCATGCAGCATGTTTGCTCGAGGGACTGCAAACTTCAATCGTCAACCTAGGCATCATGGCGACCCTCTCGGACAACATTAACAACGGCGGCCAACCCGATTTCTCGTCCGATCAAGCAGCAATTCTCCGCGATATTGCCAGGAATGGTGCCGGCGATGAAGCCAGCGCCTATGGCTTCAGCGATGCGGGATCCAATGGTCATTCAAGTGGTACAGCCCGCAACCCTCAGTCCCGCATTCTTTCGCATTCTCTCTGATGCTTACTACATCATCTAGGGCTCTCCAATAGCTTGCATGACCTAGAGGACCCCGCGGCCTTGCTGGAGAGTCTGGCCAATTTTGAACATGGCCCATCCGGCAACGAAGCCAATACCGCCGTGTCCAACGATCACTTTGCCAGCCTCCTCCAAGCTGCTGCGACAGCGACTGGAGAAGAAGCCGCACAGACGGGGCACGATCAGAGTAGGCGGAGTACAGTGCAATCCACGACGCCGGAACAATATGGCTTTCCTCAGAGTCCGCCCGGATCTGCTCAGAGAAAGCGCAAGCGGCATGAGCGAGATGACGACCAGTCATTCGGGTTCATAACGAGTAAGCAACGAAGACGTTCTAGCCCGGAGGACGAGGAACAACAACTGGCCAGGGAACGTGAGATATGGGGCCCGGAGGATAATGAGGATGAGGGGGGTTCGCCGGCTTTGGAGTACCAACAGACACCCATTGCGACCGCCGATGCAAGAGCTGTGGGGGTGCATTCTGCTGCGGCCCTATTCCGACGACCCTCTACGGCGTCAAAGAAATATACCAGTAGGTTTAAATACTATCTATTCTATCTGACCGTAGTTAATCCAGGTCCAGGACCGCCCATGTCCAAGCTCTTTACTTCCCTAGAATTAACACCAGAACAATTCCTTCACCTGCAGGCAGCTGCAAAGAATTATATGTTGGACGAAAAATATCCAGAACGGAGCGAGTGTGTTGGCAATCGAGGGAGAGGTGATACGGATATGATAAAGTTAAAACTGTTTGGGTGTGTGAAATCATTTCTCGAGGACGAAGGCTGGGGTGAGAGGTGTTTCGGAGAGAATGCGCCAGGGGCTGACCAGAGGAAGTTGAAATGGCCACAGATGAAAAACAAGTAAGTTTCGAATTTGGTTTCTTTCTTTTTTTTCTTTTTGATTTACATTTTTATCTATATTTTCGGCACGCTCTCTGGGCGATGAGTGGCTGACAGCGATCAGGGTCATATCGCTTGTCACTCCGCTGATGCGTCGTATGGTCACCAACGAGAGGCAACGTAAGTATGCCATAGAGAGTAGGAAGAACGCCGCAAAGGCAGGAGGTAGGCGGCAGCACGAGCAGGGCTCGGCAACTCCCCAAGGTAGCACTCCACAGCCCGATGGGCAGTCACAGTTACTCCCAACCTCATCAGTCCAGGATATCGACCCGAAACTCAATCAATACCACTACAATCTCGATTCTTCACTCCCGCCAGAGGACCGACCGACTACAGCAAACACAACCAGAGCTACGTCGGTATTTGCTAAGAAGGCGGCTGAAGGCGAGGGTCTCAAGTACCACGTGAGCATCATGCATGAGGGGCGGCGACTCATGCCTAGGTTTACCTTGACACCGAGCACGTGCCCTGGATTCTCGAGCCTAGTCCAACACATTCACAGCATCATGGACGACGAAGGTCGAAAGGTCAGTAGCGTCAAGATCCTGGGTCCAAGCGGCTTGGTAGATGTGAGTGATGAGGACACATGGAGGGAGGCTATCGAAACAGTCAAACAAACTGAATGGATGGATGGCGAGGCCAAATGTGTCGTCCATGTAGAATAGACCCGCAAGTGCGGTCTTAAGGGGTATGGTATCATAGAGGTGCTTCTGGTGTAATCCGAAGGGACTCTTCCTTTGACAATGTCTAGTGGCAATTTCAGGCTTTCGAAGTAACGGATGGTGCTTACGATTGACCACGACAAGCCGGCTATGCAATCCGGCAGTGTAGATACAGATATGTATGAACTTATAGCCAGTGCTCGACCAAGGTCGCGCTATATCTGGTATCAGCAGAATCTCTCCTAGCTAGGTATAGATAGATAAACTCACATGTCACACTCGTCGTCCCCTATCCCTTGACTCGATAAATTGCAGCTCCTCTGGCGTGACCGAGATCTCTTGGCGTTCACTCTCTCCTCTTCAAGATGCCGATAACCAACCACCTCTTCCTCTCTGTAACATCCTCAATGCCTCGATCCGGGACCCAGTCCCTCTCCAGCCCCTCCGCATTCCTCTCCCAAATCCTCTCGATTCGCAGCCCCGCCTCCTCCAACGCGCTCTCCTCATAGAACCCACGCATCTTCTCCCGCCCCGTATGGAAGCCCGCCACGACCCACGCCTCCCCATCCACACTCAAGAACCACCTAATACTCCTCAACAAATTCGCATGCTGCCAAGGCATCCACAAGCAATCGGCAACCAGAATCCTGCCAAACGCCTCCTTCCCACTCATCGCGAACCCATCATCCAGCACGCCCCATTCATGACCCTGCACGCAGGCCTCCGCCCGCTTCCCCACGTTCCGCTCCACATTCCCCCGGATATTCGCCAGCACTTCTGGCGCCGGGTAATCCGTGATGGCCACGTCCCGCGCGCCCGACAGCGCCGCCACGATGCCCGCGAGTCCCGTGCCGGCGCCGAGCTCGAGCACGCGGTGCCCGCGCACCGACCATGCTGCGCCGCCCTCCTCCATGAACGCCGCGAGCTGCACGCCCGCGTTCCACACGAAGTGGCTGAAGAGCCGCCGGCTGGTCTCGCCCTGCGGGTCGGCGAGCGTGAGCGTGAGCGGGCCGTGCTGCGAGGAGAGGTAGATGACTGAGTTGTCGCGGTCGCCGTGTTGGTTGGTGATGTCGTCGGGGAAGATTACGGCGAGGGAGGAGGAGAGGATGTCTTCGGGCTCGTTGGTCTCTGGACCGCTGAGCCGGATCTTGTCGGTGAGCATGTTGACGGGTGCTGGGCTCCTCTTGTGGTTGGGGTATGGACGGATCCCATGCACTGGGGTGAGGAGGTGGTTGGGTGCGAGAAGACTGATGTTGAGCGTGTTGATGGTTCTTTCACTGCAAAGGGATTTCCCCCTCTACACCCCTCCGTCTCAGCCTTGCGAAATCGGGCTAGCAAAAATGCGACTAACTGTACTTGGATAGTCTGGTTATCACATGATTTCACAATGACACCACGCCAATTGGAACTAGAAGTCTTGGAGATGACCCTTATTTGACAATTATTTTACTAGTAAAACATCTTCCCTGGTGCCATCGCAACATAAACGGACCGACCCGCGGCCTAATGTTTGGAAGAAATGGAAGACGTGACGCTCTAGAAGAGTTTTCGACATGACCAGTCCAGCCGACCCTGGAGCCTATACGATGATGATGAAGAAGAAAACAGCTTTTCCGTGTCCCGTTATCCAATTCTATGACATGGAAAATAAATGGTATCGTCCGTAACCCGTATCCCCAGCGCCGGTTGAATGAAAAGATAAAAATAAAAATAAACAATGTGTAGCGGTGTATCTTCGTAACACATATCTCATAAGACCTGAGGTGTGGCTTCATCATGTCTCGTGCTTGACCTCCATCAGCTCCTCCAAATCCAAAGGAGATAGGTCGTCTGAGATCCAGGGTCCTTTTTCTTCTTCTGTGGAATTGTGGAAAGCATCAGCACGGCGCATCGTCTGGACATCTAGGTCTGTGACATAGGCCTTCTCGTCTCCGAGCTTCAAGCGGACTTCGTGGTCCGTATCGACCATCATATCATCTTTCCAGAGACGTCGTGGTCCGTCAAAGACGCACAGGATCCGCTTCTTCATCTTCATCTGGGACGAGGAGCATCCCCAAGATAAGGGGTAATCCTTGCGCTTCTTGCGGCCCTTCAATCTCAAGGTCACGCCACCTCTCGAGTGGGTGAGCCCCCGGGACTTTTGCACCCCATTTATGGGATTTCGGCTACCTCGATTTTTGCGAGTTGTTTTGAGACGGAGACGGAAATCATCATCGTCATCTTCATCTATGTCATCCTCGTCGTTCACATCATCTGCCGAGTAGATCTGAGTAGTAGTCGGCAGAGAATTATTTCGAAGAGTTTCTTGCACATCTTCGTCCTGTTCGACCTCTGCGAGGCGAGCGGCATTGATGGCTTCTGAAGGTTCTTCTTGCTGAACTATGCGGAGAACGCAATCGTCAAGATGCTCGTAGAAGTCTTGGGCGTTGGCAAAGGTTGCTGAGCAGGTTGAGCACTTGCCAGTGGCATCTGGCGGATAGCCTGCGAGTTTCTTGCCGCTGTTGGTACTTGGCGAGGCCTTCTTTCGGCTGTTTGGTGGTGTTTGCTCGACTGCGTGCACCGAGGTCAAGTGCCGTTTGAAGACGTCCGCGCGGTTGAAGGATTTCTCTGCCGCGGACCCGGAGCCCGGGCAGAAGCCACACACCATCGTCCCTTTGTAATGGGTCAACGTGTGGCGGTTCTTATCGTACTTTCTTGCGAAGCCCTTGACGTGGTATTCACACGTCTGGATTGGGCATTTCTCGGGGCGCTCATTCTGGTGCGTAAGCATGTGTGCCTTTAGATCTTTAAAGATCTTTCCACACTCGGGATATGTGCAGCGATCCTTCTCCCTGGACTCTTCGCCGCTGAAGTTTTCCTGGCTCTCAAAAGACTGGATAGACTGTCGCCGTTGTGGTGGGTACGAATATCCCGCATATTGAGAGCTCGGATACGGTGATTGGCTACCCTGCTTGATGGGCCTTGGGCTCCTTGACAATTGCGACAGAGAAGGCGATGTGGGATATGTTGGCGGCTGATACACGGATGCATCATTCAACGGCGTTCCTGATGGGAGGCCAGGATATTGCGCATTCAGGATCGACGGGTCTGAAGCTTCAAATGTTAGCGTATTGCTCCGTCTCGATGAAGCTGAGGAAAGATGTCGCTGCATTAACTGAGAAAAGCAACAAGGCCATTGATGCAGATATGAGGAAATTTGGGAGGGCAAGAGACCAGTCCGTGCCGATGACATTCAAAAATGAGATGTCCTTTGCACTTACCAACAAAACCGTGTGGTTTGGCCTGCTTGAAATCTAAAGCAAACTCTTCCATACCTGAAGATGCGAAATTATACTCGTGGCCATTGTGGATGGAGCCGTCGAAGCCAACGATGCTGGGGTTGAGTCCGAGGCCATGTACTGGCCATTCCGGTCCTGGAGCGATGTGACCGTGGATCGAGTGAGGAGAGCCCATTGCTGAGGATGTTGCCGACGGGCCAGACGCAGTGGAGTAATTCGATGGTGCTCCTGCCCGAAGTTCTGGTGACTCGAGAGCATATGAAGAAGCCGCTTCCGGGTACATGGCATTGGAATTAAAGCCAGTGGGATACGATGTTTGTGCCCTTGCGAATGCGTATGAGGAGTTGTTATCCAGGTCGAAGTTTTGGCCCTGGGGGAACGGGGAGGTCTGTTGTTGGAGCATGGCGGCGGATGGGTGCGGGTAGAGAGGGAAGTCTGGCCCTTCGCTGCCGTTGCCCATATGGCGCGAGAGCATATGATATGTGTGGTCTGTCATAATGGAGACCATTGTGGAGGAGTTTGTCGGCAGTGATGGCTGGCGGCTGCTGTCTTGGAGAGAAGCCACTATCGGCGACTGAGTCATGTCAGCCAGCGAGCACTGGACCGGAGAATTTGTGCTTAGATTAAAGCCAGATTAAATTCATACCTGCAACTCCGGAGACACCCCAGGGCGGTTAAGCTACCCAAGTCGAGAACCGGATCGATAAAACAGCGGGAAGCGAATGCGATGGTCTCATGTATGAGTGAAGCACCGAGGATCCTGCGAGTGGACTGGTGGAGGCTCGGGGCACGGGGGGAAAGTAGCGAAGACCGGGGGGGGAGGGAACGGCCTGATCTGGATCTGAGACAGGCGGGAGGGCGTTGGGGGGGATATTCGAGGAGGCAGAGGCGGGGAGGGAGGAAGTGAGGATATGTGAGGATATAGGGATATATACTTCCGGTCTGTGTCTGTGTGGACGTGCACGCGTAGATAGATGTATGCGTGTGAACGAGAGGAAGAGGGGACGAGCAGATGTGTATATATATACAGGGCGGCTCCTCGGTGTGTGGGTAGGTAGGTATGTGTCGGGGGAGGGTTGAGAGGAGGGTGCGGTAAGGGAAAAGGTAAGATTAGGTACGAGGCGGGCCGCTGGGGAGAAGCAGGTGTTCGTCTTCTTGGCAGGCAGCGGGAGCAGCCAGAGCCAGAGGTGGAGCTGGAGGTGGATAGGCGTAGGAAGTGTGGAGGAGACGGGAGGGGGGAGCAGAGGTAGAAGTAGAAGTAGAGGGAGAGGGAGAAGTAGTAGACGGAGACGGAGACGGAGACGCAGAATACACGAATATAATCATCAGCATGGAGGAGCAGAAATGGTAATGCTGGGGGGGGGGTTGCTCTCCCAGGAGTTGGGGGCAGGGCCGGGGTTATTATTGCCCTCGAGATCGGTTACCAGGGCGGCTGGCCCTAGCAGATGGACGGGAAGGGAGGGAGGGGGGGGAGGAGTGATCGTACGACGTGCAGTACTACTACCGCTCTCCGTAGGGATGGGGGATGGGATGCGATGCGATGCGATGGGATGGCCATGGGATGGGATGATGACCATGGGCATTAATGGGCAATGGGCAAATAACGGGCCATGAACATGGATCCTGCATCGGGAAAAGCCTCGAAAGGAGGCCCAACACAGGTTTAGCCTTTAGGTCTACCGTGTAGTCGTAGTAGTGCCCACAGGAAGCCCCGGCTCGAGAGACGCGAGAAGACTACCAACTACTCCGTCTCCGTCCAGAGTCAGGGCGATCCTGGCCAGGCCCGCTTGACTTCAATGCCCCCCCCCTTTCCAGTGTGAAGCTATTCCCAGTAGCTGCCATTGCCCCCCTTGTGCCATGCTAAAGGGTATTCGGTGTCGACCCGTGGGCACTGGCCACTGGCTATTGCGCACTGCCAGACGGCCATCTCCATCCCATCCCATCCCATCCCATCCATGACCCTTCTGTTCTGCCCCCTCTCCCCCAAGTTGCCCCCCAACCAATCCCCGTCCGCTCCTCGCATCTATCTATCTGTCTGTCTGTCTGGCCGTGGCCATCCACATCCATCAGTGATTGCCGCGATGGTAAGCACACCGTCTACCCACGGCCTTCTCTGCCCAGTCTCCTTCGCTTGATTTACACGGTTTGCGTGCTGCTCACCTATCTGGATCGGGGCCTGCGAGATCGATCTCCACAGTGGACTCCGTCGACTACTTGGTACTATACGGTAATAAATACGCCGTCACATCAGATTTATCACGTACCTCCGTTCTGTACATGCTACTCGACATGGTATAGTACCTCGTGGGATCCCCCCCCCGTCCCGCGGGCTCCCGAGCCACCCAGAATCCCAGAGACAAGATCCCCCCCCCCCGGCGTCCCAACATCCGGCATCCCTGCATCCTCGCATCCCAGGCGCACGTCGTCCCAAAGGAGGGTAAGGCTGTGCCCGCGTACACCGCGGTGAAGGGGAAAGCAAGTAGGACACGCAGTAGCAGTAGCTAAGGCAGGCGAGTCATCCTGTCTTTAGGCTGTGCCTACTGACCCGCCAGAACACTTTGTAACTTGGTATGGAAGTCCTCCGTCCTGTACGTGCTTCTAGGGGACTATAGTGACACCTCCGCGAGTAGTCCTCCGTGGGTAGCCCTCCGTAGAGCCGTGCTACTGTACTGGGGAGCCGGGCAGTGGAGCCTCACAAGAGATCGGTCTGATAGACTGATAGCCCGCGCGGGAAGTAGGTACAGTGCTACTGCGTGCGCATACGTCTATGGGAGCTTCACTTGGGAACTTAGGGTCTCCTTATTTTTACTCCGTAGGACTTGGGAAGAGGGGGAACTTGGGAAAGGAAAAGGGAGGCCTTCCAGACAGGCCCCCACCGTCGTAGCGCTGGCCAACCAATCGATACATCCAGGGTCCTTCCTTCTGAACCCTCCAGAGATTCAGACTGAGATCGGATTCAGATGCGCCCTTAGACCCAGACCGAGAGGCTCACCCGCTCCACATACTCTGCAGAAGATTTACCGCCGTGCTCTGTAGAACGGCGAGCGCCGTACGCGCGGTGTAACCGCCCTAGTATTACTTGCTTACACCGTAGATGACTTGGGACACACGGGACTGCTCATCCTTTGGGACTGTTGACACGACGAAACCTCCTCGACGAGAAGCCCTGTGGATGGGCTTTGTGCCACAGTCTCACGGTCTGGCAGACAGACCCCTTCGGGCTACCGGCTGTGGATCAAGCCCCGATCTGGGCAACGTGCCACGGCTTCTCGTGGGCGGGGAAGCATTTAGAGTTCTGTGCCACTGTCTGGTCGCTTCTCTGCTCCCGATAGAGAATGATGCTTTGCCTGGATACATGCTCTGCCAAGTACCGTGCGCCGTGTAGAGTACATAGCAGTATGCTGTCTGTACTGTATAGACTGGATCCTCCCCCTCTACGGTGCAGTCGGTGAGGTATGTCGAGCGAAGCCTGCGATGGCATGCCCTTGAGCCGGCAGACACCCCGACGGGATTCCCGGCTCCGGATCCTGAAGTGAAGAATTGAAGAAGTGAAGAATTATGAACGGGCCTGGGCCTGTTCGCAGATTCTTCTCTGCAGGCCTGCACCGTCCTCGCGGGGCTCGCGATCAATAACTCCGTAGACGTACTGTACTCCTTGCTGCGGCTCTGGGCAGTCCCTGGGTATGTGCTGCGTACATCCAGGCACGGTGTACCCCGTATCATCGTATGTGTGTCCGAAGTACTCCGTGATAAGCATCATCATGATCGCCATCACCGCCGGCTAGCCCTCACCCACGGAGTAGAGGACCCAAGAAATTCCCAAAAGCAACACCGGCCAAGAAACAGGGGCCCAGGGTCAGGGGCCAGGGGCGAGGGATCAGGGGTCAGGGGATCTGGCTGGGCGATGACGGCTTCCCGTCGGGACTGTGGCTCAGCAGTCAATCCCTCTGCTGATTGGCCCGTTTACGAGACCCGCCACAGCACCTGTCCCGCCGTGGCCGTGCTTCTAAAAACAATCCGGTGCAGAAAATGCAGGAAACAGAGGACGGCGCGGGAAAACTGGGAACCGCACGACGAGGCTGTGCGCCCCGACCGTAAGGGGCGGAATATGATGATAATGATCTGATGGAAATGATATTCCGTAGTAGCATTTCCTTAGCATGCGGATAAACGACATCAAATGGTGGAGAGGAAGACATCATCGCCCGTGGTGCGAGGCCATCGGTGAGAAACCCACCCCCTCCTGTCCCCCAGGCACAGACTTTCTTCGCCCCGGCCCTGGCCCTTGAGCCACTCGGGACGAGCCATTTCACGAGGCAGATTTGCATCACCCATCGTAATGATCCCTCCCCCTTCAACCACTCGGGCCTCCTCGTATCGTGACTTGTCGACGCTCTCCCTCGCCTACCATCGCCTTCCCCCCCTTTATCTCGCGGCCTTACAGTACCTTAGGTACAGTACTGCAGAATCTCCACAATGCCACATCAGGCTTCCATTCTGTTCCCGCTGCCTGCAGACTTTCGGAGATAGAAATGAAATGCCACAGGGGCTCAGCCTTATGACAAGGGGCCAGCGAGTGATTGGTCGGTGTCTTGCCTTGCCAATTTGCAATGGGGGAGGCCCCTACTCTCGTCGTCAGAAGTTTAAGGGGGGTGTCGGGCTTGCTGGGCTATGAATGGTTGACGAGTAGAACCTCCAAACAATACGTCCGTAGGCCGTTGAAGCTATGGTGACTCCCGTACTACCGGGCAAGGTGAATCGTACCAAGACTCAAAGTACTCGCGTCTGTCCTTCCTTACAAGCCCGCGATGTGGTGTCCAATGACGCTTTCCGTCGAGACGCATTCCACATGTCCTGATATGGACTGTTGTCCGGTATCCATAAATACTGGTCTAATCAACGGGGTCCTCTCCTATGCGCGTGTCGTCAGAATCAAAAACAAGACTCCGGAGCCTTACCACTATTCGGGGCAAAGTAGGTGGCACAGCCCTCCATGTGCCCCTGGTCAGAGACCGTAGGGCTTAGCGACCTTTACGGGGTAAGTCAGTATGTGTACGGTGGTAGGTCCACGAGTCCAAGGCTGATCGGTCCCTGTGCCGATCTAATACTCAACCTACTCTAGGCACAGTAAAGCCCTGAGGCTCACGGTTCGGCGATGCCGCTTTGGCGCATTCCCCCAACACCTTCGTGGAGAAACGTTGTCACCAAAGGGTGCTTGTCTTACCGCCCGTACTCTGGCCAGTAGGAAGGCGTGTAGCGCTGTGGTAGACTGGTAGTCGAGCTCGTAGGGCAGTGTGGTACGGAAGTACTGTAGCAATGAATGGGGATGACTGCAGGAAAGAAACGATGAGTTGCGTCAAGCAGCTCACATGCAACGCCCAACGGCTAGATAATTATAGTCACCGTATGTGAATATGCAGCAAGCGGAGCCAACGGTGCAGTCACAGTCTCCTCAGTAGAAGGTTCCCTCGACTTCCATACGAAGTATGATCTTTGGCACCTGCAGCCCAGCCCTCATTTTCTTCGTTCTTGAGTTTTGGGATTCTCGTGGCATTGGCGACCACTGTCACTGGCTCACCCCCGTAGTACGTCCTCACACCGACTCTCTTACCCATGCGTATCCAATGCCTGAACGGGCCACGAGGCTCCAAGCCTTGGCTCCAAGTCTTGGCTCCGATTCAAGAAATCAAGTGATTTGTCTGCAATGTACTGTACTCTGTAGGAGAGGCTATTGGAGCCTTCAGGGTTAGTATTGGATACAGGCTGCTGCTCGTTCCCCTCAGTAACTTCATACTCGGTCTGTCCATATCGACAAGCAAGGGTACCTTATCTGGGCTCCGAAGATTCAGAATCAAGTTACCGGGCCAGAGGAGTAAACAAACAATGACCTACTCGGTAATGCAGCATCCGGCTCGAAGTCTTCCGTACTTGATAAGACTCCCCTGGAGATAGGAGGGTGTGCACACTATGCCACAAATTCCCTTTTTCGGTGTGCAAGATGCGACATCCAATAGGGACGATGCGATACAGAGCAGGTATTCGTTACGGCCATACCGTGAAGTCGTCTGTCCCTCTCAAAGGGGAGGGTACTCTCCATAATTGTCGATCACAACTGGACCACCACCCATGCTTCGTAGTCTGTATACTCTGTAATTGTGTGGCAGTCTCGATTCTTGGACCTGGTGGGTTTGATTGGCCTATCCGCCGTGCCTGGGACTACTCCGTCGGTGTCCAGGCCCTGTCGTTATTCCCTGTACTCGTGCAAGTCGCAATCTCAGAGTATATTTTTCATCTCGGATCCTCGAGACCTTGAGGCTCTTTCGGAAGGCTTCTGCTTCATGATGGGCAGAGTAATGTCTCTTGTCGTATGTTGGGCCAACCACAGTACGTTGTCAACATGTCACTGAGGACGGGTGGGCTCCTGCACCCGCGCACGGTCTCCCGAGCCCTGTCAGACAGGCTGTCAGCAGAATTCATGCGACTTACCTCTGTATGGTATCCAGCCTGTCCTTACGGAGTGAAAGCCAAGCCGCGATCACAAATCAGAGATCACTAATGGCTCGCCTGGCAGGCAGGGGAAGACTGCACAGTATCCGGAGGCTGGGTCTATTTTTCGCAACACTGCCCTGCGACTGCCCTGCGCGCTCTCCGAGTCTTCGAATGGAAAAATAGCGGGGAACCCGATGCTGTGGGTACGGGTAGGGTCCGCTCGTGGAAGCAATATATTGTCCAGTAATAATGATCTGCGCGGTACGGGAGATATGCCATTGATTCTCGGAAGAGCCACGTGGTGTGATATCGCAATCATCCTCCTTGTGTTCCCTGATACATCTGAAGGGATCTCCTCAACATTGAATGATCATGTACTGAATAGGGGGGAGGGGGTGGGATGGATGTGAAGGGTGAGCCTTCCCACCATCCAGTGACAGTCGTCTCCGCGAAGCCTGTGGAGGACGTCCAGACTCTAGCATGTCAAGGGTCCTCATAAGGCCAGCCCCCTTTCCCAAAGCGCGTTCATTAGGCGAGGGTGTTCCTGATTTACAGTAAGGCAGCGGGGAAGGCTTGGTCGTGTGGACAAAGTGCGAGGACCCTGAGTTGAAGTCATCAAGCCCCGCCCGCTTCCCAGCGACGTGGCACACATCGTTCAACCGGCTTCATGCAAGCTTGCAGACGTAAATAGAGCTTGCGGGCGTAGTACGAGGCGAAATGTGAACTTGGGGGGAGGGGATTGTGGTGGATCTCCTGAAATCGTGACATCCCTGCTGAGACCTGGCCACGCCTTGTGGGTTGCTGCGCGGAGCCCTTCGCCATTTCAAGAGCCAAGAGCGCTCCAGATAGCGACAAATATCGTGGCTTTGGTCTTGTGATGTGACCGCGAGCGGCGAAGGCTTGAAAGAGGCAGTAGAGGCGACGGTGTCTAGAACGCGGGAAGAAGGACTGGTGGTGGGAAAGACTGGATGCATTGACGAGAGAATCGATATTCTGCCGCAAGCAGCAAATTCTCGAGCTGGAGTCAAGCTTGGTCTTTTCTAGCTATAACAGACAACCCAAGCCTGACCATGGTGGGAAGATTGAGGGCGAGTGCCCAGTGCCCGTCATTGATGGGCTTGTGGAATTGCCGAGGGGTCGAATCCTTATTCTCTTACTCTCTTTGCTTTCAGATCACTATCGATACCAGAGCAGAAAGGTGTCATGGTGTCAGCTACAAGTTGTGATAGAGCAAGTTTTCAGATCTTCCAACTAGTTTCTCAATCGGCATGTACTAGCATACTACGCTGTTTTGCAAACAGAAGGATCAACTATGAGAATTGCACTCTTGAACGAACCTCTATTATCCGCTGTACTCATGGTAAGTTACTGAATTGAATTCAGTGCCATGTTCCTTGTTTAACATCTTGATTCGTTTCATTATTTTTCAACATCCTCTCCCCTTCACAGTAGGTAGGCACGGAATCTACTATTTATAGCATTCTAGAAGCCTTACCTATCTATCGGACATGGCAATATCTCTCGTTAGATTGGCCTTCTCAACGATAGCTCTCAGTTCAAAGCTCCCATGAGGTGACCCTTCAACCGATGGCTTCCCTGCTTTCTGCTTGTATTTACCTCATCTGTTAACGGAAATATAAGCGTGGCGTACATCTACCCTGAGGTTCCATCCGTATAAGCCGTACAATCTAAAGTTGACTACATTTAACTTCCACCTATGTAATACTTTCAGATTGCTGAGTATATATCCATACAAGAAGCGTGCAATCAATTGCATTCTTCTGGAACAGAATATTCCATCCGTCTCATAGCTCTTTTAGTAACCTCGCTATATATCTTGCCATATATACTTGGTCCTTGCTCTAATGCCCGAGATTTGCAGGTACTGTTAACGGCAATTCTTGTAAATCTACAGTTGCAATCTGTTTGAGAGCAATAGAGGGGTTGATAGTCTGAGGATCTTGGTACATATGAACCCCAGTCTAATCTTATACATACATCCTTTGGGGAACCCCACCCACAGCTGCTTAGATCAATGTTTCTGGCGTCCGTCTGGGAGTTCCCAGTTAAGTCCTCTTGCTCAGAACCTGTCTCTGGTCCGGTTGGGCCATCGTCTATTGCACAACGGTATATCAATATTGAAAGAGTCGTCGCAACAATGTGATACCAGGCACGCTGCGTCAACCTGGGACTACCTATCAAGTTAACAGAGAGCTTACAGCAAGTCTCAGGCTGTGCTGTGCCTTCAACAGAATTGAATACCAATCAATTAATTGCTTTTCATCAATCGCATGCTTGTCCCCATGTCCTCCGCTTCTTTTCGTATATATGCGAAGTGAGCTATGACTTCGGAATCCTGAGTGCCTTACCATCGACCTGAGATGCATAGAGGAGCGGCATACGGCAGTATCCCTGATTCTCAAATTATATACAAGTTGCGCAATAATGTTGCTCTGCAAAGTGTAGAACCGAAAGAACTCGTATTGAATTCAATTAACTTTTGTTCCTTCACTCGGTCGCAAGACAGTACTGTACCTAGAGGCAAGTAGCTATCGGCTGTCAATCATACCTTAGGCTCAGACCCACCTTCCCGCGAACACCTTAACGCCGATAACCGTCGTTTAATATTGAAGCTTCGTGTTAACAACTAAAACAACAGCAGTCACCCCACCTGCCAACTGTCACATCTTGACATACAAATATGGGCACGTAGCCACTCGCAATCAGCAAGGATATCCTCTTTTCGGATTCGGGCTCAAAGAATCTGTCGCCAAGATGGGCCGACTCGCGTGGTACGCTGGGGTACGGTCCCCTACTTACAAGCTCAGAGCTGTCGCGAACGACGCTGCTGACGATTTTAGGTCTCTACGGCTTTGGCAGCTGGTGTGGTTGTTTCTGCCTTCAATCAAAGGGCGAACTTCTACTCGGCATGTGTTTATCTGCAGCAAAGCAATCTGTGCTTGATGGTATATATGCTCGCCGGCATCTAGCCCATGCCGACAGTAGGGACTAACTTGCCGCCAGGTCCTTATCAATTTGATACTCTTCATCTATAGCAGTCTGATGTATGGACTGCAACGCCTCTGCTATGGCCCTCTGCGACCTATCGAGATCGAACAGTTATATGAGAAGGGATGGTTCGCGGTCACCGAGACTTGTCTGGCCATGACAATATTTAGGGAGGAAGTTGGCCCATGGTTCTTGGTAATGTTCGTTGCTCTTTTGACGAGCAAGGTATGGGGTTGGATTGGAGACGGAAGAGTAGAAATCCTCGAACAACAGCCTCCCGCAAACCCACGCCTATTCCACTTCCGCCTATCCATCTCCCTTACAATATCGGTCCTGTACAACGTCTGGATGGTGTCCTACGCTATCAACACTGTTATCCAACAGGCCCGACCAAATATGATGGTGATGTTCCTCTTCGAATTTACCATTCTAACTACCTCATCGATTTCGACCGCCCTCCGATATTGCATTTCTCTGATTGAAGCGAGAGTCATCAAGAACCAGACACGCGAGAGGTTGATTGAGAGGCGTAGAGAGGTCAGAGAGGAAAGGGCTGAGATTATTAGACAGAGGCAAGAAGCAGCGGCAGCGGCAGCACGTGAAGGAAATGAGCCACCTTCATCTACGGGACCGCTGCCCTCTGAGGATGATGTTGACGAGATGGATATCGAAGTTCCGGGATGGGAGGCAAAGGGTCAATGGGTATTGACCCTTGATCTTGTCACAGGTGAGAAACCCGGTTTTGCGAAGAAACTTGGCTAACCAAGACAGATTTCGCCAAATTGTGCATCTATCTCAGCTTCTTCTTCATCCTCCTCCTGTTCTATGGCATACCGATCCATATAATGCGTGATCTGTTCATGACGACGAGGTCATTCTTAAAACGTCTCACAGCCTTTCTTCGATATCGACGAGCTACTCAAGATATGAACAAACGGTATGAAGATGCTACTGTGGAGGATATCCAGAGGGAGGATACATGTATCATTTGTCGAGAGGAGATGAGACCTTGGTCTGTTACGAACCCTCAGGCTCCTCCGGCAGCTGCAGGAGCTCCTCCACCGGCACGATCGGCTACCTCAGTCAACGAGCGCACTAGGCCGAAGAAATTGCCTTGTGGACATATCCTCCATCTTGGCTGTCTGAAGAGTTGGCTTGAACGACAGCAAGTATGCCCGACATGTCGAAGACCTGTAGTAGACAATACCCAACCAGCGCGTACTGCAGAAAACAATGCAAATCAAGGGGCCCAGGCTGCCCAACCACCTATAGGAGGTCAAGAAGCTGGTGCCCAACCTCCAGTTGCTGGGCGGGGTGCTGTTCGTGGTATGCGGATGCTTAACTTTGGGCCCCTGAGGGTTGGTTTTGGTCAAGCCAATCTCCAAGATCTTGCGCAAGGCCTCGGTGGTCCTTTGCCCGGTCCAGATAATGCTGTAGCTGGAGGACCAAGGGTGTACGGTCTGGAGTTGGGCATTCCCCGACGCCAACAACCTCAGCCACAGGTCCCAGGGCCTACCAATACGGCTGGGCCAGCCGCTCTTCAGAATCATCTCCAACAAATAGAGCAGAGTATCATGACAGAGATACGTGCTCTTCAAGTTACGCAGCAGGAGCTTCAATTAGTGCAACTCTTGCAAGCGGAACTAGCACGACTTCGACTCCTACACAACGGAGCGACCGATCAGCAGCCAGCAGGCCTCCAACCACAATTAGGAACATTGGGCGCGAGGCAGACAGCGCGGTTCACCACGCCGCCACAGCAAGTGCAACGACATGGAGCACGTCCTAACACGTCGGCCATACCCGCTGGCAGTGCCGACCTTCCGCCAGGTGTTGTAATTCCAGAAGGTTGGACGCTGCTTCCACTGCAAAGACTAGATGGTCCGGCTGTCACACAATCTGGTACAATACCTCCTGCAGCAAATGCAAGATCAGTTCCCACAGCCACTACTACACAAGAAGCCACCAGCCCTACGCCGGGACTATCCAACAATACATCCACCCCAATTCCGACAGCAACTCAGGAAAGTCAGCCCCAGACTTCGCCCGTTAATTCGTCCGACACGAACACAATCCAAACTACACCGTCCATCGACCAGTCAAACTTGGGAAGCTCAACTGTCCCAGACACTACGCTTCCAAGTACTATGCCTACAGCTTCGACATCTGCATCGCAAGCTCCATCGGCGCCTTCAGTATTACCTAACTGGGGATCTTCTCAACTATTTTCGGGACCAAGTCTCACGACTAGTACTGATAGTGGTAACGTGAATCCTGCAACGGCCCCAAATTCTAGCGATAATGATTCTTCCACGGACGTGGCGCAATCCAGTTCTCTGTCGAGGCAACCATCAGGAGAGGACTCGGAGCAGCGCAGGCGAGAAAGGAGTACTGCAAGAGCTGCTACGGTGGAGGATGCGGTTGACGAGGCCGATGGAGTCTAGGTTGAGTGTAGTCATATCTCTGCATATTGGGCGTTTGGGCAGGGGGCTTTGCGTGTCAGTGAAAATTCATGAAAGCGGTACTGTATCGGATTTGACATACTATCCGAAAGAATCATTAGTATTCATATTAGCGTAGAGACACGAAATAAATCAGCGTGATATTGTAAGCAGAAGTGCATCATCATTAAACACCAAACCGTAATTCAGCATGCACGTCTATTTAGCTAACACCGTGACCGACGTATGGCAAAACTCCATTTCGTACATATATCCTCATGCCTAGTCATGATCTCCTCCTGCTGAGCATCTCAATTGGAAAAACCTACAAGCCCTCTGCTCCCGTGCGTCCCTCGTTCTCAATCACTGACACAAAATTAGGCCAGCAACCTCCTCGCAGCTCATAAACTTGCACGCACCCCTCAAACCATCAAGACACCGGGTCATCGGGAAATAGGCCAAGTAGCGCATCGCTCGGCCTCATCATCGCCTCCAAATCTCTCTGGAAGGCACTCAACTCCGCTCTCATGACCTGCATGGACACCCAGTTGGAAATGCTCAGTGCCATGTACTGATCCGGTCCTGCTGGAGAATACCTGAAGTCGGAGCTCGCGAAACGAGCGAGGATATCGGCGCCGGTGCAGGTGAAGGATGGCCGGGAGCGGGGCCCCACGATGCGGGGCGTGGGGTCCTGGTCTGATACTGAACTGCTGTTGCTGTTGGTGTTGCTGACGAATGAGATGGAGGTTAGGTAGGAGAGGGTGGACCAGCGGAGGGAGCGTATGATGGAGGAATTGGCTAGGGAGAGAGAGGGGCCGGGCTCCATTGCTAGAGACGTGTTAAGAGGTATGGTTTGAGGGAGGAGAGGGTTATAGGACATACATAGGCAGATGATGAATTGGTTCTGCGAGTAGAGGATGGGAGTTCCTTCTGCATTTATGGTTTTGCAGGTATGTAGGATAGCTACTGAAGGGTGGGGGGGATTATCATATAAGGTTGGTGTAGAAGAAGGCCCTCTCCTGAGGGAATCAATAATGATGGGCTCAGGGCAAACAAGGAGATAACGGTATATCTAATGGAGGTTAGATGTTTGTTCCTCTCTTAAAATCAGGGCGGTCTGGCTCCAGGACCGTAGTCACTGGATAAATAGAAAGGGGCTGCGCGTACCTCCAGACGAAGCTCAGAGGGCAGTTCCATCATCAGGAAGAAACCCTTGGTCCCAATGGTGGGCGGGACAACCGCATGCAGTGCCATCTCTCCTGCTTGGCCAACAAGGGCGTCTGGATCTCTGCCGCCTGTTTGAAGGATGCGATCACGTGGAGCGCCATTGCGTTCCTCCATTCTTTGGAGCTGCAATGGGGATGCTGGTGTCCACTGTCCACTGTCCGGTAGGGGTGTTGGCGGTCGGGGTGATCTGAGGACGGCGTCTGCTCTGCCTGTTTGCTGCTCTCCTCCTTGTCCACCCAGTCGTCCCGCAGCTCATCACACGACGGCAGTGTCAAGGCTTTTCGGCAAGGATTTGCGGATTATTATTTAAGCACAATGCACTTTGTACTTTGGGTGTGGGGTAAGTAGTTGCGGATAAGAACGTTGGAAAGGTTAAAGGGGCGCTCCTCTAGCGGCGGGGACGATCGATCCACGGGTGGGACTAAGGATTATGCGGCGATCCTGCTCTTGTACCTCGAAGTCCGTCCGGAACTTGGCAGAGTTCCCATCATCACCAGCCCCGGAGAACCGCAGACTGGCTGCTGCTTCTTTTCAACAAAGGGCCAGATAAACTTTCCCCTTGTCTCGAAGCTTTCTATTCACGGAATAAGCGTGCATTTCCCTGATTCACCGCTTGTCGCCCCTCCGCGAGATCCCTGCACGCACTGAAGGTTCCCCGCCAATATCCATGGACATCGCATGTAACCGGAATCGTCCTTAACCGCGTCTGCTCCTCATTCCCACAGCTCTTCGTTCTCCCAACTCGAAGGGTTGTACCAGTTCGAGGGAATCGGAGCAGCTTCGTCGGGGAACCTGTTGTTTCCTTCCACGGAAGCAATGGCTTCTCAAAGGCCAGATGTTTACGCGACGGTGAGCTCCTCGTGTCTCACACTGAGACTTCAATGTCCTAACTTTGTTTTGTAGCTGCTGTTGAATGACTTCTATCTTCCAGGTGCGTATTCTACTTCACTTGTGGGGGAACAGTGCTGATTGAAGCTTCGTTGCAGGTGCATTGGTATTGGCGCATTCTTTGCGTGATGCGGGTACTTCCAAGAAGCTGGCAGTACTTGTCACCACGGACAGTGTTTCGTCGGACGCCATCGCTGAGCTCAGAGTAGGACCCCAGAAGCTTTTAAAGGCACTGCACGCTCTAACACACCCTAGAAACTCTTCGACTTCATTATTCCTGTCGAGCGAGTCGTGAACAACAATGCTGCTAACCTTGATCTGATGGGTCGCCCCGATTTACATTCCACGTTCACCAAGATCACGCTATGGAAGCAGATACAATTTCGGAGGATTGTTTATATGGATGCAGACACGGTTGCTATACGTGCCCCAGACGAGCTTTTCGACCTACCTCAGGCGTTCTCGGCAGCCCCAGATATCGGATGGCCTGACATTTTCAATACTGGACTGATGGTCCTGGATCCAAATATGGGCGAATATTACTCGTTGCTTGCCATGGCAGAGCGAGGAATATCCTTTGATGGGGCTGACCAGGGCCTTCTGAACATGCACTTCAAAAACACCTACAATCGCCTTAGCTTCACCTACAATGTCACGCCATCGGCTCATTACCAATACCTCCCAGCGTATCGATATTTCCAATCAACCATTAGTGTGGCCCATTTCATCGGCCCGGGCAAACCGTGGACCCAAGGAAGAGAGGCAAACAAAGGCTCAACTCCCTATGATGAAATGGTAGGAAGATGGTGGGAAATCTATGATCGACATTACAGACCCGTACGTACCCCTTACACTAAGTCTGGATTGTTACTAACCCCCAACAGTCTGCAGATCCTACTTATCAATCTACTGAGCCATTGGTGCAGTATTATGTGAAGGGAGAGTTCCAACCAGTAACTCCAGTCCCCTCGACTAGCCCCCCTTTCCAGTCTGAAGAGACCCAGAGTGGGCTATTCCATCCAACAACAGAAGCGCCTTTCCACGAGACAACCGAGATAGTGAAAGAAGCGGAAGAAGTCTACCCCGGTCCAGTAGAAGCGCCTTTCCACGACACAACTGAGAGAGTGAAAGAAGCGGAAGAGGTCTACGTCAGTCCAGTAGAAGCGAATGCGGAGAAGGAAAAAGAGCCAGAACCTATTTACTCTTCTTGGGATGCCAGCAAGTCAGTTGATGCAATGAATATTTAAACCTTCAAATAACTAATCAGCCAGCAGAACTCCACCACCACCAGGTTCTAGACCAGAAGCCCAAAATTTTCCTTCGACGCAGTACAGCATGTCTTCTGATCCAGCGCCTTTCAAAGCTCCGGAGAGATATCCAGATCCGCCGAAAGACATGTACTATGAAGTTCCAAAGACGCCCTCTTATCAGAAGCCCACGCCAATTTTTCCTTGGGAGAAAGATGCTCCAAAACCTACCAGAGTATTTCCCGAAGACCTCTTCGAGGAGGAGGAGGATGAGCGCCATGACGATAGCGGCACTGTCTCAGCCCCTATAGACGAGGAGGATACTACGTCGCCGGATACCACCACCCCTACTATGGAACCCGCTTCAGCCGAACCCTGGCATAACTTTTCGCGTGGGAACGCCTGGGATGAGATCCCTGAAATTGGGCGGTATATTGGAAACTTACAAAAGAATCGCAAGGCCAATATACAAGTATTGCAGGGTCATGGCGCAGGTATAGAACAGGCGTCCAGTCCGGGTGCGAGAATACATGGCTTGAAACTCACAGATTTCCCAACAGAGTTTGAACGACCTAGTCTGCCAGTTACTCCAGCTCCAATCCGGAGACCTAGGTTTTGGGGAGAGGAGAGAGACGAGGAGGGAGAACTGCCGGCTGCAGAGGGAGTTCCTTCTCAAGAGGATTGGGTGAGTGCCCTTGAACCTTAACCGTAGACTAATCTTCTAACTGTCAATAGGATCCAACAGCTCGATTAGAACAGCTCGCCCGACACCAATCAGACGTACTCACGAGCAAACTGGGGAAGGATACTGGAGCAGCGCGGCAGATTCCCTTGAGATCCTTACCTTTCGGGTCCGAGGGAGTCATCTCTCCCACTTACGTAGCTCAACAGGCGACAATTAGTGGAAGCGGTACTAAATCAGCCTCAGCAGAACACATAGAGGAGCCTAGTTATAAGGGAGCCTCAGCCGCCTGGGAGAAGGATGAGACTTTCCCAACGCAAGAAGCCCCACTGCCGCCGTCTGAGGAGGAGAAAGATGTCCTGGACACTTAACACTTAATATCTCCTGCTACGCGAATCCTGTACAACACATTCTTGTTTCCGGTGTTAGTGGTCGAGCGTCTCTCTGGGTTTACTTTCTTAGTGAGCATCATCTTCATTGGTATCAGCATACTTGCTTTATCTTAGCCTTGCATTTCGCTGTCTTATCTCGCTGCATTTTTGAGCTGCTAGCATTTGGCGGAAATTGTGTTTTAGTTCGCTGGGACATAGGCATGAATATTCCTCGCAATAATACTAGTCAGATACCCCTATGAACCAAAGCTTCTTCACTAAGTGTGCTTCGCAATTACTCTTTTTTAAGCTAAGGCGTAAAACTATCTAGAGAGGACCATCAATGAGTTCATCAGACCTCATGGCCTGGCACTTCTTTCATGAGATGCTTAGAGGGCATACTTTGCCATTGTCCGAGCCTGGTGAAGAGATTTAGAGTGTTTGTGCTGTGGGAGGGAACTGCTCCAAGTCCAAAAGTCCTTGTCATCTTGAATTCTTATATCCTCCAAGTTATTTGGTCATTAATCTCCTCACAATCTTCAACGCCTCTAATCTTGAAAGGCCAGACACTTGTAGAGAAGACAACTTGAGGCAGTCAAGCCGGAGAACCTCTTCTTAGTTAGTTACTCCGAGGACATCGCAACGACGTGCTATATCACGCCGGGCAGTCACTCCAAATCTTGAATAGGGTCGATTACCGTTTTACTAATGGATCCTTCTAGAAAGCCTCGATAAAGAAAATACTTCCATATTCACGGCAACGATCGTAATCGTGATAGGAGGTAGGTTATACCTAAGGTAGGTAGGTAGCGCCAGTAATAGCGACAGTGATAGCAACAATGACAGTGACGGCAATTCCATTAATCTTTAGATTAATCCTCGTCTTCCATGTCATCGTCTAAGCACATCACCATGCTCGCATGCATTTGCGCATAAACCTTCGACCAGACCTCGTCCTCAATGGACCAAAAGTTTAACGTACTGCTACATGGCCCCAATCATAACTCCCTCAGTTTTAGGGGATTCAACTTATCACTCCAATGAGAACAACTCCCCAAAAGTACCCTACACACCGCTGTTTTGATACAACTAATAAGTGTGTAAGTATTTAGGGTATCACTACCGCCGTCACTGTCGCTGTCGTTGTCGTTGTCGTTGTCGCCGTCAACTGTCGCTACCATAGTAACGATAAAATTCAATACCATCCTTGAATCTCTCTCGAATTCGGTGTCAAAGAGGATAGCAAAGTCGGCTATCAACTGAGCTTCTCCTTTAGAAGACCAATCCTCCTTACTACCCGTCTCGCTTGTGCCCCTAACGCAAGTATATCGGGAAAGACCGGAGTATCAACGAGTTCTACCCGGGTCCACGACTTGGGACCTCTTCCATCCTCCTTTACTCACTTTCTCTACCATCTTTCACTTCAAAAGCTTTACAATAACAGCTTCCAAAGATGACAGGAAAGTATCCGGGCGAAAACCCAAGGTGGCGCGTCATGATGAGGGCAGATCCTTCCAATGCCAAGGCCAACCGTCTTATCGACGGCACACTTACCCTCGCGAGGCGCCAGCGAGCTCCAATTTGGAGTGCTCGTTCCAGTGTCGCCGGCAATCCGTAAGTTTCTTCCTCCAGGCAGATTTCGCGTCACCGCGTTTGCAGAAAGTATCTGGAGGATCTCATAAGGCTATCTTTTCTCATTCTTCGAGAATTTTCAATTCATTCATTTGTTTGACAATCTTTCAATCAATCTTTGTGTCTCTGCAACAACAGATTCACTATGTCTCACTCTCCCGACCTCAGCAGCACTATTACCATGCACCCTCACCCATTCCATCTGCACCCCAATCGGTCGGAGCATCTGAGAGCTGGAAATCTCACACCGATACAATCCAATGCGTCCGCAAAGCTCGGTGCCAGCACCGCATTCGAAGCCATTGCCGCGAGCTCCGAAGACCACGACCCAGTACCACGACACCCTACAAGTGCAATGGCAGATCTTGAGGAACAGAGGCCGCCAAGATACACACGCGAGAATGATCCATACCAGCTCTCGTCGGCTTACAAAAACAAGAGTGAGCTTGAGCTTATCACAGCCAACACCTCTCGAAGACGAGACGGCTGCGGCCCGGTCAAGTTCAGCACGGACGCGTACAAGGCTAGGAGGCTTCAGAAGTTCTACGAGACTCAAAATGAGAACATAGAGCGGTTGCTCAAGCCTGTTGAGGACCATCGTGCAGAGGCAAGGCAAGAAGCGGGAGATGACCATCTCAAATTCCAGATCGCCGTGTACGCTTCATTCGCCGCCAATCTTGTACTCGCCGCGCTCCAAGTTTATGGTGCCGTTTCTTCAGGCTCTCTCTCTCTGTTCACCACGATGGCGGACGCGATTTTCGACCCAATGTCAAATGTTACCCTTATAGTTACTAACCGGGCTGTGAAGCGCGTCGACCCGAACCGTTTCCCATCGGGCAAAGCACGCCTGGAAACTGTCGGTAATATCGTCTTCTGCTTCCTGATGACAGCCGTATCGTTCATCCTTATCGCCTTCTCGATCAGAGAACTTGTCGAAGGGAGCGGCAATGGAACAAAAGACTTCCATCTACCATCGGTCATTGCTGTAGCTGTGGCTTTTGCAACCAAGTTCTGCCTGTTCATCTATTGCTGGGCGCTAAAGGACAAGTACTCCCAGATCAATATTCTCTGGCAAGATCACAGAAATGACTTGTTGATCAACGGCTTTGGTATTCTTACCTCTGTTGGTGGTTCCAAACTCCAATGGTGGATTGATCCTATGGGCGCCATCATTATCTCTTGTCTGATATCCATCATCTGGCTCCGCACCGCATTCGGCGAATTTCTCCTCCTCGTCGGCGTTACTGCCTCTGTCGAGACACAACAGCTTATCACTTATGTCTGCCTCACTCACTCTCCGGATATCGAGGGAATCGACACAGTCAGGGTTTACCATTCCGGACCGAGGTTGATTGCTGAGGTTGATGTGGTGATGAATGCTCTCTCCTCGCTGAGGGATACGCATGATGTAGCGGAGGAATTACAGAGCAAGTTGGAAAGCTTGCCGGATATCGAGAGAGCATACGTGCATGTTGACTACGAGACGACCCATAAGCCAGAGCATGCTTACAAGAAGGATCTCTGAGTTATTCGAGACCGTATGAAGTGGGCGATATAATTTTCTTGACTGTAGGCCTGCCTACCTTGGTATTTTTCATATTAGGCGTTGGCGTTTTAGGTATTTGAATACAAGTTTGGGAATTTAATGGATATGCCACAGTACCTTCCAAGGTATATATATATATATATCTCTCTTAGTGCCAGCCATTGTTTTGTTGTGTGTGATGTGTATATGAACCGAGCTTCTCTGGATACCTTATAGGTAACCTTCGATTCACGTGATATATAACGGAAGGAAGGCATCCCAAGGTATATTGATTATTAGGGCTGACTGTATCCCAGAGCCATGGGAATCTGGGATATAGGCAGGGATCGGAGAGACTGGGTCGTGATTCATTGCTGGGGGCACCGGCAGAAGTTCCAGGAATCTCCAGAGCATCCCAGCAACCACACCCCTCCTTCGTATTATCCCTATCGCACCCAGTCTTACCGAAGGTCTGCCGGCATGGCATGAACGGCCTCACCATTTCAGAGACATAAACGAGCTGTTGTGCACCGCATATCAATTATTCTCTTTTCCAAAACATCCGCATGAAAGGGGGGGAACACACCAAGGCCCGAAGGCAAAAGGCGTACACAGCACAGACAGGAAAACAAAGCACGACCGTTGGGCCGCTGCACCGCCCTGCTCTAAGCGCAGCGCAGCGCAGCGCTCGTCGACGACGACGCACATCAAGTCGTCACGAGGCCGACCTGTCCTTCTCCGACGAGAGGCCAGATTCACGTACAGCAGGCGCGGAGTTCGTTTACGGGCGTCATGCACAATGCGCGCATCTCATACGGAGTAAGTTATATGGTCGGATGCGGCTTCACCAGCTCCCCGGAGGGGAGGTCCCTGGAGGAGGAGGGGAGGGGAGGGGAGACGAGGGGGGGTATGTTATGTTATGTAAACGCCGTAGCTTTCTCGCCAGAAGCCGACGCCCATGCGGGACCAGAGAGAACATGCGCCATTCAGACGCGCAATGCTCTCGAGAATCGAGTCACCTGCCGCCGATAGGGGCGAAGAGAGCGGAGAGGGCGGAGAGGAGAGCCTTGCCTTGCAGCGTGCGTCTCTCCGGGCGTTCAACGGGCTAAACAGCGCTTCCAAGAATCCAAGAACACAAGCAGGGTTTGGGGGAGGACGGTGCACCTGTCTCCTGACTGATTCCTGTGGGTTATACGATGTATGGAGGGAGGTCTTGCAACAGTACTACTGTACCGGCCTTGGGCACTTGCCCAGTTCATATCGTATCATGTCATTTTCTCCTGTGCTCCGTACAGTCCAGGAGACTCTCCGCGATATGCGCCCGAACCCACAGTGCAGCAGATAAGACCAGAACCGCTTTTTTAGCTTCCAACGGGCGGATTGGGGCTAAATTGATAGACACCTAAAGGATCTAAGAGAACGACGTTAAGTAAGGTATATACCATTACGTTGTATACGGAGAGTTTCCTCTTCTGTCCTTGGAATACCTGAGCTGTCAGGCACTCATCGGCTCCCCCGAACTTGACGGACACAGCCATGTGCTATTCTCGTCGTCGTCCGCCAACTTTGCCTCTGAACCACCTGTGCTAAGTCCCGCGGTTTCTGGTAGATGCTGTGCTATGCTGGGTTTTTATTCGTATTTTTGTCATAATAAAACTTACTGTTCTTCTTGTGACGCAGGAATTGTGATGTATACTCCGTAACCTGCGCGGTTGATGCTCCCTATGATCCGGTGGGCACGTCAGCAAATCAGGGCCCAAGGATGAAGAAAAGTCTCGGAAGCAGTCCACCCCAGTCCAAACCAACGTCGATGTTTCGACGAATGACCGTCCAGAAGGGCCTCATCACCATCCTTGTCGGATTATAGTCAGCAGAGAATATGCCATCGACAGGCCAGCGTTCAACCTCGACTTCTCTCTAGCACAGCACCGGCCAGGGCCGTTGGACCTCTGAAGCTTCAACTCGTTACTACTCACGGCCAAAGCCTTCACCAGACAGCGGCATCGAGGAGCGTCCCGTGTCCCGGTTGGCCCTACCCCGGATCAAAACATCAAAAGCAGGAAAGGAGGGAAAGCCATTCATGCCAGAGACTCTGTTCTGGGCCTGCGCGGATATGAGGAGTCGAGCGACTGATTGACGCGACTTGGGGGTCCTCCAATCTTCGCCGCCGCGGGACTCGTCGAGGTCGACGGACGACAGTACCGGAGCAGGATACGATCATCGAGGCCAGGGAATAAGTACTTCGTAATGTGGATGTGTTTCACTTCTTTCGAGAAGCGGGTACGCTGCACTGAGCTGCTTCTGGGCGCATGCAAGTCATCGCGAGACCTTACTGTAGGGATTGTAGGGATTCAGGGAAGCAGTATCTGTCGCTCCATCCACCTGCCCGGCCTCGACCCTCTCGTGTCTCGGCCTAGCCACCGGCTGTTCTTTGCAGGCAGCCTTGATCTTCCCCGGGGCCACGATCTCCTACGAGTTCCATAATCCGATGTGGTGGCGCTGGTATGGCCGCCTGGGTGTTGGTTGCTGAACGAACGCATAGAGCAGTACAACACGGGTCACCAGGATACCGTGGAGATAAACAATATCTATCATAAGGTAGGTAAAAGTCAGTACAGTAAATAGGAAATGGAACAGGAGGCAACGTAAGGTAAGGTAGGTAAGGTACCGGATCCAAGCGGCGAGTATCTATCTGCCACTGACCACGGCGACCAACTAACTACCGCTGCCGCCACGGGCGCTCCGCTGCCCAGAAGTCTGAAGAATGATATGACATGATTGATGTCTCTGGCTTTGCGTCTGCGTCTGCATCTGCAGCTTTCAGCTCTACTCGATCCAGGGCCTGGCCGACCCTGTTTTTTTTTTTTTTTACTTCTGGTCGTCGCCGTTATGCAGGTCGAGAGCACAGCCCAGCCATCGCATCGCATCGCGCCGTCTCTCACTACGAACGCTGTACCCGCAGTATAACACCCCTCACCCTTCCCCCTCGCTCTCCTCTCTTCTTCCTTTTCTCTCTTCTCCACGACTATTCGTCCGTCGCTTTTCTCTCGTGTCTGAGGCGCGCAAACTAATTCCCTTGTCTTGGGACCGCCGAAGAACTACCTCTCTTCCCTTTTTATTCTTTACCTTCTCATTTGTGTTTCCCCCTCCGAGCTTGTCGCTCTTGTCTCGTGCAAGTCCGGCTCGGCCCTCGTCGCCCCGTCTCTCTCGCCCCGTCCCTTCGCTCCATTCCCGCCTCTCTCCTCGACTTGTTTCTTCCGATGCCTCCACAGCTGTTGCCAGCGTCGGCGGCTGCTTTTGCGCCCAGAGCTTCGTCGGTCAACGTGGTCTTGAGTTCAAAGGTAGAGCCCTGGTTGACGGCAACGCTGAAGCGTACGAACCGTGTGAAGCGCCCTCTCAATAGCGTCCCCCAACACCAGAGATGTTTAACAGAAACGTTGTCGTCGCCGACTGCCATCTGGACTCTCACCTCCCTCATGTTACCAAAGGCCCCCGAAGCGGAGTTGCGGAAGGATTCGAATCCCCTGATCGAGGCTCTCTTCAACTATCAGCTCATCCATGTCGAGGCATATATCGTTCACGTGGACATGGTCTTACGGAATGAGGTCGCGTTCAAGCTCACGCCCGATTCTATAGAATCCCTCATTGAGTACCACAAGGAGATCCACTGTGTAGACATCGCTGCCAACACGTATAGCTGGTCGGAGAAGGAGCTACAGGTCAAGAAGTTGCATGAAGAATTCATCCAGGCGATCAACAAGTTTGTCTACCGAACGCACGTCTCCGCTCTGGAAGGCTTGGAAGAAGATGGTGCAGGAGAGTTGTTGTGTGGGAAGAGTGAAGAGGTCAAGAACAACATCATGGGCTTGTTCCTCCCACTGTTGCCGCCGCCGCCACGGGTCGTTGATATTGTTCGACCACCGCCTTTGCTACCCAGTTCACCTGCCGGAGCGAACTGGTGGTCGCAGCCAACTATTCCGACATCAGTCCCAGCTCCAGTAGATTCATGGAGAGTCATCCCGTCAAGTCCAAGCACGACGTCCTCGACCGACTCGAATTCCTTGTGGGCGAGCATGGGATTGAACGAGATCCAACTACCTTCGCCGACACCATCCTATAGCCAACCATTCTCGACAGCTGGGTTATTCTACAGTGCACCGCAGGTCAGCGCGCCTATCCCGTCACTCCCCCTACCCAGCATGCTAGCGCAATCGCAATGCGGCGTGAGTGTTGGCTATGGGGGGTTTGGCTGGGATAGGTATCAGGAGTACGCAGCGACGATGTGACAACCAGCGCCCGGCACTCTTACAAATTACAAGCCACCACACTCGGAGTGCTAGTACGGGCACCAACGATCATCTCCACGGCTCCCTCCATCACTGCGTGTAGAATACCTTGTTTGAAGAAAAGCACTGGACGAGTTTAGCGGCATATGATACCTCAGCGAAGCATAAGGGGCGGCGTTTTGCATCAACTCATCAGCGATTGAGCGACATTCTCGGGAACACATTTACTCTCCCCACTTCGATTTCCTTGCCTGACGTACATAATGGATACCATTTCCTTTTGACTCTTTAGCGTAGCGTTTTTTGCTTTAATGGGGTCGGCTTGCGTCTCTTTTTTCCAGATATCAACACCCACCGCCGCTAGCTCGGCTTTTCCTTCTTCGCATGTTGGCAGGACCGGGCGGATATTGTGAGCATTTTCTGGCTATTCTAAAGAAAGTACCCAAGAAAGGGGGAACACGCAGCAATGCAGGACTCGGCGCGTCAGGATACATTGTTTTCTTCATCATTCGATCGTTGTCCGTTTCGTTTGTCTTGCGGATATATACCTATTTTACGATTTTGTCATGATGTTTCTACGCCACGATCTCTCGGCCGATTGATGGCTTGATGTCTCTCTCGTTTTGGATGGGATTTTTGGTGCATGGGTCATGACGGATTGGGAAATGATGGGATCATATACCGGGCTGGGATCTGCGTGCGGATTCCCAGTAGAACATGCTTGCGTGTTTGACGACGACGGACACCTCGATTGATCCAACAGAACGATACGAAGCCGCCTCGCTGCGCGAACCACGGTGGACTCGTCATGTTGACCTGCTCGACCCTTCAGCTACCCAACCTCGCTCTCCCCCTTACCGACTTCGAATCTAGATATAACGCCTGCGAGCCGGGATCGATATCGATTTGGATTGTTTTGGGACGGGGCGGAAGCGGAGTCCGGAAAGCTGGAGGTAAAGGCTGTAGCTCATCTCACTATATTCTCCCACAGTGCATCATCCATCCTAGCGTCTTTCGAGACGGTTGTTGGAATGATGTAGTGTAGGAGAGCGCTCGAGACTGCTGTGCAGTCAAGGGTATGAGATGCTGGGTTCGATCCTCGCCCTAGTGGCGATTATTCTAGTACTTAACCGTAATAAAAATTTCAAAAACATCCAAAAAAAAAACCACCTCTCTGTTTCGTACTTGTTCTCTTCCGGTGTTTTGAGCTGAATCTATACGGGTCGAAAGTTACCTACTTGTACTATCTGTATATCTTCACTCAGCTAGCTCCCTTGGATTAGGGAGGGGCAGGCAGGTACTAAGGTACACAGACGTCCATCCTATCGACCAATTGACGTTACGAAAGGCTGACTGAGCGAACAATCTATCTCCTCCATACCTACTTCAAACGCCATTCCCCACGACACAATTCCTCTCCAGGGAGCATTCATCCTCTTGATATCCTCATCTACTCGCTACATTCTGTAGCGTGAGGCTGATTAATAGCTACATATATGTCTGGACCCTCCCTGTCTTCTTCTCTCGGATCCGGGGGGTAATGATCTGAGTGAGTGCTTTATAGGTATCCAGTATTGCAAGATAGGAGGAGTTGTTTGGGAGGTGTTTTTGTTTGCAATTATGTTTTTTCTTATATAGATACCTTACTTGAATAGTTGAGAGTGCAATACAATACAATATAATATTTATAGGATGATTGATCGGGGGGTTTATAAATACACGCATGTAAGGTATGTAAACCGAGGATGGGCGAGAGTTTTGCCTCTGCCATATACCTAATCCCTTAGGTAGATAATTGTAATATTGTACATGTCACAAAGCCAACGCCCATCCCAATTCAATTCAGTCCTTCGCCTTTTCCTTGTCCCCACTCGAGTTACCCTTGAAACTCGCTGCTCTCAACTGCCATTCTTGAGTTCCTGTTTAACTTCCTGCCCCGCCTCCTTCAACACCTCCTCGCCCTGCGTGCCCATCTTCCCAATCCGAGCCGCGAGATTCGTGTTCTCTGCCTGCAGGACGCCGACCTGGGCGTTCAGGATCTCTTTCTCTTTCCGCAGCATAGCGACCTCGGCCTTCACGCTCTCTAGTTCTCGCAGTAGCTTGGCCCGTTCGTCCTTCTCGATGGCCTTCCTCCGCCGCGTCTCTGCCTTGCGTATCTCCTTCTGCTTCTTCTTCTCTAGCTTATCGACCTCTTTCCGGTGCTTCTCTTCTGCTTTCCGGATCGCTTCGTGAGCGGAATCTTCATTCTTCTTGCTCGCTTCTTTTTCGCGCGCTTTGTTCAGCTTCTCATCCAGTTTTCGCTTCTTCTCCTCCAGCTTCTGCAGCTGTTTGTCTCGGTGAAGCGCTGCTCGGAACTCCGCTTCGCTTTCGGGGGTTTGGGTCGGGGATGTATCGGTGTGCTCTTCTTCTTCGATGCTTTCGCGTGCGGAGGCAAAGCTGTGCCATGAAGACTCGCTGCTGATAGTTGATATCGAGTCACGGCGTGGAGAGTCTTGGTTGTCAATTTTCTTTTCCACGTTCGGGGTGTTATCAGTGTTTCCATTGTAGCTCTCTTTGCTCTCTTCATTTGCATAACCAGAGAAACGGTCCGCGATGATGGCGGGGGCATGTGAGGTGATGGCGTCGGCTGCCCCTGCTACCATTTCGTACAGCCCACTTCCATTGGACGGGGCTGATTCTGGAGATTCTGGAGCTGCCGCGGTTGTAGACTTATTTTCCACTCCTACTAAGTGTCCATTTGTCTGTTGCTTGTGCAAATCTCTCTCATGGTCGCGAGGACGTGGATGTTCGGTCTTCTGTGCCTTCTCTTCTTGCTCATCTTCAACACTTGCTTCCTCATCGCTGTCAAAGTCTTCGATGTTCTTGGAAGATGCCCAGTTGAGAAATTTACCTGCGTCGGACACGATCCCGCCGGGTGTCCCTCGTTCAACCATGAACCGGGGTACGCTGCCTCCCGGATCACTTCGTGTGATCATAATCCACTCGACTGGATTGCTCTCTGACTCATCCTCTTGACCTGAATTATCCAGCTTCTCGCCTTTGGTGTCTCTTGAACTGTCAAATGAGATGGTCTTTCCGCGTGCTCTGCTCTCGCTATGCGAAAGATCGGTTTCCGATGCTGAAGCTTTTGCACCAATCGGGACATCGCTATCGCTCATCCCCCGCGAATGATTTCTTGTGGCGTTCCGCAATACTGCTTCCTTACCAAGTGTCGATGATTGGTTTCGTGCATGTTTCCCTTGGCTTGACAAATTCATTGCAGACGCCGAACGTTGAGGCGGTTTCTTCCTTGGGATCTCTCTGATAAATTCAACAGATTCATACTCTCCTCGTATGTAGCCATCTCGTGGCGCAGTATCCGGATGATTACAAGGCTTTGATATCACCATATAATGTCGGGGTACTTCGTTTTCTCCACCAGACTCATCCGTGAGAGCGTGGTCAGAGGTAAGAAGCATCGTGACAAAATCTCTGGGAGTAGTCGGGCCGGCAAATTGGGCCGATAAAAGGTATACTGTAGACACGTTAGCAATGAAACCCCGCTGTCTCTGGCTCACGACCTGCCTTCCAGTTTCCCAACGCCTTTAACATTCTTACATTCCACCCTCTTCTCGCCGCCGATTCCTCTAATATTTCCCTCTCCCGGTCCACCGCGGACCTTCATCGTTTCGGGGAACTCGTGTTCTAGCGCTTTCTTCCATCTCGTAAACCCCAGTCCCTCATGAGCGCTTCTCCTTGCAAACCAGGCACCCTTCCCGTCCTTCGAGGGTAATTTATAAACACTGATGCCTAGTGGATTATCCTTGGAATTCAACTTCACGGACTTCCATTCCTTTTGGAGCGCTTCCACATCTGACGAGGGCGGCGGGGAATGTGCAGGGGAAGGGAAGATGTCCGAGACCGATGAAGCACTTGAGGATGTGTTGGTATTCGAGTGTGAGTGAAGATCACTGGACAGAGCAGGAACCGGTACAGACTCGACAATCAGTTGTCCATGGCGGAAAGCATCTGAGAGGAAGGGTTTGAGGTCGTCTAATGGAACGTCGGAGAAGTCAATAGGGCCAAGACTCTTGAGGGCTTCGTGAAGAGCAGACATGGCGTTTGTTTGGGCCGCTGAATCTGAACCGCTCACAGATAGTTGTGTCTGAAGACTGGAGAGAGGGCCGGGACGACTAAGAGTGCTTGGTAGATAGCGACCTGTAATCCATTCCAATCTGCGGTTGATATCACTAATCTGAAAAGATAGAAGTACGCATATCGCCGTGGCAGGTAAGCAAAGGCGGTCTTGATGGAAACGGGCAAGATGGTGTAGCAGGAGATGGGAGTTAATCAGGATTGAAGTGCATGCTTGCAACGAAAAGCATCAAAATCTCTCGGACCGTGATGGGCGTCATAGCTAAACCGAGCATTGACAAGAGTCCAGACTCCAGACAAACCGGGTTGTGGCAGGTGAAAATAATTGCGGGGCTCTGGAGAAGTGACGTTGTTGTTCGAGGCGAGTCAAGCAGATAGGGCGGTTCGGCAATCGGGTCAAAGCTCCCGAGTTGCCGAGTTTACCAGCCCTTGTACAGAACTTAAAGTAGGTACCTTATATCGTCAACAACTTGGAGAGTCGTAAAGCAACGCATTCTCTGGAACGTGTTTATACATAGAGCTACAGGTAAATACAGTAAGTATGTCTTCTTGAAATCAGATACCAAAAGCTGCCCTGACCGGTAACTCCCTTCGCTATAAAGACCGTGTATCCGTAACCACATCATCCAAACGCAAGATGTTGCCGCCCTTCAAATAACTTCTCCTGCTCCATTCTACAGCTGTTGCAGTATTCTCTCTGCCATTTCCTAAGGCCATCCAGCCTACCGGTCCTCTCCCGGTGCTTGGCATCCACGACCTGCTGAGAATCGGCCGTTTTCGAACTCCCGCTGGGTGAGATATTCGCTTGATTCTCTCCTAACATCATTTGTGCCTGCTTGCATTTCGTGTTCTCATCAAGAAGCCAATTCTCCCACTCCGCTCGCAGTATCTCCCTCTCCACATTGTTGACCAAACGCATGGCAACAATCAAGTCATGCCGATATGAACCGAAGTGCTGGCGTGTCCGCCTTAGGCGTTTCGCTGTAGATCGGGTTGCTGTATCTGAAAAGGTCGCCGCCGCAGTTTCATAGGGAGAATTCATATCTGTGGCATTTGCTATGTCCCTGAAGTGCGCGTAGCTAATAATAATTTAGTATATCACGGACTAACCTAAAGTTATTATGGAGGCTTACCATTGACTGCCAGACTGGTTCATTAACGAAGTTGGCACAGCGGTCAAAGCATCGTCAAGGTCTTTGAGATAGATCGCTTTGCTCATTATGGGATTTGGCCCGACGCCGATCCTGTTCATGAATTTTGCAGCGTTTCTCTCAGCCCACCATTCGGAAGTATCTCGCGAAGTAAAGAACGCATTCATTAACACACTAAGGAGGAGCGCAGAGAGAATGATACTGTGTGCATTCATGGCCTTCCAGAGTGAGCGGATAACTGCAAATGTCCACATCATCACGGATGAAATGGCACTCTCCCCGAAGGATCGAACAGTCTCGAACAGCATGGTTGTAAGCGTACGCTGTTTAATTTGAGGCCGTTTTGAGGAACCTGACTCGGCAGCGGAGAACGTTGTAACAGATGTCTGCTGCCCTATATGGCCAAAGATATGGATAGCTTTCTTCGTTCTGCTTTGTGGTCCCAGCTTACGCACTTGATCTGCTACAACGTCCAAGAGGTCTAGCGCGTCGAGACCGGAATCATCGAGGGCTTGTCGTTCAACCAGACTTTGAGAGAAGTGTTTCTTCGACCACTCTACTTTGGTATAGATAACCAATTTGCATTTGGACTTCGCAACGTGAGTAATGACGATCTTGGAGACCAACATAAAGTCTTTATGATGGGGCAGGTGCCATGGAGTTTTCTTGTCGGTAACGACATAGCATATGTGATCATTCATCACATCAATGACTTGGGAATCAACGATATTTGCCTGGCGAGACCGACCAATGATATCCAAGTACTCTATCTGGAATTCAAAGTCACGTCGCATATGGCCACCATCCAGCCGGATCCAAGGGCCCTGCGACATCCGCTGTGCTCGGCGCTCGTGATACAGGAGTTGGAAAACCGCACTTTTGTCACCGAACATGACATGAAATAGCGCTTTAGGGCTGATTTCGAACTGTCGTTCGACCGCCTTTCGTTGCATATCCCGTGGTTCATATTCCACAGGACTCGATGGAAGATGAAACTTGGTGATTCCCTTGTTCCCACCAAGATGTAGCCCTTTTTCAACATGGAACGTTGGTCTCATGTGTCGATCCTTACGAATCCTTCCTGCCACAGTGCCATCATCAATTGGTGTATTAGCAGGGATATCCTCCCAGCTTTCCGAATTTGGAGTCCCGGTACGCTCCTCTTCTTCCAGATTTATCAATGCAGCCATGGTTTCTTCCAGACTCATTTGCTTTTTTGATTGACATATATCTATCAACAAATTTAATCTGGATTGGAGCAGCCGAAGTGGATCCAAGAAAGTCTTGATCGTTACTCGAGTAAAGCCGTGGTTCGAGGGATCCTCTCGTAGGTGAAGGAAGATAAAATCGCAGTCCTTGCCTGGAGCGGTGGTGACTTCAGTAATGTAATCCATGCTCGCTCCAGAGATAAGCACAAGTCCCATATGGTGACTGTAGAAGTATATATCGTTCTGAGTCACGTAAACTCTCCCCGGAAATTCCTGTTGCTCGTTTGGATTCCATGTCGCGCGGAATACAAGTAAAATTTTGTCAGAGCGTGGAACATTTGGGAATAGCATTCGAAACTGCGCCTCTTGCATCTTCAACTCTAATGGGTAATTGCTGGGGAACACTTCTGGCTTGGGAGTAGACTGATTTTGCAGGCGTGCAGGCTCAGAATCGACGCTGATCGTTTTCCGGTGAGCTGTTGGTGTAAGAGCTGGATTAGACTTAGGATCAGTAGATGTACTGATCGATGAATGGACAGGCTCTGAGAGCTCGGGGTCAGGCTTACGGTTTTCATTGCCACCAACTTGGCGTGATGAATCAAGAGCTCGCAGAGTCGGACTTGTTGGTACGGATCGATTGGCAATGTCAGAAGACTTGACATCTCCTGTCTTGAAGCGATTAATATAACCCCAGTTACTGGAGCCCCAGAAGTTTGCCATGATTCCACTTGGCATACCACCCGTAGCATCACTGCGGCCAATCCCTATACCACGTTCGCCACTAACAATGACAGCTGCTTTACTCAAGTTCGTTGGTGCGGGTGGATTCGCAAGCGTTGCAGGAGCCAGTGTGCTCATTTGCGACTCTACTTGGGCAAGTGGTGCTCCCTGGAGTTTGAGATTGCTCTGGCTGGTTTGTGCAGTAGTAGATGTAGAATATACCGGGAGAATGTTATGACTCGCAGATATTAGACTAGCAATACCACCAGACGATGTCAGGGAGACCATAGATGCGCCTTCGGCGGGGGTAATCGTAGCCTTTCGATGGAGATCAAGCTTCTGCATGATTCTGGCTGCATGATCTCTACCGGTCTCGCCGTCTTCCCTCATGGTAATAGAGCGATGAGGTATGTCAAAACTACTTCGTGAAGCCAAATTGCCCAATTCAGGCCCGGGGATCGGCAGTGTGCTAGACCTTTCAGAGCTTGCGGCGGCGGCATCATCGCTGCTATGCACAGCATGGCCATCCATGGATTTGGCAGCGAATTCCGGAACAGAAGGCGGGGTGATTGAAAAGGCAGGATCGATATCCCCCGCGCGACGGCGATCATTATTTGTGCTTGCCTCTAACGCCTTCTTCTTTGCGGTTTCAAACGTCCCTAACCATTCCATGAGTTGCACCTGTGTTTCCGCTTGAACAAGGGTTGTCTGGTTTTTCGTCTTAACCTCGAAGCAAAATCGACGTTCTTCTTGGACAGCTGGCTTCACATTGCAAAGAAGCACGCCAACCTTTTCGCTTTCCTCGACGCCGCCAGAAAGACCTTGGACGAGCCAACCAAATATCCCGTTCTTGATATAGAACCAGCGACGAACCCAATTCGTCCTTGCCGGTTTTCCAGATATTGTCCGCAGGAATAACCACCCTTGCTTTTCAGATCTCTCGCCTTCCTTGCCCTGCGACTTGATGTTTACATTCGACGGACCCCCCTTAGAACCAAGAAAGCTAACGGTAGAAAGATTGTAATCTTCCAGTTCCCGCGAAGGTTTAGATGCCTGGGCGGCAGTCTCTCCAATCTCTTTCCTAGCAACCTGCAGTTCGCGACGAAACACACCTTCACCTGCTTCCATTTCTTTGCTCCAACCTCGCACGCGATCCATCTCGCCATTCCATTTATCAAAGCTGACGCCGCCAGTATCCCGTGAGCGTTTTATATCTCGCCATTGATCCGATGAGACACGCACGAGAAGCCTATCGATAGTGTAACGAAGTTGAGGAGCCAGCAGGCAAAAGTCCAAGGACGCTTTGATATACGCTTTCCGAGTCTCGTGGACCTGAAAAGCATCTTCTCTCAGAGAAGAGGGTTCTTTTGTTTTCGATTGGGCCACGTATCTTGCTAGGGTGTTGTCGAAAGTCTTCTGTGATTGTTCAAGATACCTACGGGCGTCTTTGAAATTCCGTAACCTAGAACAATAGTAAGTAAAAGGGCAATCGGCAAAAACTCGGAGTGGTACTCACTCTCCGACCATGAAAGCCTTAATTGGCTCTACGATATTTGTTTCCATCTTCTTGATTCCGGAGATGACATGCGACCACCACTCTCTAGATCCCTCGCCGAAGCGTCTCATTGCCAACAATGTATAGTCATGATCCAGTACAGCTTCTGAGACGTTCGCAGGGGGAATCGATCGAAGAAGGAAGGAGTTTAACGTCTCGTCGAGGGACGAGAAGTCGTGAATCAACTTCGAGATGGATTTGACGTATGCATCGAGCCATTTCTCGACGATTTCTACCTGGTCCGAAAAATGAACAGCTGTTGCACGGAATGTTGGGGAATCGAGAGCTGCCTCTTTCAACCTTTCGCGCCCATAAAGTCAGTGACGGGGTTTCTCGACCTGATAAGGAGTCGCAAGTCATGCTCCAAGAGGGGAAGGACGGCGACGGAGCTTGCTCAGGAAGACGAACCCAACTGGAATTAAACTCAACGGTCTGCCGACCTGCTGTAGAGCAGGTTGCGGCGCAACAGCCTCAGACATCTTGACTCCGCTCTGGAGACAAGGAGAAGATTGATGAATGATCTCCAATGTCACCGCGCGAATGTCATCTTCGTTTGTCGCTATTTTAAAGTTTCCGGTGACGGATGAGATATTGATGAGCAACGCCTCACGAGCCACCCACCAGCCACGATATATGTTGACCTGAGGCATTAAGGAATCCTTCGATTGCCAGATGGAGCATCTCTGGGGAGTTGGTATTGGTCGAAGCAAAAATAATTCCTTCCCCCCCTCCCCCCATGTTGCATCGAGTTGACCTTGTTGATGTTAAATATACCACCAGAGAAACAGCTTGTCAGACTCCTATATCCTTCGAGTGATTTACGATGCATGGTGCAGCCGTCCTACAAAGCCAGACGCCCCCGCCGCGCAGGTAAAGAAGGATAGTCGGAACTACGGTAAGTCCTTTCTTGACCTTGACAGGACTACATTTCTCTGATTTCGCCCAGATACTATCCGTTGATAGTTCACTCGGCTTGATCAATGATAATAACCAACGATCTACGGTAGTTGACATACTCAGCTCCTCTTGATGATTGAGAACTTACCTAGCCTCTCATCTGGCCATAACAGCCGTATTGTACATCGCACCCCAGTGGTTTTCCTGTTGCGGAAATATCCCCTTCTTACCTTCCCTCTTTTCTTTCCAGAAGTTCCCGTTTGCAAGCACTTGTATACCTTGACAAGTGCAGTACTCCGTAACGAGCTGCGAGTGCCGACGAGTGCCGGAGCGTTGTGTCCATACTAGAGAGCCTCCCTTGCACATGGCCAGGTGGTCTACTCCGTACTTCTACTCCGTACGGAGACGGGTACTGCACCTTGTCCTTGGAGTTGGGCCGTTCAACCGTTGGGACTGGGAGAGTTTGGGACTCTGGGGTGCCTTGGATTTGGGGATAAGGGCCACAGGCTCCACACCCGTGGAACGGGCAGTCTAACTGGCCCAGGAACCACACCGTACTGTTTTAACCTTCGCCAGAATGCAAGAGAGACTTTCCTCTGTAGAAGTTTCATACTACTCAAGCCCTCGCGAGTCCCGACTATCTGGTATTGACAGGGCCGGGTTCTTCACGTGTCTCACTCGTCCACTTATTTCTGATTTCTCCCGTGCAACACCTATCTATCTGCTATCTACAACCGTTCTACCGCGAATAGCTGGTATTAGTAAAAGCATGAATAGCTGGTCCCAACAAGCGTTGTCCTCGACGCAACCGAACCCCGAAGTCACGTTAGCAGTGATAGAGTCGCTTGATCAGCGATTACAGAACCATGCTGGACCGATGTCCCTTCGTACAGACTACAGTACTCCGGATGCTTCTAGTATGAGACCATCAGAGACCAATAACGTTTGGAGCATATAGCCAATCAAAGTCTGTGGATGGAAGTTTCCGGCGTTCGAGGATCTGACTACTACTACTCAGTACATAGTACTCGACAAGGCTGCCCGTGAGTCGTGAGAGAACAATTAATCATGATGGATATAATTCCCTGATAGAGTCGACAGACAATTAATTGCTCGTGGTTACGTGTGCGCATATTCGACTATTTACTTCGCGAGTCGTGAGTCGTGCCCTTCAGCTTCAGCCTTCAGCCTTCTCCACCGCTGCTTCGCCGCAACCCCGCGATTAGCCTGGAAGAGGAATCACATCTCCGAGGCCGATGGCCTTGAAATTTTACAATAATAATGGAGGTCTCTTTAGTAAGAGGACGGCGGTATCCACTGCTCCGCACGACGCGGCCGTCTCAACGGTCAAGTTTCAACCACCAAGAACTGTGCCGGCTCAACTCTGGGGCGTATCAGGAGTAGGACATTACGGATATAATGGGTCTGGGCATTGTTCTCAACGAGCGCTGTTGAGCCTGGAAGCGTCGAAGATTCCTTGTCCAAGGGCCTCTCGATCGATATCTCTGCAATATGCGACTCGAGGACTTCGTATAGGACGTGGACTTGGTCTGCCATGAGGGTCCAATAAGTATCGTCTGCATCTCGAGCAGCCAGAGACACACAAGAGTCGGCGAGACAGCCTTCGCGCCATACTATTATTATGTTATTATGTGAAGTGTATTGCTAGAGATATCAGACATACGAATGGGCATCCTACATATGCAAGCAATATGATCTTAATGTCCTCGGGCCGCCCTTGGTCGGGTAAAATCTGTAGGAACTGTAGGAATAAGTCGCCGCACAGCCTTAAACCTGCAGTGCGCGCTCCCCCTCTTGACAGAACAGACCTGACCGCCAAACTCCGGACTACGGCTCCACGTTTTCACCCGCAGAATCTCCTCGCCCACTCTTCTCGTGCACCAGCCTCACTCGTGAAAGTCGCCATTCCATCGTTAACCCATCCTTTCACTCTCACTCTTCCTCTTAACTCTTCCTCGCCTCGTCCGCCTTCACCGTTGCCACGCCCCGATTGTATATATTGATTGCTTTGCTTTGCTTTCCACGCGCTCAAATCCGTCGCACTCCACAACGCGAAAGCCCTCTTCCGAAGTCCCTTTAACCCCGACCTTGCCTGCACTCGACCCCAGAAAACCGAACACGCAACGCAATTTATGTCATATTTGTTCCGCTACCTAGGATCTATTTGGGAGGCTTGAATCGCATGGAGCCATGACTTTGAGCTGTCTGTGGTAAATGTCGCCGCTAGTACATACGCATTCAAGGCGCATCGACAAAGTCCAGGATTACGCATAAAAGTTTGGAGCCCTTGAGCAGCGCCATATCATGTCCTCGAGTCGACCGGATATACATTCCCAAGTGCGAGGATCTTCGGATTTTCAGACAGCTGGGGGCGATGCTGCGACGTCGATGCATCCTGAGCACCTCGAAATAGGCCAGTTCATGATGGATAATAACCAACATGCACAGAATCCGTCTCTCATGCATACTTCACCACCATCCCTCGACGTTATAGGCAATTCCCAATTTGCAGACTTCTCTTTCTCTTACCATGGTGTTCCGGAACACGATCTGCAGGGTGAGAGTACACTTGAGAATGCGTCAGATCCATATAATCTTTCGGGGCAAGGGCCAGCTTCAGATCATCGAAGTTCAATAACATCGATGCCAGCAGCCGCTCGGGCAAACTTTAGTGGCGCTGTTGCAGGAGGGCAAACTGGAAACGCCAGTGCCAGTGGTGGATCGGAAGAAGCTAGCCCTGCCAGCAACCGTGCCGGTGGATTAGATGGCGGATATGGTGATGATTTTGGCCTCAATAGCGCCGCACCTGTTGATGGAAGCGATCTAGGAGCCCGAACGAAGGAGGAGAAAAGTGATCCAAATCCGCCATGGAGCGAGTTGAAAACCAAAGCTGGCAAAGAGCGAAAGAGGCTACCGTTGGCATGTATTGCATGCCGGAGGAAAAAGATTCGATGCTCGGGCGAGAAGCCCGCTTGCAAACATTGTCTTCGATCTCGAATACCGTGTGTTTATAAGGTCACCACGCGGAAAGCTGCTCCCCGCACGGATTACATGGCGATGCTGGACAAAAGATTGAAAAGGATGGAGGAGCGCATCATCAAGATAGTGCCCAAAGAGGAGCAAGATAGCACGGTTCTGGTTACGAGAGCTACGGTGAAGCCAGCGATCCCAGGAACAATACCCGTCCGAAACTCAACTGGCAAGAAACGTGGTGCAGACGAAGCCTTTGGTCCAGAACTTGATAACTGGTCGAAATCTGCCTCAGCATCAATCCTGGGTACTAACCCGAAGCCCTCATCTTTGATGATACAGGAAACACAGGAGAGCGAACTGTTGTCGGAAGGCGCTGAAGCCTTACCATCTAAGGATATTCAAGAACATTTGTCAGAGATCTTCTTCGAGAATTTGTACGGCCAGACTTACCATTTACTGCACAAGCCTAGCTTTATGAGGAAGTTAAAGTGAGTATATGACTTATTGCTGTTATCCTAATCACCACTAATTCGTGTCAGAGCCGGAACTCTACCCCCAGTTTTAATCCTTGCAGTTTGCGCCATATCCGCACGCTTCTCAACACACCCAAAACTCAATACAACACCAGCATTCCTAAGAGGCGAAGACTGGGCCTCCGAGGCTCGAAGTATTGTTATGAGACGATACGAGTGGCCAAACATCACGATACTGACATGTCTACTCATCCTTGGATTACATGAGTTCGGGACATGTCAAGGTGGGAGAAGCTGGTCATTTGGTGGGCAGGCGATCCGAATGGCATTTGCCTTACAACTGCACAAAGACCTCGATCATGACCCCCAGAAACGCAACGATTCCACTCCTTTGAGTTTCATCGACCGTGAGATTCGACGAAGGACCATGTGGGCTTGTTTCCTCATGGATAGATTCAATTCTTCTGGGACTGACCGGCCGACGTTCATTAATCCAGACCAACTGAAAATTCCACTTCCTATCAAAGAGAAATACTTCCAGCTTGATATGCCTGGACCAACAGAATCACTAAATGGCGAAGTGTTGCAGCCTGTTTCTCCCGGCGCCGGACAACTCTCCAACCCGAAGGAAAATATGGGAGTTGCAGCTCACATGATCCGATCAATTGCCTTGTGGGGTCGTATCATCAACTACCTGAACCTAGGGGGCAAGGAGGACGACGTGCACCCAATGTGGCATCCCAATTCAGGGTATGCTAATCTCATGAAGCAAACCGAAGAATTCATTTCGACGCTGCCAGAATCGTTACAATACAACCAAGAAAACTTGCACTGCCACGAAACAGAAGGATTGGCCAACCAATTCCTCTTCCTTCACGTCTCAATCCAGCAAAATATTCTATTCATGAACCGTTTTGCTGTACCCGGACATACTGGCAGCCGAGCATCTCAGGATGTGCCGAAAGATTTCGTCACTAAAGCTGGAGCGAAGGCATTTGAAGCAGCGAATAGGATATCGGAGCTCCTGCGTGATGGGGAATCTTATTTCATCACCGCACCATTCACAGGGTATTGCGCTTTCTTGTCGAGCACAGTCCATGTGTTTGGCGTCTTCTCCAACAATGCTGCCATGGAGGCGGCATCTAAGAAGAACCTTGCGACAAACATCAAATACTTAGCGAAGATGAAGAGATACTGGGGAATGTTCCATTTCATGTCAGAGAATCTCAAAGATCAGTACAGAGCATACGCGGATGCTTCAAGACAAGGTGCTTCCACTAGTTGTAAGCAATCCTCGGCACAAATCTTCCAATATGGGGACTGGTTCGATCGATACCCTCATGGCGTGTCGCAATCCGACTTCGAGGATCCAGCTGTTGGGATTAAAGTAGAGAAGGGCGATGACGCAGTGTTGGAGCAGAAATCTGATTACCACACCGTGGAAGAGTTCTTTCATACTCTCTCGCCTCTGCAGCCATTCCCTCATGATATGGCCAAGGCAGCGAAACGGAAACCGAAGGGAAACCTACCTCAACGACGAGAGCAACTCGATTCTGTAAACACGAGCATATCTGACATGGGTTCTGATCCGACCCTGCAGATGCAAAATAATCACCAGATCCCCCCAGGCTACAATCAAATGAGCCCCACGACACCTGTAAATATGTACAACCAAGCTCCTTACTATGGGCAACCTATTTTATTACCTCCACACCAACAAGGAATCCTTCCACAGCTCGACCGTCAACTGGTATTCGGCGCTTACGCTGGGATGGACCCCTCTCAGGGGTTGCTGGATGTGACTAGTGGATGGGATATCCCAATGAATGGAATGAACGCATTCGTGCCAGAAGTCAGCAGCGCGTGGATGATGCCTTTCAATATGGAACCTCCGGAAATCGGTCAGGAGTCGGACGTCTTTAATACTCTGGATAGTGCAGCTGCAAGTTATGGGATTGGGATGAACGGAAACGGTATGGGTGGGAGTTGAGAGCTTTGTTATACTGTATAGGTGAATTGGGTGGCGAGGTATGTAGGTAGGTGTTCAGGGCGGGGGCATCCAGGGAATACTGCGCTGTACAATAATCTAGCATGGCTTTGATCTGCGATGAACGTGTAATGATCATGTAGTGGACGAACGCCGTCTTAACACCTTGAAATGGCATCTCAGTTTCAAGTATCTATGGTTTGTGGAACAAACCGTACGTGATATTGTACTTTCAAGCCTCTAACGAGTCTTTTGTCTTTATCCCCCTCCCCTCCTCACCTCCATCTTTCACCCCCTTTTCGAGAGAGCCGTCTCAAAGAGAGCCTTTTTACTATGCCATGTTAATGCAACAGCACAGGATTTACGTGCCGCGAGTCACAGTCTAGCTGTTTGCTCAATAGCCACCTAGTAGAGTTGATATATACCTACCTTACCATTTCTATATGTCAGTTTCATACTCATTATAATAAAAAGAGCGGCGGGGTTAAGCGGTTCAGAACTAGGTAGCTACAAGTATCTGCTATTCTCTTGTCGCTGAGCATCTATACACTGTCGGCTCCGCATACTAAATATATATATATATATATTCTTATTACCAAGGGCGCGCATATCGCAGGTATTACGCGTGTCATCGAGATCTGTCTCTGCTCTCGTGTTAAGCACCTCGACAACCGCCGGCGATGAGGGCTGGTTCCGACTTGTGGCGAGTGTTGAGACTACAGACCTCAGTGTGGACACATATAGACGGGGACAGATATTGTCGCTTTGGCATCACTAGAGCGGCTTGCCTATATAGAGCTTGTTACATTGACGGCGGCGCAAAGGGCCAAAAATGAAAATTGGTATCTGTATGACATCCCCTACTTCCTCCAATGAACTACAGCAAAATATTTTTGGCTCAGCTAACTCATGCTTCCATCTTCACGCCACTCTTGTTCTTCCTTGACCTCTTCTTCTTTCTCTTGCCTTCCACAATATCTGTCTCCTTTTCAGCCTGTGCCACGTCGTCACCAGCGTTTGCCCCAATAATGATTTCGGGTCCGTCCTCATTGCCAAACGTCTCCTTTCTCCACTGCCTTAATCTAGCTTTCTTCCCTAGATTCTTCTTGTCTTTCTTTTTCTTCTCAGGATCACGGAATGAAGCCATCTTTTTCAGCCCGGCGAATTGATTCAACGCTGAATCGGGAGCCATAAGAATATCTCTGGCAGTAAGCCCAAATGAAACGGGCGAGGTCTCGCGGTAACGGAAGCCTGTTGTCTTACTTGATTGGAGTGGCAGGTCGAGATCAAGATGACTGTCAACAATCTCCTCGATTTTCTTCCTCTCGAGTCGTGCAGCCTTCTTCTTGGCGAGGTTTTCTTGTCGTCTCTCCTTGCTGGATTTCGATTTGTGGTGACCATCTCCCTCCTCAATATCTCCATCCTCCATTTCCTCATCGGAGTCAGACAGGGTGAAGGCAGGCTTCTTATGCGATTCCTCTTCCGCCTCGAAGTCGGGAATGATATCCTTAATATCAATATCATCATCCCACTTTGGCTTCTTGACCTTCTTCTTCTTTTTCTTACTGGCCCCGTCCCCTTCCGAACCAGAGTTTTCATCCTCCGAACCAACCTCCTCCTGGGCATAGTAATCTTCCCCGAATCGCTTGTTCATCTCGGCCTCCCACTTATCATCGTCCCAGCCCTCGTCCAGGAACTTTTCCCATTCTTCATCCTTTAGAGTTTTGCCTCGGATTCCCGCAGCTCGCTTGATCTTTTTGAGTTTCTCCTCCATTTCTTCAATCTTCAATCGCCTTAACCGTGCTCTTTCCTCTTCCCTTTCGGCTTTCTCAGCTTCTTTCTTCTGTCTTTGTGCTTCCCTTTGCTTCTTCCGACTACTTGGTTCTTCGCGTCGTACTGACTTTGCCGCCACGATATCTCTTGCATATGATTTCAGCATTTCGTTGCTACCCTTGGGGTCCTCGAATCTTAGGTTATATGCCGCCTCGAACGTCTCCGCTCGTGCATCTTCTTCATCATCATCTGATTCAAGTGGCTGGAAGCGAGATCCCTCAGTGGGTACCCAGGCACGAGCTGCCATGAAGTTCGAGAGGAAAGTTTCGGGATCTTTGTCTGCAATACTGACATCGACCGTAACTTGTTCTTGTCTAGAAGGATGTATGCCTTGATTAGACGCTTCTGGTTTGGATTTTGGAATAAGGAAACCGCCATCTTCCTCCTCCTCATCTGAAGCTTCTGCAGCTGCATGCATTTCTTTGACAATGGACTTCTTGAGATCTTCCTGCTCCTGTGCAAAGGTCCGTGGGGCCTTTTCTGCGTCCTCTTCTCCGCCGATGTCGCCTTTGAGGAGGTTTTCGCGGTGGTAATCCCTCAGGTACATTGGCTTTTCTTTCTTGGTGCCTGTAGCATCTTCATCTGCGTTTTCCTCGATCGGCGTATAAAATGTAACCTTCTCGTCGTAGACCCGAGGATCCTTGTTTCTAATTGCTTGAAGTGTTGCTGATATCTCAGCGTCTAAAGCTTCTGTGGCCAAGAATCCCTCGTCATCCTCGTCCTCGTCGTCAGAAGACTCGGAATCCTCATCATATTTGTCCCCATATTGGCCATTCGAAGGCTTTGTTTCCTTTTGGTATTTCTCTTCCACTAGATAAAGGGTTAGTAGAAAATAAAAAATAAAATAAAAAAAAAAGGTACAGCAATGACCGACTGACATCTATGCAATTCTGCCCGCTTCTTGTTATGCTCAAATCGCCTTGCGTATTCCTCGTTGATCTTGAATCCAGATTCCTCAAGCTCGGCCCCGCCGCTAGACTCATCATCACTGCTGCTCGCGGAGTCGCTATCTTGCAACAGATTTATCTTTTTCGTATTCGTAGTTTCGTCGTGCTTCGACTTTTTGACCCCATTTGTAGGGGGGCTCTGACTCAGGGTATCCGCCTTTCTTTTAGGCATCGTGGAGAGAATTCTTTGCGATTGTGGTGGAATTTGGAGAGTGCAGGTAAGGTGCTGCTCAAACTTTATTTGATCCAAAAATTATTTGAAGGCTCTGACCGCCTGGAGCTAAGCTAATTACGGCTAGCCTACAAGCTTGATCGTCATACCTGCCTTGCCCGCCTCCCTTTGTCGAGTACATCCGTACGAATACCGCGACAACACCTCCGCTGCCAACATCTCCGTCTCTTGATGCCCGGGCTTTTGCTTCTACGACCTTAAATCGAGAATACAACTGTTGTCAGGAGTAATTTAAATTTGACTTGTGGCGTTCTGAGATCCCAAACGCTCCGGATCGCCATTGCGTAAGCCAACTCAACCGCATAACAAGCCCAAGCAGCAATGGCAGAGCCAACAGCGCCAAAACCTAGTTCGAGTGTGAAGCTCGTTCTCCTTGGCGAAGCAGCCGTAGGAAAGGTATTTTTAGGATGATTATCATTGTGGATTTACTATTGTTTACTAATTAGCACGCAGTCCTCACTCGTCCTACGATTTGTTAATAACGACTTTCAAGAGAACAAGGAACCAACTATTGGTGGTACGTGGTCTCCGGAACCCCCCCTCAGGAGTTTTATTTTGTTCTAATTTGCGATGCGTAGCTGCCTTTCTTACGCAAAAATGTAACCTCCCAACCCGGACCATCAAATTCGAGATCTGGGATACTGCGGGACAAGAACGCTTCGCATCTCTCGCTCCCATGTACTATCGAAATGCGCAGTCCGCTCTAGTCGTCTACGATCTTACGAAGCCCACATCACTTATTAAAGCAAAACACTGGGTGGCAGAGCTCCAAAGACAGGCTTCGCCGGGTATCGTTATTGCCCTCGTAGGCAACAAGCTCGACTTAACAAATGAGGCGGGAGACTCAAGCAATGCCTTAAGTGATGATGGAGAGGCAGGTGCTGCAGAGGAAGATGAGGGGGATGCAAGGAAAGTTTCGACGGCTGAAGCAAAGTCATATGCAGAGGAAGAGGGATTACTGTTTTTCGAGACCAGTGCCAAGCTCGGAACGAATGTGACAGAAGTCTTCACAGCCATCGCCAATGCTATCCCAGAAACATCATTGAAGGGTACTAGAGGGCCAGGCGTAGCACAAGCAAGTGTGCCAAGAACGGAGGATCACTCAAGGGTGAACTTAACAGGGCCAAGAGACAACGCGTCGAAAGAGGGATGTGCTTGTTAGCCGTTATGTCATAAGCTTAATGTCATTATTTTCTACCTTTGGACGTCGGGTTGGTACGGGTGGTTGTTTTCATGGCATATAGCCTTATTTTGATATATTAGCGTCGAGTCGAAGATCATGGTCATTGTTACCTTAAGATAACAGGTATCTTGATTTTTCTCGTGTCAGTGTTCAGAGCCTCATATTCTTCTATGGCCATGCTTCAATTGATTGAACCAGATTTGATAAACTCATGGTACAACACGCGGCTGCTCGGCTCCTCGGCGTCGCGGGCTTAGCATGTTCCATACTCACAATCCTTGAGATTGAGCAAGGCATTTATATCTACTAAAGGTCGATATACCTCAGAGTATGCTTCTGGGGGAACTTGTAGAGCTATCTATTGCCAAGCGGCAAAGGCATCCCACAAGGCCTGTTTCCAGATAAGGCTTTCGGTCGTTCCAAGACCGCTTTATTGGCCCTGACGTCTAAGATTCGCTCTTCCAAAGATATAATTTATACTTATCAAGAGAAGCCTCGAATTTAAAAATGTGACGGAATCCGGGTCCGACTGCAGACATTTGAAGATAGTTGGATCCTTAAGCTGGCCAAATTTGCTTCTGCTCGAGATGAGAGACACGATTCTAAAAGTGATATCTCCATTTTGCTTGTGCCACATGCAAGTGCAGTCTAGCCAAGAGGAACATAACCCCTATTATTTTTTCTTATCTCTCATTAGAAGCTTGCTAGAATTGCTGCGAATACTTTCGTGTCTACGGCAGATCCGACATCCATATCCGTTGACCTAGACGTTTCCAGCGCAAGCAAATTCATCTGCCCAAGATGCGTTCCTCGATTTATACATCGCCTTCTACGCCAGTATTGCTGACCTCACCAGTTGTACTGACAGATCCCATCATAGCTTGAAGTTTTAAATTCTGCATCAGTGGCCAAGCTCGGATTCCGAGATTATAGAAAAAGGAAGACTGCGAAGAAAGCTTCCTGCCTGTCTTTTCATATAACACATGATGCCAAAGGAAATGAAATCGAGGCGCGAAGTGCCGCCGACTTCGAATATGACGCCGAAGGGTTTGAGATCATGAACCTCAAAAGATGAAGGGGAAAGGCAAACAGTGCTCAGGCTCTCATCTCTTCACTACTGGCCGTTGGTGATAGATTAATCGTCGGTTCTGGTTATAATATCTGTAGATATCATATGCGGGAACGTACTGTACAACCTTTCCCAGAAGTCGTAGAATTGGTTGATTCCTAGAGTGAAATCCCCCCTGCTGTCTTTCAAGAACGTCAATCTAATGATACAAACGATATTGCCATGCCAGTGAAGACTGAGTTCGGGCTTCGGCAACACCGCAGCTAATGATACATCAACTAGGACGCAAACAATATTCTGATACAGATGTTGAACAGTCGATTGTAACGGATCATGATTCGTCGAAAAATTATACATGCTAACATCATTCGTAATTTCTATACTCCCGGCATGCCAATAACGTTTCTTACCGCTGGCACTACACGTGGTAAGAAATATACAACAAATATGCCACTGAGGGCCACAAGCAAGCCAGTGAGCTAAGAAAGGTATTAGCATATACTTGAGTGCTGAATCTCCTCGTCTCACCTTCTCAAACCACGTATGGAAATACGCAGCTGTCATTAACAACATATATAAACTCAGTCCCACAACTCCTAAGATAATCTTCACGCCCAAAGTCCACACAGAACCTTCGGCCGCTGCGTCTCTTGACGAGGGGGCTTCGACATCGGCACTTTTCACCGCACCGTCGTCCATGATGATCGTTCGTTCCTCCTTTGCCGCTGACGATCTCAGGATAACGTGTACGACTTCCTCCAAGAGGAACATACTTCCCAAAACCAGTAAGAAGACGTGCCCACTGATATCATGCCCACCTCTCCATTTCCCACCAACAGCTTTACATGCCACACCAGTAACAAACTGCCGTGTAGGGTCCATATCCACGTTCCCAGCTTCAGCTTGTTCCACTAGCTCACATTGTCCTCCAGTAAGCAAGAAGCTCCGGTCAATGATGGCAGGCCCAAAGAACCACTGTGTGACGAATATCCACCACACTGTAACGAGTGTCCATCTCAATGCTCCTCGGATTCGTTTAGGTGTCAAAACCAAGGAACCAGGCGGACCTGTCGAAGGGTGCGTAAAGAGAAAGAAGAAGTAACTAATTGTGATCCACGCCCAACCCTGCTTCACGAAAAAGACGTTGAATATGTTGCTCTTCTTAGCAAAATATGAAGGTGCTGTATCTGCGAAGTGTGATTGTGTCGTTGCATTGTATGGAGCGGATCGCGTAGACGGATCGAGGAGAGCGAAAAGCGAACCTGCAACGAGGGTTGCAGGATAGATTGAGAGCAGGATTGTCTCGAGGGAAGTTGGAAGAAATGGGGGTCTGCGCGCGGCCATACTCGCGGTTTCTGGAGGACTGCCGTTCGCAGTGTTCGAAGCTGAAGGTGTAGATGGAGCAGAGAGGTTCGGAATTTTCTGTGAGCGTCGAGCTGTTGCGGACTCCGACTCCAACATTTTCTAAAGAAGTCTGCGGGTCTAGAAGCTGCAAGGCAGCTCCACCATCGGTCAAGAGGCGGCAAGAGAGTGTGAGAGCGATAATCCGGGTCGTTGAAAGGAGACAAGATTTCTTGATGCGCCTATTAATACTCGACAGTTCTGTATGACGTTGTTTTCTGAACCAGCAAGGATCAGCTAAACACACCTCGTTGCCTCGGATATTCTTTCTGCGCGCGGCCGCTCATGAAGCGTTTCATATAGAACTACAACTGCTGGCCGAGGGCAGTTTTCAAGTCAAGAGTTGGTCACATTGTGCATTCTCAAAATCCACCTCGCAATCGCATTCGAAATGGTAACGACTCGCGGCCGTCCCCAGGGACACCTCACCCCAGCCAAGTCGACCCCGCGGAAAGGGGAGTGGGCGCACTCTCCCTCCAACCTATCAATCATATGGCTCCTTATTTCCCTCCCTCTCGTGATGTGGGATACAGGATATGTGATGCTGCGGCCGCACAGCATGCCTGGAGGCTCCCTACACTGGCCCCTGTGGGTTCCGTACGAATTGTATTGCGAGATGGACTACATATATGGGTGGAAGGCTTTCAATGAGCACAATGGATTTACCGCCGCGCAGACGATGTTAAACATCATCGAAACTGCTATGTATATATATTATTTATACATCGTGTACGCATACGGCCGGCCATCAACTTCTCACCAACGCGGCGCGTCAAAGCCTTCTACTGCGGCGGTTTTAGGCCAACAGCGGTACGTTGATGGAAAGAAGGGTGCCCTGGCAGTGTTGATAGTACACAGTGCTGCTGTTATGACTGTTAGCAAAACCGTGCTTTATTGTAAGTTTGAACTGCGAGACAATATCTACATGACCAACGAGGTTTAGGGTTGAATGAATATTTCTCTGGCTTTGCGAATATTGGTCACAATGACACACCACGTCTCCTACTCTGGGCAGTCTCTAAGTAAGTTCATCCTTTTCGGGTAATGTCCTCATCTAACATTGCCTAGTGGTGCCTGGATCATCGTCCCCTCATATATCATCTACTTGACCGGAAATGACATCCTACGAGGCTTGACAGTTGCTGCTGGTGGCGCTACGAGCTCTTCCGATGATACATCGTTGGTCAAGACTGAATGAGGATGGGGTTGATTTGGACGGCTGGTATTGTGTTCACTCGACAAAACTCCTCCAGAGTATTGACTCCAATCAGATAGTCTTTTCTTATATACATAAAAAAGGACAAAAGTTGTGAGATGTCTCTTTTTTTTACGACGATGAGTTTAGCCACCCATATACTTCTTGCTTTTTACTTTCCCAAGTGTTGACTAGATTACATGCCAAAAGTCGAATGCCTTGAGAGCCAACACGAAGAGTAATTTGCAATGTTGGGGGAAAGGAGGGTTGTAGTAGTGGTTTTAGCAGTTGTTGTGGTTGTGAATTCCCTTCCCCCCCCTTCCCCCCCCTCTTTTCTGAATTACTCACTTCCTGTAGCAGTTGTACTTGTAGCAGTGGTTGTAGCAGTTGTCTTCATATCAGTTGTAAATTACTCACTCCCTCTAAGCTACCTAGGTACTCTCTGTAGTGGTTGTGGTCGTAAAAAATAAAAAGGGGAAGGGGGGGTTACTAAAATATTGAGTATAAACCTGAGTGAACTTTCCATCTACCTTAGCTATATTGGAGTTAGAACAGCCACAAGTGCGAGATGATATTATCCCGGTGAGCGCTTGAATTATAGATAACTATGCAGTCTTTCAGAAAGAGAAGCACCTTCTATCAGGTAGACAACCCCTTTTAAGGCCGTGCACGAGCCACAAAGTATTCGACTGCGCTTTGTTAAAGTGGGTCACACTTCAGACTTGTCATATGTAGTTAAGTAGAGGTTTCATCTGTCAACAATTGCTTCTATGGCGCAGTGGTAACGCGTCGCACTTGTATACCACTCTTTGTATAAAAAATGCGAAGATTCCGCGGTTCGAATCCGCGTGGAAGCATACTACCTTTTTTGCTTTTTTTTTGCCAACATAACCTGCTTGCTTGTCGCCTTTTCTTTTTGAATGCTCTTAATAATAGCTGGCCATTATGATTCGAAGTCTGAAAAGTTTATACTGCGATACTGTTCTGAGTACAATGCTTGTCTCGCGACTCTCGGTCTCACTCAACTCAAACTTCTCAAACCACCATAGCAAAAGCTAGATGTTCACGAATCACCTGCAATTAAGTTTTTGAAAGCAATGATGCAGCTATTTTTCTGTGTTCTCATTACCCAGTATCTCGGATCTCTGCTCCCTACCTAAGGCATGTAGGTGATGAGCAAGCTCGGAAATAGGGGGGTTGTTCTGTTGGTGCTAAGTAGCCATTTCCTGCGCAGAGGTGAACAAACGGTAATGTTGGGATCAGGGTAAAAACTCAATGATCTAACTCAATGATCTATTGCTCATTTTTCTAGGATAGAACGAACGAAGGTATGCCTTACCTAGGGGGGCCTGTTCCAACTTCCACATGCTCCTGGGACCCACCCCATTGACCAACAGTGAGACGTCAAAAACCGATTGCGTCGACGACTTTATTAAAAGAGATCATTTTCCTCTCGAATGAGAACCCTCTTAGCTACCCTACCTAGTAGGTAGTCGAATGGTACTGTACTTCATGGATGGATTAATAGGTAAGCGAACTACTCCTGGGCCCCTGAACCCCTGAGGGTATTACGATAGCTCTAATAATCCGCAACTGTTCTTTAGAGAATGATATATCGTTACTGAAAGAGCATTCAAAAAAGCGATAGACGCATCTGCCTAACTCAGATGATGATGATGATCTACCATTTATCAAATTCAAAAATCTGTACCCGTACAATTTGACCTAGAGGTATGATGATATCAAGCAGCTTTGGTCAATTTCAATCCTTGATAGAAGAGGACAAAAGTCGAAAGTCGTACTTACATTTAGGAATCTCCCCAGAAAAATACAATTCCTACAGGTTTTGAGTATCTGTGCCATTATCTAACTATGTAATCACCGTTCAATCCCACCATACACCTCTGATGCAATGATTATGATGATCCAGAAAGTGAGCATATATCTTCACTTCCATCTGCTCAACCCTTCCAGCTCGATATTTAGTCCATTTCCACAATCGGCCCCTGATAATCCTTCCTCGCCCAGAAGAAGTAATATCCCACACTGAAGATAACCACTGCTCCCGTCACTAGACTACTGTAGTTCATCGTCTCTGCTACCACCGGGGTGGCAGGTGGCCAAAAGCTGAAAAACAAGATTATAACCAGATAAACACACGCAAAGGCATTATTGGCGATACCAAAAGCGCCAGGAATGCGCCATGGGCCCCAGATAAGTTCTGCACCGGTGGTGTTTGCCAGGGCTGGGAGTGCTGATGGATCAGGAATTCTGAAGCCACCTGTACAGCGGCGATAAAGAAGGAGAGTAGTCGCGATTAGGTAGGAAGAATAAAGGCCTGCGACAGAGAGGGAGATGATATCGTTAAAAGCGGTCGCCGAACCGATGTTGATGAGGGCCAGAAGGCAGGAGATAACAGTCGTGACGCCAATGGACCAAAGAGGGACTGTAGTACGGGAATCAACCTAGTAATTTAGTCAGTAAATGCTTAGGATAATTAGCTAAATATGACAGAGATGCTAAAGAATCACCGAGAGTATCATATTCTCATGCGATTACTTTCTAACTGCGTCTCCGGAAAGTGTTTGATAAAGGGCACAGTACCTTCTGCAGCGTCCGCCAGAAGGGGAGACCATGATCGCGGGCAAAAGACCAGAACATACGGGACGTCGAGGCTAGAAGACCGACTGTTGCACAGAGAGCAAGGACAGTCACAATTGCCGCCATTGTGGCGCTGCCGCCAACGGAGTTTGTTGCCTGCAGAAATATTTCCATAAAAGGGTAATTCGTTCTGGACTCAAGCGCATTCTCCATGTTGCCAATACAGAACAGTAAAGCTATAACCATAGCAAAACCTGTGGTTCCGTTCAAGACGATACTGAGCATAATTGACCGTGGTACTACCAAAGATGGGTTGTGAATTTCTTCAGACATCTAAGCAACGTATTAGTCTCCGGCCTTTCAAGCACGCAGGATATTAAGTTAGGATGGTGGCATGGTGCATTACGTGAAAAGCAGCATCGGCGCCTAGTAAAGGTTAGTTGTATATACTTCAAAGAAGGGAATTCAAAAGTACCCCTCCCGCAGCGAAATATGTGGGACAACGGGGTAGGAATTTCGTGCGGGTAGACAGAGTGTTGTTATGGAAGAGGAACGAGGAACATACCAACAAAAGCGAAGACGTTTCCAATCAAGCCTACGAAGAACGATAACCCCTGTGTAGGCCAGCCGCCATTGTTGAAGAAAGTGGTAAACACAAAGGAAGCATCACTGTGAGGCCCAAGAATAACCAGTGGAATCAGAATACCGAAGAATCCAAGAATGTGGAGAATCAAGATCAGGCCTTCGAATTTAGGAAGCATAGAGCTGACAACAGCATTGATGAAAACAGCGAAGAAGACGACTGCCCAGAATAGAAGAGTACCTTGGTATGGTTTAGCATCATATGATGGGGCTGTCAAGGCAATCAGTCCCTGTATGAGAGTCCCGGTCAGATAGCCTCCGGAAGCCACAGATCCCTGCCAGCCGCCAACAGTCAACCACCCAGTGATATAGCTCAGAAACTTTGCACAGGAACGAGGAGCGAGCATCGCAACCCAGTGGTACTGGCCACCCGACGTAGGTGCAAGAGAGGCTAGTTCCGATAGTGTTGAGAAGACACTCAAGTTGCCAATCCAGACGATCAGAAAGCCGTAAATAACGCCTGCTGGACCACCATTCTGCAGACCCTGCTGGAACAGGATAAGGGAACCCTCCCAGGTAATAAGGACAGTGCAACTGAAGCCTAATATTGACATGAACCCGAAGTTACGCTTTGCAACAGGTCAGCTTGTCCAACAACTTGCGGGGACCTCGCTGGTTTGTCTTACCTTGAGGACCGGCTTCTTGCCTAGGCGAACCAGTTGATCTCGATCTCTATGCTCGCGCATTTGCAGAGCTTCGATTCTGGGTTCGTACACTTTGACGGGTCCCATAGCGCTGAGCTCCTGGTCATATCTCTGGGCGCTCATGTTTGACTGGCGAAGTTGAAACAATCGGGAACCAAGACGAGTGTTGTTGTCGGGTTTCTTGGCTCAATGAGTATTGTGTTTTGAAAGGTGGCCAAGGCGACTAGCATATAGGTACAGAAAGTGGCTGAATGCTCCTTCAATCCTTCCCTAACTGTGATACCAGATCACAGATGAATCACAGATGATGCGGGTAGAAGCAATGTCGAGGACACTGGTATAATAGTTCTGATGATAATCAGCAATCCTCCATAGTATCGGGGCAGCAAGATGAATGCGAGACTTCCTGTTTATGTCGAGAAGCTTTGCTTAGGTTGCACAATGCAAAGAGCACAAGCTCAAGGTATCACGAGAGTTGTTTTGAGCTTCAAACGGCCATCAGACAGTAGCCACACTGTGCACAGGTACAGTTGGTGAAACCAAACCGATGCTACGGCACGAACGGTGCAATCACAACTTCCTAATCCAAATCTCTGTGTTCTCGAGTGTTTTTTTGTCACACATTTCGTCCTATTTTACCTTGTACACGGCTACCGGGCTCCCCGGGGAAGCACAATCGGGAGTCTGCGAGGTTACTAGGACTGACCGAGATGCCCTACCCACAATTAGTAACATTTAGAGAGTAAATTATGATATGGCTTCTGCAATTTTTTATCCTTAGACTTTATTATGAATTGAAGCCACAATGCTTTGCGTAGTACCTATATTACCATGTTGGGGTTCAAGTCGGCTCATGGCAAATTCCCTTCTCTGCCTTCGACATCCACATCCCAAGTTCTTATTTCCTTGATGAGCATCGCCTGACTACGTTGACTCTGGTAGTCCCAGTCCTGACTAGGGCCTTCAGCACCTGTCACTGTTGTTACTCCATATCCGGGCTCTGGTCGCCTTTGTATGTTTGTCAGTTCGCGCAGTCTACTGTTTTTGCTCTGAAAGTTGGCCTCGTTGCTCGGTATGCTGAGTTCGAAATTGGTCGCGCGGGGAATACTTCGATCACCCGAACCGTAACCGCTGATGCCAACCTTACCTCGACGGCGCAGGTCATCTGCCCGCATCAAGCCTGACTCTAGGCTCTCCAAAAATGGTTTGAGGTATGGAATGCAGGCTGTTAAGATGCTCAGACATTGGACGGCTTGAGTACTGATCGACGCTTGCCACAGAGAAAATGTTGGATCGCCAGAGTTCAAGGCTCTATTCGAGTAGTAGATCTGTAATCCAACCGCGGCGACAACGCTGGGATTTATTATTAGAGTGAGCTAGCAAGCTGCAGATGCAGAACCCACAAAATACGACTTCCAAATACCCCCATAATCAGAATTCTCTTGCTCCAAGAGGTCTGAATCTTCCAGGCAATAAAAAACATGATTGAGACGAGTGCACAGTCAGTTAGGATATTTGTGACAGAAAAGTAGGTCCAGAACGCAACCTGGAGCACAATAGTAAGCCACGTATTCGTGATGATAGCTCGCAGTTAAATGGGTATACACCTACTCGGTTGAAACATGCATGGCCGATATAATTCCATGGTTCTGGCAAGCGGCATTGGAACAAGATTGCGAATTCTGCGGTGATGGCCCACAGAATTATCGCGAGTTCGAGACTGAGAGTCACCATTTTGTATGTCTTCGCTAAGGATACAACGAATATAATAACTGACAGCTTTGCGAAGCATAGACTGGCGATGAACAGGGTGCTTGCGGCATATTCAGACTATATTCGGTAAGCTCAATTTTTTTTAGGAGCGGATCTACCGGCCGTCCGACCTTGAGAATGGCGGAAACCGGTCCATCGTTCAATGTATCGATATGCTGGCCGAAGCCGTTGGAATCTTGAATACCAGCCGCAACGGACTGGCCAGCAGCGAAGAGCTATGCATCGGTTTAGCCGGATGTCTCTATGGCGGATCCCCAAACAGGATGCGACGTCTTACTCACAAGTGATATTGTAATCAAATAATCCTCCAAGCGCAATTGCCCAACGAGAGTCAGCTTTGTCGCTACTCGAGCAACCACCGCGAGGATGGAAACTGTGAGAAGAATCCAAACAATTATTTCGACCAGCGGGGTCTTGTTGTCGGATGTAATCAAGACTTGCGATTGACTCATGTTGGTCAAGAAGCGGAGAAATTGAAGCAAAAGAACGGAACGACAGAAGATACAAACAGAGAAGAAAGACGGCGAGGCGCCGAAGAGCTTTGAGAAGTACACAGAGGCAGTTGTGCGTTCAGGGGACAATTCTGCCAGAGGATACGGAACAGTACTCGGAATGGTTTGGGAGTCCGTAGATACTGGACAACAATGCACACTGATATCAGGTGCATACTTGGTACGAAGAACGGGCTGTCTACAGTACTACTGTAGGAGACGTAGCATAGGTATCAGACCATCGATGTGCAGTACACTGACAATGACTTGTCCGAAAATATATGGTCAGACGGTGATACTCGTTGATACGAGGAGATAAGAGAAACGGGAATTCCAATTCCGCCTTCCATCGACTCTTCAGCCCTAAGCTGAGCCCTGTTGGTGTTTGGCGTCCGTAGAGCGCCGGTGAGGGGGAGGTTCGGGGGTACTACCGGGTGTACCCTACTGTGCCACTGCATCGTATTTCAGATATGGGATGAATCATCTTCACATGCGCGATGTTGTGTACGAAGATGGGTTACCAACGATTATAGCGCATTCGCTCGTTTGCTTCAAGTAGACCCTTCCAATGCCGTACAAGTCGATATGTCGGTAGCTTTGACGTAAGCGGCGATAAGCGAGCAAAGCCGAAGCCGAGTGAAGTTCGAGTAACCTTAAAAGTCAATACTGTAAAGGGGGCGGGGTCTTGCCTTAAGCGAGCCTCCGCTGCACAAAAAAGGGGGGGCCGCTAGGGGTGGAAGGGGCAAGGCTTGCGAGCCTGGGTCGTGAGGCTGTGACACTTGTACTACCTTACGACGCGCCTGCCCTCTGTGCAACGCCCAGGTTAGAAGGCAGCAAATAGACGTATCCAGACATCGTCGATCTTTTGTTATTCTGTCCCACCTCCCTACCTTACCTTACCTAGATCTTTCGTACGACCCCCCGCTATCGCTACTTGTCTTGTTACTTGCCTTACACCCCTTACGCTCCTTACCTTACCTGACCTATCTATATATCTCACAACACCATGCAACCCCCTCTCCTCTCTTCATGAACCGTGGTACCGGCTTCCCGTTCGTCCAATTACTCGCCTCCTCACTTCCCTACGAGGCCTACAGCACTTATCCCAGCAGCCTGTGCGTCCTTCTCCTGTCCCTCCTCCCCCTCTTCTTCGTCCTTCTCCTCCTCTTCCTCCTCTGCCTTCCCATCCTTCTAGGTCTGTGACATCTTCAACATGCCTTTCCAGTTGCTGGAAGTTGTCCCGGCTGCCGATTTCAACGAGCTCGTAGAGTGCGAGTGGCTTTCCTACGAGAATCCCAGCCAGACCTTCTTCAAGCTCTTCTGCCCCATCCACGGTACAGGTCCGACAGCTCGCGAGGCATCGCTCAAGGATGCAACGCGTCGTCAGCTGGAATGGCACCAGGCCGATCCCACTAGCTACTGGCAGAAGGTGGTCAACGAAGAGGGGAAAATTGTAGCAGGCGCCTTGTGGAAGATTTGTCCAACCAACCCGTTCGAGCACCCTGATGGGCATTCAGAGGTTGACTGGTTCCCCAAGGGAGGCCAACGAGCCTTTGTCACCAAAGCGCTGGAGCTCTTCGAGACTCCGAGAATGAAGATGGCACAGAGGCCGCAAGTTTGTACGTACCGTGCTACATCTTCCGTGCTACCTACCTAACCTCGATTCTAGATCTGAATATCATCTTCACCCATCCAGACTACCGACGTCAAGGTGCTGGTGATCTCATATTGGAGTGGGGCATCCGGAAAGCAGAGGAAATGGGTGTAGAAATGTGGCTCGACGCTACAGTTTACGGGGTTCCACTCTACAGAAAGCATGGTTTTGTTGTTGTGAATGAGAACAACATTCGTCCCACGACAGACAACCCGGATCAGGAGTGGGAAAAGATTGCAAAAGAGCTGCTGCCTATGACAATGTGGCAGATGTGGAGGCCCGTAGGTGGGAAGTACGAGGAAGGAAAGACTGTTCGACCGTGGGAGCGAAACGAATAGGGGTATTGATCGGTCGTGTCTGAGGTCACACCCTTCTTACATGCATATCATCTTGTCGAGCCAATCGAGTCACCAGTAGAGGAACTCCGTAGGACAACAATCCGTTGCAAGCCTGTGCTATCCAATATTGTAACACCTCAAACATTCACATGCTACCTTTGTCTTGGATGTGAGAACCGGTGACACGACGACTCAATCTAAGCAAGTCCTTTGGGTAGGACTGTTGGAGGACCAAGGAACGACCCGAGTGGGACAGTTACAATACCCAAGCGTTCGATTGTCAATGCTTCGGTGCTTGCTTCCAGGCTGATTGAAACAGTCAGATAAAGCAGCAGTCTTCATCACTACCGATCCGGTACGGAGCAAATAACAGAGAGAGTGAAGGACGCATGAAACCACATCAAGAATAGGTCGAGATGGCAATGGATTCCCCCGTCGAGAAAACCACTCTGCAGTTCATCCAATGGTCCGATCTCTACACAACCGAGAAGCCCTTCCAGATCTTCATCGACCTGCCGCCCTCGGCCGGAGATGCCCGCCGTACGAACGTCGTCTTCGAGCAGCGCGAAGTCATCCTCCAAGACATGCGCGGCAGCGAATCAAGCTTCAGCCTCGACAGGCACGGGTTTATAGCGCGGCACCACGCGCGGATCCCAGGCCTCGAGAGTCCCACGACCTCGTTCATAGAGACCGTGTATCTCCCAGCCGTCATCGAGCTGCTCAAGAGAGAGGTCGAGGGCGCGGATCGGGTCGTCATCTTCGATTGGAGGGTAAGTCGGTGTCAGAAATCTCCATTCGTAGATTGGAAGCGGGCGTTTCGGCGAGCTGACGATGATGATCCGTGCCAGCTTAGAAGTGCGCATGCGCGCGCTGAGGACGAGAGCGTTGATCTTAAAGATCTCTCGGATAGACTGGCCCCCGCGAGAAGCGTGCACGTTGACCAAGCACCGCTCGCAGCCTTCCGGATCGTGTCGAGAGAGCTGCCGCAGGAAGCCGAAGAGCTGCTCCGAGGCCGTTTCAGAATCATCAAGTATATATATATCTATCTGCCATCTCATCTCATCTCATCTTCACCTAATACCCCGCGGCGGTGCTGACAGGACCCATAGTGTGTGGCGGCCGCTGCAGCACGCGGTCGAGGACTGGCCGCTGGCGGTCTGCGATGGGAGCACGGTCGATGACAATGATCTCCTGGAGACGGATATCGTCCGGCGAGACTTCCGCGAGCATGTCGGCGCCAACATGTTCGCGCTGCATCGCGAGAGGTACCGCTGGTATTACCTCTCGCGCCAGCAGCCGGACGAGGTCCTGATCTTCAAGCAGTTCGACACGGAGTCGGGTGTCAAGGCCAGATGTACGCATATATATGCCCCCCCAAACCTGTGGAGTGGTGGTTCTGATTAAGAGATAGTTTGTCCGCACTCATCGTTCAAGTGGAGTCGTGCGCATAAGGGGGCGCTCCCGCGCGAGAGCGTGGAGGTGAGAGCGCTGGTTTTCACGGATGCTTGAGATGCTGGCTAAGTAGGTACCCAAAGAACTGGAATGGCTCATAGGGTTCAGGCAATGGAGTGAGTTGAGAGAGCTTGAGTGTATCCCTTGTGCGTATGTGATCAGCGTTTAGGTTTCTGGGCAGTTGGGAAGTGAACATCGTTTACGACATCATCAGTCATTCTATGCATGTCTTCTCCATGCAGTAGCGCATGGGAGCAAGTGTAGATGAAGGAGTGTTGAATTAGCTGTTCCTAAAATTCCAATGCGTGTAACAACGAGTGACCTGCAGACCCCCACATTCTGCTCCCAGCCTTCCAAGGAATCTGATCTAGGCCGGCTTGTTTCCCACCCAAGATCTAGCGCTACCCTGCCGATCAGAGCTTATGAGCAGAAGGCAACATTCGGAAAGCTCAGGGGGACATACGTTGATTGGCCTAGGCCGCAAAGAAGTTGGTCAGAACGTCGCAGGGGCCTCCGGTCTTGACGACCTCCTTATCGTCGGCGGAAGAAGGTTTATTGAAGGCGGCGCTGGCCATGACCTTCTTCCAGGGCTGCTCGCGCTGGTCCTGTTGGGCAGCATCGGTGATGGCCGTGATGGAATGTGGGGACGTAGAGGCGGGCATGTTGATAGTGAAATGGCTAATAAACTGTCAGCATCAACTGAATCTTATAGATCCCCTGTGAGACTCACGAATTTTAAGCACGGTAGGTATTGGAGCAGTGTTTCCTCAGAAGTTGGATCTTGTTGACTGAATCAAGACGATGAGCGTGGTTTTATCCCAATTTGCACAACTGATGAGGGGAGATGGGTTTATATGGCAAAGGCTCTTCATCTGATCACGTCTGATCATGCCCCCATCTCCACGGTCTCCCGCAGATGCCTGATTCGTACCCGCTCGATCGCTCATAACCCATTGGATAGTTGATGATATAGAAGCGTAAAGTGAGATACGTAAGGGAGGTCGTGTTCGTGTTCTTGTGCGCCAAGTCAGTTACACAACTATCTCTGTGCAACAACTCGATGTGTCACCCACAAACAGAAAGAGAACTTACAAAGGAATATCATCACGCGGCGCGGTCTCTTCGTTTGCCTTCTGATCAGTCCACCTCGCACAGTGATGATCAGGCTCTCGGTACATCTCACCTCTCACCGAGTTTACACGACAGCGTCCCCAACAGAGTCCACCACAATCCCCTCGAAAATCAGCATCAATGGCTGTCGAAGATGGCAATCTTGAAAAGCTCTCTGCAAAAGGCCTTGACAACGTCCAGACTGCTGTTACTTCTATAGGTGATTCAACGGCCCCCGACCCAGATCTGGTACGTGTCAACCTTTCATACTGTATAATGCAACTCCACAACACGAAGCTGAAAGGCATTCGGACTTAGGTTACCTGGGATGGTGTCGACGATGTTCGGAATCCTAAAAACTGGCCTGTCAGAAAGCGATGGGCTACCACCCTGATAGTTTCCTGTTTCACACTTCTTTCACCGCTGACGAGCACCATGATCTCTCCCGCCGTCGATGCCATCGCTGCCGACCTACACGAGAGCAGTGCAATCAATCTGGAGTTGACGCTGTCTATATTTCTGCTAGGCCTAGGATTTGGCCCTCTACTGCTCAGTCCCATTTCAGAGATCCATGGACGTCCTGTTGTCTTATTGATAGGAAACCTGTTCTTCGTAGTCTGGAACACGGCTTCAGGGTTCGCCCAGACAGCTGGCCAGCTAATGGCCTTCCGCCTCCTCGCTGGGTTTGGGGCCAGCGCTCCACTTGCAATTGGCGGCGGCCTCCTCAGCGACTTGTGGGAGCCTGAACGGCGCGGGCAAGCCATGGCTATATACACCTCCGGACCTCTTGTCGGCCCTGCCCTCGGACCAATCATTGGCGCATACATAGCGCAGTACACCACTTGGAGATGGATCTTCTGGGTAGTCTCAATTGCGAGCGGCTGCTTCATAGTAGTTGCTCTCCTGTTTCTGGATGAGACCTACCCCCCCAAACTACTTTCGGACAAAGCTCGTCGACTCCGAAAGCAGACTGGAAACCTAGCTCTTCATACTCAGTACGAAGGTCCTGACCGAACGCTCGTGAAACTCCTAAAGCTCAACCTCATCCGGCCAGTTAGGATGCTCAGCACGCAAGTCATCATACAGATACTTTCTGCGTTCATGTCAACACTATATGGGATCATGTATCTTGTGCTGTTCACCTTTCCCCTGCTTTGGACAAATCGCTATCATGAATCTGTGAGCACCGGGAGTCTGAACTACATCTCAACCGGGATAGGATTCGTCGTTGGAACTCAAGGTCAGCAACTCCCCCCTCCTTCTGTCGCGATGGCTAAATGCTTCTAGTTGCCGGACGGTTCAACGACCAGATCTACAAAAGGTTACGAACTCGCAACAATGGTGTCGGGATCCCAGAATTCCGAGTGCCTCTCCTAATACCAGGAAGTATCGCAATACCCATCGGCTTATTCTGGTATGGCTGGACGGGTCAAGCCCATGCCCATTGGATTCTGCCCAACATCGGCGCAGCGATCTTCTGCTTCGGCGTCATCACCTGCTTCCAGGCCCTCCAGTCTTATACCATCGATGCATACCCGCGCTATGCCGCCTCGGCAATCTCAACGCTGAACGTAACCCGCAGCCTGACGGGCTTTGGCTTTCCACTCTTTGCGCCGTACATGTATGACGCCCTGGGCTATGGATGGGGAAATAGCGTGTTGGCCTTTGCTGCTCTTGCCTTTGGAATCATCGGTCCGCTCGTCCTTTGGAAGTACGGTGCGCACCTCCGGGCCCGGAGCACGTATGCCGCAGGTGAGTGAGCGCGGGAGGTGGTTTGGAGTAAGGAGGGTTGGTATTGAGCAGCCCGTCGCATGTGGCAATGCCGAGCAAAGACAGCAAGTACATGAGCGTTTGCTTTACCGATGAGGCCGACCATAGAACATCAAGCTGAGTATCAACCACTGTCACCTTGACTGTCCAGCAACATGAGAAAGAGTGCTATCATTATATTGTAGGATTTGCAAAGTAGACAGCCCCTGATTCTACAGTAAATCTCTCCTTTTGGTAGGGTACTACCGTACTACAGACGCGGCCAGCGGGAAAACCAAGCGACGAAGTGGGGACCTGCTACGTTTCACCGCTGCAACCGCTCCGCCCGAAGGCTAAATCGACCACAAGTCGCCGCCGCCAAAGCCGACCGCCTCCCTCACGATGCGTCTCGCGTACAGGTCAAAGGGAGCGGAGAACTGGCTGAGCAGTGAGTAGTGCGCGCCCGCGGGAGACCCTGGGACCCTGTGCTGATAGCCAGCCACCCAATGCGGCTCAGTCACTCACGCCCTCCAGCATGCGAAGCTCTCAAGTAGTAGGTAGGTACCCAAGACAGAAGGGATGTACGTACAGAGAGAGCAAGGGAGAAATAGCAGCGCGAGTCAATCTGGCCGTGAATGAGTCGAGATTCAGCGGTTGATAAGCGAGCGTCTGAGGAGATCTGGATGGAGGAATGGATCGGCGGGGGAGCAGCTTGCCGAAGGATGGAATGAATATATACATTCCAGGCTATATTATTACTGTGCTATTCCAAGCAACGTTACCAACGGCCACTGCGCCTTAGCGAAGGAGTTGGAGGAATCGGGTCTTCACGTACGTCCCTGACCTCACCGACGGTCGTGGCCGAAATGACACCGCTTTGGCCGTCGAGGATTGGAGGAGGGCACTGTAAGGCATTTAACTCTGTACCTAGGTATACAATGGCGATGACTGAGACACGCATGGGCATTGGATCATAAGATGAGCAGTAATTTGGTAATCTGAGGACATATTATTCCGGACGAGTTATCACAGCGCCTGTAATTCCCCCCGAGTAAACAGCAGTTCCTGCATTAGGGGTTCCTGGCACCAACGAAGCGGCACTGGACAGGGGGGTCTTGGCACGCAGAACCCCTGGTGTTTACTATATTTAAGACAACACCGCACCGATGAGCTGCACTCCGTACCTTACGTCGCGTTGCGGTGCAGCCAGGGGCCGCATGCCGTGGGTGGAGCGCACGGAGTGGAGGACCCTGCGACGAACTGTTGTTAATCTCGCGCATACGAGCTACCAGGTTACCATGAGCGACGCGCGCACATGGGTCTGGCGTGCGGGCCAATCGCCTGCGCTTCCCCGTACTTGCGGCATCCGCGAATCCAGTCGTCGCCCCTGCGCATCGCGGCCCTAGCCCTAATGCGGCCCGATCAGCCTGGCGCGCTAGGCCGGGCCCGGGAGGTCGTTCGCTGGCGGGATGCTGCTTTAACCGCCCCACACCCCCAGCCCCTGTTCGCGCTCGCCTAGTGCCCTAACCCCCCTAGCCCCGCGCTAGGCTATCGCGCTGCCGTCCGTGTAATTTCCCATTTCCCCCGAGCCCTTATATGTCGTTCCCCCCCATCGCCCCAAGCCTTCCTTTCTCTTCCCTTCTCTCTCCAGCCCAACAGCCTCCATCTTCCCACACACGCACCTGCACACTTTGACTTCGGTCGTCCATTCTTTTCAGAATCAATCTCCGCGAAAGCCTTCTACACACCGCTCTTCAGCACCTTCGTCTTCAGATACCCTTTCGAACTTCACTTTCGAATCACCCACGTCTATCAAAATGCGTTTCTCCATTGTTGCCGCCACCCTTTTGGCCAGCGCCAGCGCTGTTATTGCCGGCGAGTCCACCGTCTACACCACTGAGGAGGTCACCATCACCTCGTGCGCTGCTACCGTCACCAACTGCCCCGCCCGCAGCACTGTCGTCAGGTGAGTGGATTCTGCCCCGTCGCAATACTGCGCCATGTCTAACAACGTATAGCACCACCTCTTACCCAGTGATCCCTACCACCTCTGCCTCCTCTACCCCCGCTGCGGTTATCACCTACGCCAACACCTCTTCCCCCGTGGCTGCGCCATCCTCCCCTGTTGCTGCTACCTCAAGCCCCGTTGCTGTCACCTCCTCTGCCGCTGGTGTCACTTCTGCCCCAGCTGTCTCTTCTCCCACCGTCTACACTGTGACCGTCAGCAGCTGTGAGTTTTGAACGATCCCTTCGCCGCCATACCAGTGTACTGACTATTGCAGGCTCCTCAAGCAGCGTGTTTTCCACCGTCACTATCCCAGCTGCCGCTAGCTCTTCCCCAGCTGCTTCTTCCCCAGTTGCCGCTGTTGTTCCCCCATACTCAACTGGCTCTGTCGTTCCCCCTGCGTCGAACGTCACCATCCCAGCTGCCACTGCCTCCCCATCCCCGATCACTGCTTCCTCCGCTTCGGGTATCAAGGCCTCCTTCGGCATGGCTGCCTTGGCTGCTATCGTCGCTTTCCTCGCCTAAGTCATCGCTCGTATTTAAAGCCTGATCCATGGACCTATCTTGGGATGGTGACGGCTATGGCTTTTATGAAAAAAAGGGGTTTCGACGTTACAAATCAAGGCCAGTCCTGTGGATTGTAGTCCTGGTCTTCTACATTGTTTTTAATCTGGCATAGCTTGGCTGGCTCTTGCATATTTCGGGGTCGGAGTCCAATATCATCGGGCCTGCTTGTTACACATGGACACAGGGGGTTCGATATTCGGCCTTGGGTAGCTTAGCATTGAGGAGTCCTCCGAATTCGATTTCTGATAAAATATCCTTGCATTCCAAAATCAATAACTTTCCGTGACCAGTAGAATTCGTAGCTGCTCCGTGGGATATGTCGCTTCCTTTAGGAGTCGGTATTTTACATCTGTCAGCAGCGCTTTGGAACAGGCTACAATAGACAAGTCGGTAGGTAGGTGGCGAACATTTGCTTTGCACTCTGGCTATTGAGATTGCGCAAGCCCTTATACAACTAAATCATAGAACGCTCGGTGCAAGAGGGCCATTGATCCCGGATAGATACCCAGGACAGGACAGCTTGAAAGGCGTGTAAGCTAATGATTGCCTACCATATACTCTTTTGCCCGTATACAGAAATTCACCTCTCCCTCTTTCGTTCTATCTTCAGTCAGAAACCTCTCCCGAAGGCTTTCTTCTCAATCGTGGCAAATGTGTGCAGGAAATGGAACTCCCAGCGCGGATGAGATACTTGGTACAATATTTCGATAAAGGTCGCAGCCTTGCAGCGCATCATGCGACTGTATTTTCTCGCCCGAAGTCCTGATTGGATCTCGATTGCTAATCGCCTGGGGTGATTGCAGGTACTCTAATCGAGATTGAAACTGATCAACAATCAGCCTTGTGAAAATACACCAGCCACTGAATGATGTCTATCTATCTTTGCTTTTTTCTTGCTGTCGCCCTTATGCAGAGCAATCACCTTACATTATCGCTTCGGGAGTCCCTTCCTCCCGCTCAGCCCTTCTCTGGGTCATGGCGGTAAAGTCTCGGTACCAGCCGGAGCGAGGCTTGAGAACCGATTGGGAGGGCGTGTTGTTGATACCACGCCTCTACACAGATCCCACAAGTTTCACAACAGGACAACTCGAACGGAAATATAATCAAGGGACTTTTAGAACTATGTTCTTCTAGTTGCTGTTATTTTCGGCCACTAACGGCGCAGCGCCACCGAACCCGCCCCTTCCGCTTATTTAGACACAGCCTTGCGCGATCTTTTCGCAGACACACGAACGTCATCAACTTGACGGAACACTGTCAACGCAGACAATGGCCGAAAACGAGCATAAAGAACCCTCTTCTTTGCAGCCGGTCGCCACAGAATCCAGTGGCACTCATCCTCAAGCGATGTCATCGGCAATCGAACCTTCATTGGAGTCTCCCGAGACGCCCGACGAAATATCTGACGACGCAGACGACAAGGCTGATGGTGGCAATAACATATCCGGCGAAGATGCGGAGTCACTCATTGAGCCTGCCATGGGCCCAGGTGCAACACGCCTGAAGCTACGAGATACACCAGCGGAAGAAAAGAGGAATGCTCTGGAGGGGGATGGCGGATATCTTGAGGCCGCCCCCAAGACGCCCCTCGGTGGTCCAACTGTCGGAGGGGAAGTAGATGGGACTTCTGCTCGCACACTGGCACGGCATGCAAGAGCGAACCCTTCACTCAGGCAAGCCAGAGGGCTGTCCCTGGGATCGTTATTATCCGAACTTCCTGATACCCTGTGGCACTCTGGTTCAAAACCCATCTCTACACAACATGCAGAGCATGCCAACTCGTCAATGTCTACCGCAATCGGTGGCCTAGACAGAAAACGGTCGCTCTCAGGTAGTGCCGACGCCCTAAGGAAATTTTTACCAAAAGGATTGCCATCAATCGCGCACGTTGGGAATTTCTTTGCGTCCTCAAACGCTGGCCAGAAGCCTAGTTCTCCGCTGTCCGAGGAAGCCCATCCTCCGCCACGACCTCCTCGGCCTCCAACATTGGATCCAATGCCTTCTTCACAAACACCAGGAGCCCAGAGACCGAGACTTATTCGCCGGACCACGTCAGATGATAGTCTTCTTTATCATTCCTTGAGCCGAGCCTCGTCCCTTGGCGATGATACCCGATTCGAAAATCAACATGACCAAGTCAATTCACGAGTGAAGGCCATTAGAGACTCCTTGCAGGATAGAGCCTCTTTTCGGTTGCCACAAATGCCCAGTATGCCTAACTTCAACTTCAACATGACCTTTCTGAACTACAACAATCCTGTCAAGTGGAAGCTAGATACTGATTTAATTTCAGATATTCTACCAGGTACTGTTATAAAAAAGCCAACAGCGATTCTACATTCTGTAGTCGGATCCAAAACGAATGATTCATCCACATCCGGGCCCGAGCCAGCAACCGAATCTGCGCGATCTGGAAATGAAGATTCAAATACAAACGCTCTTGACCGGGCCATGGAGTCATTAACTGGAGATATAGTGATAATGGGCGGTTATCGGGGGTCCATTCTCCGTTCGACCAAGACGAATCGACAGGTATGGGTTCCCGTCAAGGTTGGTTTGAACCTCCGGAAAGTGGATCTCGAGGTTGGCTTAGAGCCAGAGGACGAAGAACGGATGTCGGAGTCGATATATGCGTCTGGGATGCTCCAGCATATCGGCCCTGTGGATATATCTAGACGCCTGTTCAAGCGACTTCGTGAGTGCGAAAATGCTCGTAACGGAAAGTTGCGAGTCTGGGACTATGGCTACGATTGGCGATTAAGTCCGCATCTTCTAAGCAAGAGGCTTGCTGAATTTCTCGAGAAACTTCCATCTAATCAGCCAGGCTCTAAGCAAAAAGGCGCAGTGGTTATTGCGCACAGTTTGGGTGGTCTGATCACTCGCCATGTTGTGAATCAACGCCCAGAATTATTCTCAGGGGTTATATATGCAGGAGTTCCACAGTCCTGTGTCAATATCCTTGGCCCTATCAGGAACGGAGATCCTGTTCTGTTGAGCTCGAGGGTCTTAACAGCGCAAGTCAACTTCACTCTCCGGACAAGCTATTTACTACTCCCAGAAGATGGCAGCAACTGTTTCGTGGATATAAACACGAAAGAGAAATATCCAGTGGACTTCTTCGATATTGACGAATGGTTCAAATATCGCTTCTCCCCCTGCATAGATCCTCCATTGCCCCCGCGGAATTCTACTGGGGGTCTCGGTGGTATTCTTAACCTGTCAGGCAGCTTGTTGAATATTCCAATTCCGGGCAGGAAATCTATCTCTAGCATCGTTTCACCGCACTCTTCAGGGTCACCCGATGAAGAAAATCGAGAACAGCAACAACCCCCCTCAAAGACTACCCGTGCAGCCGATATCCTCCGTGATGCAGACCAAGGAAGAGATCGAACATTGGGGCCAACGATGGGCACCAATACGAATCCCGTCAACAAAGGTCAGAGCATAAACAGTTCTGTCTCAACAGCAGTGACAATTCCGCGCGATAAGGCTATTGCCTACCTCCGGCGTACGCTTGCCGAAGTCAAGAAATTCAAGGAAGAGCTACATTTCAAGCCTGAGCTCGCGAAATTGAACTTGTATCCCCCTCTCGCCGTGATATATTGCAAGTCGATACCGACTTGCTGTGGTGCGAAAGTTGACGGGAGAGAGGGGATTGCTTGTTCGGACGCGTATGACAATCTGGCTTTTGCTAGTGGCGACGGAGTTGTTCTAGCCAGGGAGGCGATGCTTCCTGAAGGGTACAAGGTGGCATACGGGGGAAGAGTAAAGAGTGATCGAGGACATGTTACATTACTGGGAGATTTGAACGCGGTTGGAAAGGCCCTCGAGGCGGTAATCAAGGGAAGAGCGAAGGGAATCGGTCTAGGATTGGCAATTGAGAGCGCTGCATAGAGGTTATATATATACGTAGGGGGTTGATTTCGAGTGTTTCAGAGATACCACTGCAGTAAGACGTACGGACGGAATTAAGAATCTCGACTTTCAAGGTTCAGATTAGACTATTTCTCTTGGCTTATGATATGCAAGGGAACTTGCATTTGCAATCCACAACTCTGGATGTGAAGAGCCCTAAAAAAATGGGTCGCTTAAAGGATTATCACGTGGTATGCACTTGCTGTTTATATTTTCCAAATCTCTACTTGTTATTATACTCTTTCTCTCAAGGTCGAAACTGCCCTGAGTTGCACGTATTTACTATAGGGCTTGACCTTCATCTCTGGTGGGTGGTCCTCAAAGTCTCGAAACCTCACAGAATCGCCAATCCCCTTCGGAAAATCCACAAATCCAGAAGGTCAACATGGACTCCAGCAATTGGCGCGTCAAGCGCGACCCCTCTGATCCATCAACCCCGGATCATACGCCCAAACGTACGTTTCAGCGCCGTGAAAATGGTTTGGATAGGAGTCCCGGCTACGATCAACGCCGGATGGGCAGAACCCCTACTCACCAGTCGAGCCCACGTGACTCGTTCCGCAAGCCTTTCGACGAGCAGCAGGCAGAAAAGGCCGTGGAGGAAGGCCGCCGAGTTTATGTTGGCAACCTACCGTATGAAGCGACGGTGAAGGATATCGAATCCTTGTTGAAGGATGTTGCAGCCGGGATTGAAGCCATCAACATGTCAGTGGATCCCATGACTGGGCGGAATCCCTCGTACTGCTTTGTTGACTTCCGGAACAAAGAGCTGGCTGAACGAGCCATGGCGGAGTATGATGGGAGGGAATTCCTCCGCCGACCACTCAAGGTCCGGCCGGGCGTCAGGTCGGGGACGGGAACTGGGCGGTACGACGTGCGTGTGCAGAACAAGTCAGAAGACAGCAGCCGCCTCGCCTTCGACCGCTGGCGCCGTCTCGAGACTCCCGAGCAGCTGAACAAGTCCGTCCAGGAAGGACGACGTCTATACGTTGGGGGGCTCCCGCGGTTCCAAAACCAAGACGACACCAACGCTCAGATCCGCGACCTATTCGAAGGCGAAGGTTTGCGTGTCGAGATCATCAGCAAGCTGATCTCGCGGCATGAGTCGAAGAAGGATGAGGAAGGCAACCACAATTACTGCTTTGTGGATGTGGCGTCAGCGGAGGATGCCGAGTCCGCCATCGCCCTCCTGAATGGGCTGGAGAGATGGGGCTGGCGGATCAAGGTCAGCCGCGCCAGCGGGACGTCAGGCAAACTGGCCGAGAGGAGGCGGGTGTACGTAGGCGGGCTGCCCGAATTCGCCAGCCAGGAGACGACCGAGGCCGGGATCCGAGAGCTCTTCGGCCCCTTCGAGATCAAGATGGTCAGCAAGTTATTCAAGCCGCGCGAGCCACGCACCGACGATGGGGGGAACCACTGCTACTGCTTCGTGGAGCTGGCCAACGAGGAGCAGACCGACGCGGCTATCCAGTCGCTGGACTGGAAGGAGATGTGGGGTTGGAAGGTTCGGGTCAAGCCCGCGCTGGGGAACGAGAAGCAAGGAGAGAAGCAGGGTCCCCGGGGTTGGGCTCCTAAGAAGACATGAATGAATGACGTGCGAATATTGCTTTTCCTCAAAAAACATGATCTATGAGAAAAACCGAACAAAAAAAAAAAAACAATGGTGGGAATATGCGCGGATATCTCCAGGGAGTTCGGGATTCTGTACTTATTTGCTACCTTGCTCATGCTGGCTTCATGCCGCACAAAGTTGGGATGGGGAGTTACTCTTGACCGGGCGGGATCGCTGCTGGCATAGCCCGTGGTGTGGCTCATGAATGCAAAAGAAAATCTACCCTCCTTGAGAGGACGTGAGTGAAAAGTACGAAGCTGAAGACCCCGATCCTTTACAACAGTGCACAAAAAGCAGGTATGGTATCCCATCTTATAGCCGAGTGACATGGTACAATACAACTAACCAAAAGCTGGTTACATTAAAAGTCATGATGATGAGAGGAGCTACCGTATATTTGAAAAACAATACCACCCTTTCAAAAGCGAGTCACTCTTCACACCATTCCACACACATTCAGACATTGAATACCTCGAACTTCCCATCGAGCTCTATGATCTTCTCGACGGCTCTCTTATAACCCGGCTCCGCTTCCAATCTATCGACGTACGCGTGGAGCTTGGGGTAATCCTCCTTTGTCAAGCCCACGGTGCCCCTCCCGGCCATCAGAGGGAAGCTCAACATGATATCCGCACCCGTGAGGTTTGGACCACAGAGGTACGGGCCACCCCCCGGCGCGGACGCAAGCTGCGCCTCCAAGAACGAGAAATGCGTCTTGAAATTCGAGTCCAGGAAGCCGGATTGGATCTTGCCAGCCACGGCACGGGTGATGGGCTTGAGAAAGAAGGGCACGGGGGAATTCTTAATTTCTGGGATATTGGTTAGGGAATGGGGGGTTGGGTGGAGAGTGGAGAGTGGAAAGCTAACGTAGAGCGAGGAGGGATACAAGCATCAGCGTCATGAGGCTGCCTTCGGCGTAATGCATGTAATATCTGAACCGCATCCATTCCTCCGTCTCGCCCCCAAGCTTGCCATCCTGGCCCTCCCGGTACCGTTTCGGGAGCAGGGTACTCCCGCTCGAGAAATGGTCCAGGAGGTACTCGACGATGAAGGCGCTCTCGGCTATGATGACCGGCTGGGAGGAGGAGGAGCCCGGGGGCGTGACAGAGAGGACGGGAGACTTCCCCAGAGCGTGGATCTTCTTGAGCTCGGGCGGTGCGAACTTGGTTTTCTTGTCCCGGTGGAAGATCTCGACCTCATAGGGAAGCTTCAACTCCTCAAGGAGCCATACTATGCGTTGGGAACGTGATTGATCAAGCCTATAATATATATATGTATCTTCTTTAATGACATCCTGGTGTTTGAAGGAGAGCTAGGTACATACCAATACAACTTTATTTTAGGTTGCTCAATCGCTGTAGTTGAAGAAGCCATCTTTGATTTTCATAAAAGGACGATTATTACGGACGTGTTCCAACGAAGAAGAGTGCTTCGCCGCATTTTATATACCTGGTAGGTACCTACCTTAAGGTACCTTACCTTACCTTGGTCAGCACAAATCGTTCGGTTGGCCTGGCCAACTCTCCGTAGTGAAAGAGGGGTAATAGGATCGGATTTGCGTATTTCTAGGTTTTGCGTATTGCCATCCCTCACCCAATACGGTGATTAACCGAGGATTAGGTGAGAGTTGGCTAACTGAACCATTACATCTACCCAGAGAGGTAAACTTGAGGTGTCGTTGCGCTCATCCCCCTTGGCCGGAACGGCGTAACTTTGATTCCGGGCTTGGCACATCCGACATCACGAACCTCAGGTCTTTGGCGACAACGACGAAAGAACCATCATTTAGAGAATCCACGGCGATTGCCAACAACCTTCATCATGGCGGGCCACCACAATCAATGTGCGTCGTCTCTCCTGCCCTGCCAATTGATGATCTCACTGCTGACCTGCTCGCTATAGCCCTGGCGATGGACCCGGCGTTGGTCAAATATAACAGTATGCTCTACCCCCTCACACTCCGCCCGCTCCCGAGCCATTGAGATTCCTGACAGAGACTTCGCAGACCTGGTCGTCAACCGACACAAGTACTTCCGGTGGACTAAGCGCACGGTGGGCATCACCTTCGCGTACGTCGTTGCTTTCCCGGCCTTCATCGGCGCCCTGGCCTACGCAACCGATGTGAGTCTGATTCTCTGAAACGATCCGGAAACCTCGCATGCTGATACTGTGTTTCTTAGGGCAAGTGGGATTTCCGCGGCAAGAGAAGGGGCGACGTTCTCTCGGAGTTTTAGGTCGTTGCGGAGGGGAGCAGTATGGATGGCGTGATATTGTACATACGAGGAAATTGGAATGCCAACTATAAGATCGGTTTGCAGTGGCTGTCTTGCAAGCTTCTCGTGATGTGATGTGATGAGAGCTCTGGCCTCAGAATAGGGCCTGGTTGTTGTGTTCAAACGTGACTGAAAACCAGGGCCGGCATGCTTTGAGGATGGCACTCGTGGTCAACCTAACAGTCCTTGGCTCAGCCAATCATTCATAAATTGCCGTGAAATATCTCAGTATTAGATGGTATCATTGTATTACTTTTATCAATATCTGCCTCTACCCCCTCCCCCAAAACCTCCTCCATACCCACCGCGGCCTCTGCCCGATGGCCCTTCAGGAACACGCTCTCCTCTCCTCCATTCACCACTTGGTACTCCCGCTCCAATACCCTGCCCAAAACCCCCACCCCTTGGACCTCCCCTCCGTCCCCTAAACCCATATCCATTCTCCCGCGCACCTGGAGGTCCCGCCCTACCACCGCCATAATCACCTCTCCCAGGCCCATAGCCACCCGCGCCCCTGATCGGACCACTAGGAGGGGGAGCCACAGCCCCATTCGCCATCGCCGGCAAGATCGCACACGAGACATAATCCCCGATCACGAACCGCGCATCCTGCAGCGTCTTGTCCGGCTCGCCGCCCAACGGCCCCGCCATCTGCCCGCCCGCTACAATCGCCGCCTCGTCCTCATCCGGGAGGATGCCCGGGCCCCCATCGCCAATCACCACGCTGCCGAGCTCCTTCGTCATGTACCTGCCAGGCCCGGATGTTGAGCTCGCGCCGCGCGTGTCCGGGAAGATGAGGCGGAAGGCTAGGCGCGTACCGATGGCTGGCTCGGGCAGCAGGTCTGGGATCGCGGAGGTGAGGAGATGGGAGAGCTCGCGCAGCGTCGCTGTTGGCCAGGTATAGATCTGGAGGTGTGGAGGGAGGTCGCCGAGAGGGCTGAACTCATCGAGGCTGGAGGGGATATGTCAGGGCTCATGTACATAGTGAAAGAGAGTATGTAGTCCTCTCTCCGTGACGCAAGGCTGAAGGGGGAACACTTACCGGTGGAAGCCACCATTTCTGTAGAAGAGCTTCAGGTAGAAGGGAGTCGTCGCCTGGCGATCGACCTTCCCTGGCGCAGAAGCCATGGCAATGCGAGATTTCTTGGTTGGAGAGAAATGGAGCTTATGAACGCATGCTGTAGCGTGGTGTGGGGTGACGAGGTTGTTCCCAAGCGCGCCGGCCGCCTTCTCGAACCTCGATCGTCACCTCGCGCGAAACTTTCTGAACGCTCTCCGCAAATATCGTACTACGCTTGTTTTCTCCTGCAGGTGCAATCTCTAGCTGAGAATCTCGGTGCATCGCATCACTTAATCACTACTCGGTCAACGAAGATTGCAAGGTTGCGTCGCCAGACGGTACAGTGCCTATTTATCAACGACTGCAGATCACAAGGCGCATCGACCTCCGACCACAACCCAGGAAGAGCGCAGTTGTCGGAGAACCTCCTTCACATCCCTTCATTCGATTCTAAATCCATATATTTACAAAGATCCTGCCAGCATCATGGATTTTGCATCTCTCATGTCCAAAGAGATAGCCAAGGCTCGGCCGCAGTCTCCCGCCACCGACCCGTCCAAGAAATATCTGAAGCGCGCCGAAATCGAAGCCGAGCGCAAAGCACAATACCTGGCCGAGCAACGAGCCATCGAAGCAGAGCGGGAAGCAAAATTAGCCCAGAAGCGCAAGAGGGAGGAAGAGGAGGCGGAGGCGAATCGGGCGCGGGAGGAGAAACGCAGGAAGTTGGCGGAAGAGTCGAGGCGGCGGCGGGAAGAGCAGGAAGCGGAGGAGGAGAGAGCGAGAAGGAAGAGGTTGGGTTTGCCGGAACTGGTGAAAGAGAAGAGTGAGGAGGTCGCTGAAGTCGACGATATTCCGGATGAGGAGTTGATAGAGAAACTGAGGGCTAGGGGAGAACCAATAAAGCTTTTTGGGGAGACCCACAAGCAGAGATTAAGACGGTTTAGGAGGCTAGGTGTTGTGATGACCACGGGGCCTATTCCAACGTCTCTGGAGCTGGTGGACGAGAAAGATATGAAAGTCGAGGCGGTTCCAAAGGATGCCGAGGGACGGAAGTATCTATTTAGACAGCTGGCTTCTTACTTCACTATGGTATTGACGGAGTGGGAGCAGGCTCTGGAGAAGGAGAAGAGGGATACATTTGCCAGCAAAGCAGCCTATAACGCTATGGTTCAAAGCAAGGAGAGCATGACACCTGTAAGTCCACTCAAATACTCGAGGAGGCGCATACTGATCCGCAATAGTTATTCCGAAAGTTCGAAAAGGGCGACATTGAAGATGGTATCCTGGAGCCCATTGTGGAGATTGTCAAAGCGGCACAAGAACGCCGTTACGTGGATGCGAACGACGGGTATTTACGCTTGAGTATCGGCAAGGCAGCATGGCCTATCGGAGTCACCATGGTTGGTATCCATGAGCGAAGTGCTCGGGAGAAGCTGCATGAGAGCGACAAAGGCCATGTCATGGGGGACGAGGTCACAAGAAAGTACTTGCAGAGCATCAAGAGATGTTTGAGCTTTGCTCAGGTCAGGTGGCCTCCCGAGGATATCAGGCAGCTGATGGGTTAACATCTTACATTACAATGAAAGCAACTTAGAAGTACTGCCCGTGTTCTTCGGCCTGTGGGCATCACTGAATTCACCAACGGGTTCCTTCGAGCGGCCTAGGCCTCCTCGCAATCCCGTCAATCCACGTCGGATCGCAAATAGTCATTTGTTGGTTGATAATAGGCATGTGAAGTGAAGCAGTGGGGTACTGGTCTTTCGACATGTATTTAGTTGACAGATTCGAAACCAAGGCTGGAAATCAAGACAGGATTACACTGGCCGCCCCGGTCCAAGACATTAGCGAGTGGAGGATGCTACCTATCTTAGAATAACATACAATTTAGGTGTATAAGGTACCTATACAGGCCTCATATAACATTCATGCTGTTCATTCTCAGGGGCAGAGACGGCTTTTCGCTTAGGGATAACTTACCTTAGTCTGCAGTGCTCCGTAAACAATTCTGAACGACCATTTTCATCAAACAATGCAGCCGCCTTTATGATCGACCAGGGGCCGGAAGGTACAGTCTAAGTGTTGTTTGTACATTCGTTCAGTTGCTGGGTTCTGAAGCAAACACTCTCCAAGACCCTCTGGTAATCACTTACCTACGGCGCAAATTTGTGAATGTTGGAGTCTCGGTAGAGCCTCCGAATTATGTCTGGAGGAAGGCTTGCCCTTTTCGACGTGCGATCTTGAAATTGTCCACATAGGCATTATTTCAGTTAAGGTGAATGATATACCTTCTATCGTCGAGTGAATACGGTGATATGTACGAGGAGCTAAAACTCCCAAACATTCAACGCGCTCCTGCAGTCGGGAGCAAACATATCTCGAACTACATCAACCCTTCATACCAACACCTTCTGTATCATCCATAAAGCGTGCCAAACATGGATAAAATCCAGCGGCTCCAGGCCTTGACAGGCGAAGACGAAGTCGTCGGAGAGGCAAACGAATCCGTCCAATGGGCGTACCACGTCAAGGCATCGCATATCTACGAGGGAACAGACTCTGAGGATGATGAAATCACCACAAGTCGTAGAGGCGCCTTGAATGACCCCTTTGAGAAGGAGCGAGGTAAGAGCCTTTATTCTGAGTCTTGCCTTCTCTGACAATAAAACTGCAGACGGGTCTTCAAGCAACTTCGAAGAATACCAACTCCAGCAAGGAGAGTTGGCCGCTGAAGGTGAAAGGTTTGTCACCTGGAATGCGATCAAGAAATACCCTTACGCATATATTGGGTATACCAATAGACAGCTTGTAAGTTCACCGGGCTACATGAAGGATTAACCACTAATTTCATCGAGGTCGTGACGCGTTTCTTCGACCAAGGAAAGATTTATGATAATACCTGGGATTTGTAAGTTTTGCCCATCTATTGTTTTACTCCCCCTCTCCATCTCCATTCATGTTGTCGTTCTTAGTCTTTTGAATATCTAACATGTTGACAGTTATTATCTGTATCGTACACCAGGGGATTCCAACGAGCAACCTCTCTTACTAGTGCCAACAAAGCAATTCGTATGCTTCCTGAGAACGATCAACCGAAGCCTGAGAATAGATCTTACTCTTCCATCAGGAGCATCAAGCGGTGGCTTTCAAGTGACCTTTTCGAACGACGGGACACCAAGGCCACGTTACCTAGGGCGTGCAACCGACAGAGAAATGGCTGAAGATCTGAAGACAATGGTTCCACCAAGTAAGTATATTCCGATCATGATATGGATATTGTCATGAGTTACGGTTCAACTTCTACTCCCAAGGCAGTGTTTTAGTACGAAACATATAACCAATTCACCGTCGGGAACTTCTGTTGGGCCTTGGTTATAGTTACTGATTTTCAACTATCTAGGCTCCTTCAAGCCTGACAATGAGCCGGATACAAAGGAGACTCCTTCAGAACGATCTCTTGCTGCATTCAGAGCGAAAATTGACGCGATGATGCAGGCTCAAAAGGGGAAGAAACTGGCAAGCAAGGAGAAACAAAAAGTTGACCGTGTCGCCAAACAGCAATCCTGGAACCGTTCTATCAAACGAGTCCAACGCTACTTGGGTATTCGAGAGGCCGGCATAGAAAGCAAAATAGTGGACATCAGGGCCAGCTTAGAGAACTCGGGCCTACAATGGTTGGAATACGATGCAGCAGTCAACGCTGCAGTAGCAAAGCTTCCACCACCGGTAAACTTTGACGCGGCAAAACCAGCGCCATACAAACAGGAGAAATCTGTCGTGTTCGTATGCGTCGATATCGAGGCATACGAGCGGAACACTAGCCTAATCACCGAGATTGGCATTGCAACCCTTGATACGAGAGACATTGCATCTATGATACCAGGTGAAGGCGGCGCCAACTTGAGAAGCATGATTCGAGCCCGTCACTTTCGAATCAAGGAGTACCAGCACCTGCAAAACGTCGAATTTGTCCAAGGATGTGCGGACAGGTTCGAATTTGGGTAGGCTCAGCTCATGAAGTATTGGTAAATACAAGGTTGAACTGACTATGGAACAGTGAAAGCGAATTCATAAGCCTGAGAGATGCACCACATGTCGTCTCAACCTGTTTCAAGCACCCCTTTTCCAAGCCAGGTGTGGATCCTTCGACTGACGAAGGCCCTAAACGCAATATAATACTCGTGGGCCACGATGTAGGAGCTGATATCAGCTTCCTCCGACTCCTGGGTTATGATATTTACAATCTCTCAACTCTGCAAGAAGTCGTGGACACAGCTACGATGTGGCGTTACCTCAAACGAGAAACTAATTCTCGAAACTTGGGCAGCATTCTCGCCGAATTAGGTATCGTTGGCTGGAATTTGCACAATGCGGGTAATGATGCTGTCTATACTCTTCAAGCTATGATAAGCATTGCCATCAAGCATTTAGATGAGAGGCAGAAGGACAAGGAAGTCAAGGAACAGGAGAGGCAGGATCGGATTGCTAAGTAAATGTTGCCTCAACTTCAGAGAAGATTTTCCCTAACACGTGTGGCAGGTCGGTCGAGGAAGCAACTATCATGGCACACGAGAAAGAGCAAGGGTGGAGCTCCGCAGGAGAGAATAGTGATGGGGGAGCACCGGTTTATCCAGCCCCATCCACGAAACCTGCGAAAAAGGGTGGGAAATACTCTGAGCCACCATGGAGACCGGGGGACCAACAAAAGAATATAGGGTCGTCTAGCCGCGCCTATAACCCTAACGCAGGAGGGTCTGTCGATGAATTGACCAAGAAGACCGAGCTCTGGGGTATCGAGACTGCTACCTCTAACCAGAGTGCAGGACGAGGCAAACCAGCTTTAGGAAAACAGGAGAATCGTGGAGGCGGAACTTCGTGGTATTGATACCCGTATCAAATTCTCCACTGAGTAGAACTTGGAGGCATGGGCTTTCAAATGTATCAGAATAGAGCATTACTTCTATTTTTCTTTCACTGAAGCCAGGGAAAGCATACCGCGCATGGGTTTAAAACCTCTAGGTAGCTAGACACTCTGCGCAGGAGGTTGATCCATAGATATTTCTGTACGTTGCATGAACAGCGGAGAGCGCATGACTAGAATCGGTTCATTAAGAGAAGAGATCCGCGTATAAGGCCGTAATGACGAAGCCCCTTGAACGCCAACGCTGATGCCGTCAAATATACATATACAAACATACTCGTACAGAAAGCCCCATATACCATCGGCAGGGTAGATAATTATCCATTCTTCTCGAGAAACTCCTTCGCTTCGTTGACCTTCGTCGCTAAGTAGGGACTTCCACCTCGATCGGGGTGATTCAGCATCATCAACGTTCGGTGGTTTTTCCGGACCTTCTCTTTTGTGATTTGGCGTTCACTAATAAGACCGATGTTAGAACTGATGCCTTCTATATGGTATATGTAGATGGAGGGACATACTTCAGTTGAAGAATGAGAGCAGCTTCTCTGCGATTCATCTTGGGCTCAAAGCCCCCCTTATAATATGCCTTTCCCAGCGCTCCAACAGCCTCACCCCTCGACCTTCGCAATGCAACCAGACCAGCTCTGCCCTGCGAATAGAGTCAGCGATTTCCCTAGAGAGATGTAAAAGGAGGGTTGGAGACATACGAGGAAAGCCGCGACAGCAACTCCAACACCGACCGTAAGTACCGAGGCCATGATGTCGTTATGAGATTCCCTGGCCAAATATGTGTATCTCTGAAAGCGCTCTGCCTGTAGGTATCGCCGTCTTGCTAGGCGTGTTCGATACAGACGAGTGCAATGGCAAGCTTTTGCTGTTGTCTTCGAAGCAGGTCGATCCGCAGAATTTCTTAGGTAGAAAGACCGACAGTCCGACGACGGGATGCGGTTTAGCGCCGTCTGGTTATCGCGATGACTAAGCGAGCAACCACCAAAATTTCTGGTCGGAAAAGTTATCGCGAGGGAGAGAGAGAGAGAATCGACAAAAAGAGATTTCTGTCAGACTGCCGTCAAGATGCGTATTGAGACGTGCTATTTCTGTTCGCAGCCCTGCTACCCCAGCAAGGGCATCACCTTTGTCCGCAACGATGCCAGAGTCTTCCGATTCTGCCGCAGCAAATGCCACAAGAATGTATGGGTTTTCTCTGCTCCTCACTTATTTCTGTTTTTGCAATTTGCTAATTTCTGGTCTGGATTTAGTTCAAGATGAAGCGTAATCCTCGCAAGCTCAAGTGGACCAAGGCATTCCGCAAGTCGGCAGGCAAGGAAATGGTCGTCGACAGCACGCTCACTTTCGCCGCACGTCGCAACGTGCCCGTTCGCTACAACCGTGACTTGGTGGCTAAGACGCTCAAGGCGATGGAGAGAGTCAGCGAGATCAGACAGAAGCGCGAGCGGGTGTTCTACAAGAAGAGGATGGCGGGTAACAAGGAGAGGGAGAAGGAGGCGAACAGGAAGCTGGTTGCGGAGAACGAGCACTTGCTGCCGAAGATGAGGGCTAGCGAGAGGGCTGCGCTCGAGGCAGAGAACAAGGAGGTGGAGGAGGTACCGCTGGAGAGGCACCAGACGAAGGTGTTTGGCAAGATGAAGCAGAGAAGGAAGGTGTTGGTTGATGGTGGGGTCGAGGATGAGATGGATGTGGATTGAGCTTGAGCTTAATGGTCTGCCTTAATCTGACTGCGGGGGCTGGCGTTATAGGCTTTGCAAAAGAGGAGTTCAGGAGCACACTCATGGGCGGGTAAAATGTGACAATTTTATGCACTTCTTCCGATGACTTCAATTGACGTCCTAGCTATTTACATATGGTGGCTTTGGTGACCAGTTTACAGTGGGAGAATATGTCTTTACTTCGCGTTCTGCATGGCGGCAGTATCCTATGCTTTGTTAGCTTCTTGTCAAGACAGCTGGCAAGACATTTGGCGCAGCGATTGCCAGATTTCCGAGAGCGGATCCGACATACCAAGTAAACCTGATAGTAGCCCATCTTCCATTTGTCTCCTTCCTTCACCATGTCTGCTCTAGCCGCCCACTCGACCTTTTCCACATCATCAGCTTCTTCCTTCAGAGGCCTCCGGATTCCCAAGACTTACGCTTGATTTCCTTCCATCCTTCAGTGTGTAGGCCACGGTCCCGTAGAGCATTACTTGAGTCGAACCATTTCCGAAAGGAAATATCTTGATCGGCGTATGTAACCTAGCCGCCACGGCTGCCCACATGCCTTTCCTGATCTGAAGGATTTCTGCAACATTTGTCAAAACCTCTTGATCATTCTCTTCAAAACGAAGAAGCAGAAGCAGAACAACAAAGGCCCGTCCCCTGTTTCAAAATGATATACCTCAATTGCAAATGCAACCATCCCCGAGCATCCATTGCAAAGAGGGATAAAATAAGGATATTTAATTACCTTCCCTTCCAACACCCTTCTTACTGGCCATCACCAACGTAGCATCGCTCGTAAATGAATCCGCATACTTCTCATGGGCATCCGGGGTATCAGACGTCTTGTAGAACTCTTCAAAGTAGGCCTTGATGCCGTCATCCAGTCGGATGTCTCCAGGGGTTTCGGCGACGTATGAGTGCGTCATTTTGGCCGGAATGCGAATAAAATGGGCGCGGGGAGGAAACGGAACGGGGCGTTTTATCAGAGGAATTAATCTTGAGATTTGAAAGGTCGATCTTGGGATTGTGGTGGTCATTGAAGCTTGTTAATAAATACAGAGGTACGGGTATGGGGGCTGCGGGGCAGGTGCCGTAGCGGGGTAGGTTGTCGGATAGCAGCACTGCTCTCTTCCGATATCCCGCTGTGATTAGAAACATAGGAGATTCCAAGTTCTCCTTGGTGATAAGACTCAGCAATTGCATTCAGTCGCCGAGAGTTTTGATATGATGGACAAGAGCGCCATTAAGGGGTATATTGGGTTGTCTCCAGCCTCCTCATGAACCATGAAGTTATACAACGCGCCCTCTAGCAAGCCACTCAATCCCGCCGATTACCACCGTGCTGGAAAATCCTATCTAACCTCGAGCTTTTGTCCCACAGGATTTCTTGATTGCCCCCGGGACTGTACTGCTTGAAATATTCTATCCTATGTTCAGGAATGAACTCCTCATCCGTTGTGTCCTTGGCCCATTCCGCCGCCGGTTTCTCCATAATCCGTAAGGTATGGCGATCCTTATACCCAACCACGAACTCATCGATTTTATAACGGCTGTCATATCGAAGGCGATTTAGAACGTCTGAGGCAGTGCGGAGCTTTTTAGTAGCCTGGGGCACACTGGCTGGTGCTTCCGGATGGTCAACCTTGGTTCCATGATGCTCATGATTTCTGTTCGACCTCTTCTTCTCATGCTTTGAGAGTCTTGGTGGACGTGACTGTTTCTGCCCTTCCTCTGCCTTCACAATTGGTCGCGGCCAGTCCCTCGTACAAGGCTTCAGGTCTTGCTTCTCTATGTCCGACTTTCGGCAAATTATAACGTCAATAAAGCACCGATCTCTGACGGTAAGATCGTCTTCTTGTCTTTGCAATTTCCACCGCTCAGCAACATCCGCTACGGTAGGCACTGTAGATTCATCGATGTCGAGGCCGAGTACGAAACACCCTTCGTATATACCATCCTCCGGGTCTGAATGAGCGCTCGTGAGCCGTCGTGGCCAGATGCGGATGCGTGGTATCGCACCAACAGAAACATTAGCGGGCAGGGGTATCCGGGCCTCGAGACCTAGAGAAAGTCAACTCCAAATATGTTGTTAGAATTTGAGGCATCACTTACGTTCTTTGAGCCATACTAATTTGCGTTCCACCATTGAAAGCCACGCAGCCCCTTGCGCATTTGAAGAACCGGTATAGAGCACAGTAACTTGAAGATAGTACGGATAATCCAGTCTCTTAGGAAGTGGTTCAACCTCGAGTCGGGACAGTAGTTGGTTCCAGTCATTTGATTGGTATTGGGCTGTCTGTGGATAATGCAGACTCCACCGTTCCATGAACTCAGAGATGATGGAAGAGAAATCTCCGCTGGTTTCTTGAGAGGCGGCAGCGCACGCTTCAAAAACGTCTCGAGCATTCTTATCTCCGTCAAAAAGTCCCCAAGTAATTGCCCAGGCCCTTTCGTAGTAGTATGCTCTTCGACAGTCGGGGGAATCTTTGGATTTCTCCAGGACTTTGCGCCCTCGCTGTAATTTTTCGACGGCCTCTTGGACTTTTGCATTGCAGTTGTTACGATCCTTCAGAAATGGGGCTTCAGCATCAATTATAGTTGGGCAGCTATGCGCACCATCAGTATCAAAATAAACCGAGCTTCGAGGATCTATTGAACGTACTTTCGGACCAATGCTTCGCACTGGATATAGTTCAACTCGAATATGTGGGTTTCCAGACGAAGTAGGATTCGCGGTTCTGATTCTTGCAGAATTTCATGGACCATGATATTGACATGTCCCGATTCTTGAGCTTCTGCAATGGCTTCCCAGAACAACTCGATATATACCTTAGGACCAACAGTCCCAAAGGCTGTACATTGGAGAGGCTCATTGGTAGCGGCCAATCCAAGAGCATGATTTCCTGACGGAAGGAGGATAATTGAAGGTAACGAGGCAGCCCGAGCCAATCTGGCACTGATTGTATATTCATCTGCATCCTCGTCAAGTTCTTCGTGCAAAAGGGCATCTGACTTTGGACGGAAGAGCTCTTGCAATCGCGAAAAGCTCTGATGCACACTCTCCCACCACTGTGGCGTTGGCATATGGAAAGCCTCTTCAAGATGCCGATCCAGCTCCCCGGAATTAGTCTGGTCGGAGGCGCTCTGGGTGAGGCGTTCGCTCGCCATCTTCAATGATGGCCCGATTGATGTTTTCTTTCTTCGACTTCAAAAGATTGTATTATGGGAAAAGAAAAAGTACATATGGAAAAGGGACACTGGAGGATATATAGCCAGGAACCTACCTACACGAGGGAGTATTGTGACTTGTCTGAGTCACCGGCGAAGGATCACTGCCTCTCCACAGCCCTCAAAGCGCGGCAAATAGCACTCATTAGAGCCCAAAGTAGACGGAGACACCGTGGCTCGACTTGAGAAACCGCAATCGAAGTACTCTATCGCACGTAAGAAACAGAAACGAGGGACTTGGAGAAGGGCTGCATGGAATGGGTGGAATCATGTGATATGTATATGATTCCTCAGGTACAACAAGAGACAGGAGGGGCCAGGGGCCGAGGGCTGGGCATTTCGGCGGAGCAGAGCAAAAGGCGCGAGGGCCAAGTCTTTCCGAGCTTGGCCAATTATCGATGGATGGACCCCGTCGGGACAATAGAGACACTCTCGCCTAAATGCTTTTACCTGTATAGGTGGCTAAGCTTACCTAATTGAGAGGCGAAAGGCGCCCTCTATAGATATCTGCGGCGTAGCTTTATCCACAGGGGCATACCGTCATTGGGCTCCTGAGAATGCCAAGGCGCCAGAGCGCAACACCAGGCCTTTGCCAAGAACCTAGCGTGGCGGAAAGTCTTGGCACTGTATACAAGAGTCCCAGTGTCCGCTGCTTGTCCGGATGTGCGTGTATTCGAGGGGGAAACAAAAACAACACGTCTCCCGCCTCCCTCCATTCCGCCGCCTCCTGAAGTGAATCTCACCTTCCGTCCCATATCAACGCTGGACGGCAAGGAGAAGAAGAGTGAATATCAGACGAGAAGCCTCCCCCGCTCGCCTCCCGGACCCGAGGTTTATCCGCTCCTCCCTCCTCTCCAGACTCCTTCCCATCTATTTACCCGACATAGCGCCGATTGGCTGTCTGCATCACCGCCTTTCTCACCGCCCCCCAAATCTGCCCGTCATGTCTGGACAGGATCAACAACTCAAACAGGATCAGACTGCGGCTCCAGCTTCAGCGGATGCCCAAGCTCAGCGGCCAGCTGCATCTTCCTCTTCTACCATCACTGCGGATGATGGTCTGGTCTGCCAGTGGACTGGCTGCAGTGAAAGATGTGCCTCTGCAGATGTCCTCTTTGTGAGTTCTCCTCCGCCTTGTCCTTCCTTCTCTGTCCTGGACATCAAAAGCTAATCATTCCCAGGACCATATCTGTGAGAAGCATGTTGGACGGAAGAGCACAAACAATCTGAACCTTACTTGTGGCTGGAACCAATGCAACACAACTACAGTCAAGCGCGACCATATCACCTCTCATATTCGAGTCCACGTCCCCCTCAAGCCACACAAATGCGGTATTTGCCAGAAGGCCTTCAAACGTCCTCAGGACTTGAAGAAGCATATCAAGGTGAGGAGTTCCCAACTGATCTCTTGAGGAACATCCTTTTCTAACCAGGTAAAAGACTCATGCCGACGACTCTGAGCTCCGCTCCCCTGACATGCATGGAGGTCAGAACTCGGGATACAGACAGGGCCCCGGTCGAAGTAAGTCAAACAACGGCGAGTTGTCCCATACATACCCGCATCTGACCGAGTATCAGCAGTGATTGCTGACCTGCAAAATCTTGCAGCTACGGCCACCGGCTACTATGATCATTCCGGCCAGATGCACCCAGGTCCCCCAGCCAACTATGGAGCCCCCCACCACAATGGACACAGTGGCTATTACACCCCTCAGCAGCCCAGTTCGTACGGTCCCGTGTATTACCCTGTTAACCAGGGAGGTAATCTCGGACACCATGCAGCTTACGACGACAGAAAGCGTGGCTATGACGTGTTGAACGACTTCTTTGGTGATGTGAAGCGCCGTCAGATCGACCCGACCTCGTATGCTCAGATCGGAAACCGACTGGGTGTCTTGCATGGCATTCCGATCCATGGAGGCGGGATTGCCGATTACATGCCGACAGGCCCTGCGATGGTCTCGGTCGATGGCCATGGAGGTCACGGCGGTCCCATGTCCCAGCATCAATATGCCCTCCCGCCAATGCCGAACCTGAGAACCAAGACCGATCTTATGAACATCGATCAGTTCTTGGAGCAGATCCAATCAACGGTCTACGAGAGTTCTAATGCGGCTGCCGCGGCAGGAGTTCAACAACCCGGTGCTCATTATACACACAGCGCAGTCAATTTTCGCCAAAGCCATTCTCCACCGCAAACCGTCCACAGCCTAGGACCGATGAGCTCTCATGTCTCGTCAGCCCATTCTACCGCTCCCATGATGGCCACCCATTCCTCCCAGTCCCACTCCTCCGGTACGCCGGAATTGACACCTCCCTCGAGCTCAGTCTCCTACACCTCGGGACACTCCCCGGCCTCTTCTCACGGAATGTCGCCCTCGTCAAGACACAGCAGCGCCGTCGCCGCAGTTTACCCAAGCTTGCCAGTCGGCACTCAAGGATACTCCCCACACTCCGCCAATGCTCCAGCCTCGACCCTTGGCCCCAACTTCGACAGCGATTCCCGCCGTCGCTACTCAGGCGGCATGCTCCAACGCAGCGCCAACCCGCGCAGCAACAACATGATGATGGACGGCGCTAGCGACTCCCCCACGCCATCTCCCAAGGAGACGACACCCCGCCCCGAGACCCTCGTCCGCGCTGAATTAGCAAGCACCCCCAACTCTCCCCTCTACGGCGTCGGCGTCGGCTCCCCCAGTGAACACTCGGAGAGCGGCGACAGTGCGCGCGAGCGTGCCGAGGAGGCCGACCGCCGCGAGGAGGCTTGGATCGAGAACATCCGCGTCATCGAGGCGCTGCGCAAGCTGATCAGCGAGCGTCTCGAGCGCCGAGAGTACGAGGACGATGAGGACGCCGCCATGTCCGGCACGGCCACTGCTGACAAGCACTACCACCAGGCGCCGCCGAGCTCTGAGGGCTTGTACCCCACTCTCCGGGCAGATGATGACTAGTTAGTTAGCTAGTTAATCAGCTGGTTCCTTAGTTTTCCTTTAATCGATGATGTACGGGGTTGGGCGGGGAGATGGATGGCGTTTAATGAAATGAATGAAATGAATATGGGATTTTTTTTTTCCTCATCGGGATGATGATGATGGATTGGGTGGATTGGGTGGGTGGATGGCTATGCTCATGAGAATAAAGTACGGATTGATTGTCGTCGAGAGACAGCTTTCTTTCTTTTAAGTACCTTACCTTACCTACGCGGCGATGAATTAATGGCGCAATGATTACTAGCTGGCATGTTAGTTGAGACTCAGTTTATGAAAAATAAGAAAGAAAAAAAAGTTCAGCAGATTCTGTTCTGTTATTTCTCGTCCCCTTCCTTCTAATCTCCTGATTCTATATACTTATCTATTTAACCCATCAATCCTTCCCCCCCCCC